TCTTTTGTTTCACTATTCAAATATGCTGAAATGAAGTCCACTTGCCATAGGACAAGATCAAGCTTTGCTGCAACAGTAGCCAACATCCATACAGATTCAAGATGGGTTATCACAGCCCAAGTGTCATTATAGTCAAGTCCATACTATTGAGTATAGCTCTTTCCAATGAGCCTTGCCTTGTCTCTGATCCAGTTACCATTGCCATCCTATTTCATATCATAGACCCATTTATAATCCATCATGTTCACACCCACTGGTCTGTCAACTAGGTCCCATGTATGCTTCATCATATGCATTTGGTATTCCACATCCATAGTGGCCTTCTATTGCTCTTCATCAACACACAGTGCATCTTGATGATTTCATGAAATGTATGGGTCAGGTGGATTACCAGAAGCCATTGAAGCACATAGCTGTTTGCTGTTAGTTGTCCAGTCATTTCTGCTTGTATAGGCCTCAGCCTCTCATTGCTTTGACATTAGAGATTCAGCAGCATCAGCACTGGGATGCATTAAGCATGTTGATCAGTAAAGAGTTGGTTTTATAGGAGCATCTGGCATTGGCTCAGTTGGCTCAGTTGGTATAAGCATCTTGATATGAGTAGAAGTGATGAGTGCAGGTTTGTCCTCCATCTCCTCTACACTCACACTTTGGTGTGCTGATCCTTCATCAAAGATGACATCATAAGATATAAACACACATCTCAATTGATCAAGTACATAGTAATTGGACTCTGAGTATCCCAGAAAGGTGTATTTCTTTGATCAATCATCGAGTTTGCTTCCATCATCTACTAAAACCCCACCAGCTATAGGTTTCTTTGTCCAGCAAGTGAATTTGAACATTCATAAAAATCCCATGTCCTGTTGTCGCTTTGAGAAACTCTCTGCTGGTACCACTCTAGGATGGTGACTCAAAGGAACAAAGTTTCACATGAAGATTGACATAAAGGTGGCCTCAGCCCAGTAGCAGTCAGCAAGGCCAGAGTCACTTAGTAGAGCTCTTGTATCCTCTATAGTGGTGTGTAGGACATATTCAGCTAATCCATTCTGGGCTGATAAGTGGAGTGCAGTTAATTCCAGGATGATCTCATGCTCCTCATAATATTATTTCCACTTTATCCCTGCAAAAGCATGATCAGCATATACATGCTTAAGCTTTTGGCCAGTCTGGGTCTCAGCCATGCATCTGTATCTGTCAAAAGCAGCTACAGTAGTATCATCTGCTTTGTCTGCCAGAAATTCCCCCACCTTGAATAATATACCACTATCAACAAATATCATCATATAAGTCTTTCCACTTGATGATATCATTTAAGATGGTTCCCACAAATCTGTTGCAACAAGCTCCAGTGGGTTGACATTGGGATTGGTGGGCTCATTGAAGAGACAGCAAGCATGTCTTGCTAGAATATAGTCCTTGCAGTGTCTCTGAATAGGCTCTGAGGTAATTTCTAAGCCATCTACCAGCTTTTTTGATGCTATCTCCTCGATTTTGCAGAACTCATATGGACAAAATGATGGTGCCAAGTACTCAGTGAAGTGAAAGATGAGCAGGATGCCATAACTTAGGAGCTGAGTGCAGCATCCAGCACATACATGCTATCTAAGCCTCACTCAGCAAAGATCTCTTTACCAGACTTATCCTGAACAACTGCATGGCCATCAGAAAACACAGTTGACAACCCAGCCTTGTCTAAGGCACTTACAGAGATGAGATTTGTGGTAAGTGAAGGTGAATGCAAGACATTTTTGAAGATGAGCTTAACATCTCTTTTATTCAGTCTGAAGACCTTTGTTGCTGTACTCTGGCCCAGAATCTCAAACATTCCCTTTTTCTCAACTGCAGATGAGCCAGTATAGAAGGTTACTAGCATGTACTCTGTAAAGTCATCATGATTCCTGAAGAAGTAGTCACTTACACCAGAATCCATGAAGATTAGAGTGATGGCTAGAGTATAGCCTTTGAACATAGTTATGACAAAGGCTGTTATAGCAGAGTCAGCCTCACATGTAAAGTGTCCTACATTCTTGATGTTGGCCTTGCTAGTGTCTATACTCTTGACAGAAGGTATCTCATCATCTTCAGCAATGTCTTCATCATCAGAGTCATTGATGTCAGTAAGAGGAGGCATTTCAAGATCTGTCTCTTCTTCAACCTTTGACACAATATAGTGCTGCTCTCTGTTTCATCCCAGTGCCAGAAGGAATGAGTACCATTCTACTCATATATCCTCTCACCAGTGCTGCCATTCTCAATTACAATGTCATCATCATGATTGACTTCCACTGTAGTAGCACATGCAGCAAGTATAAAATGCCTTGTAGTATTAGCCATGGTGTTCAAGATTGCCTGGTTTGCATAGTGAGGTCAACCAAAGTTGACAGGGAATTATCCCTCTTTTTCCCCTCTTAGCCAATAACAATTCTCGGTAGTGTGCCTAGTCTTATCACAGGCCTTGTAATCTGGATTGTGACATCTGCATACCATGACAGAGGTTTTGACTCCAGCCACAAGTGCTTGAGAGTTGGCAGGACCTTTATCTGCTGCATGAAGCATGGCAGCATGGGTTTGGAGATGGGAAAACACATCAGAGGATGTTGACATGCTATATAAACTTGGGAGAATAGGCATCCAGTGATCAGTCAGGATTATCAAGTGAATAATTATTCTCTTGAACTCCTGATCACTCAATACTGTAGTTCAGAGGTCATTCACAGCTCATCATTTTGTGTGCAAGTCAGTGACATGAATATTGGTGTCACTATTCCTATTAAACTTCACTACATTCAGTGATGCCTCAGCCTCAGAAAGGGTCATATCTATTTTCTTTGCATGTTCCACAGCAACAGAGTCTCAGCATTCCTTTGCTATTCTATCAGTCTTGACTCCTAGACCAATGGGATCAAGAACATTGAGAATAATGTTCGAGTGGGTAAGCTGATCATGAAAGACCCACTCATCATATGAGGGAGAGGATGAGTATATGGAAGTAGGGTCTGGTGGGAGGGGTGTGGTAGTAGTCATGGCTGTGGTAGTGGTGGCAGAGATGGCAGGACAGACAGTAGTTTCTGCAATGTATCCCCATAGGCCTTTTTCCTTCAGTAACTCAGTAAGTTGGAGTTTTCATGAGGCATAGTTCTTCCCATTGAAATAGCTACTCATGTCAGAGAGGATAGTGACTCCTGACATTGATGACATCATTTAGGGATGTGGTGTAAAGTGGTGAGAGTAGTGGTATAGTATAAATTCAAATGGTAAGTTGAGTTGAAATTCTGTTGCATATTCTTCTTGACTGAGTAGTTATAGGCAATAGAGCCTCATAACCTATTGACAGAAGAATATATGTGAGTATCTCAGTCAGGCACAACATGGGTAAAGTGATTGAGGCATACAGATAAGAACAGCTGGACTATATAGGTGATCAGAAAATGACAGAAGGTGTAAGTATATATAAGGCAAATAGAGCAAGTGATCAAAAAGTAAGATAAGATGAAATGTACAGATATCCTCCAACACAAAAGCTATGCTACTTATATATATTTTAGTCTGAGATAAATATAGCCTTCCCTATTGTGTCTATCTGCAAGTTGGAACTAAAGAGTGTGTTATAGATGCATAAAACAATAGAATGCATATATTGTCAAGGTGTCTGTTGCAAGTTCACAGTACAATAGCACAAGTCATTCACTATGGGCATGGTTACCAGTTCAGCTGAATAAATAATGAGTAAGCACCCATGATTAGATACATGCTTGATAAGATAAGATAAGCAGAAAAATCATAACAATTTTCATCCTTAGATATTCATATATGAGAGGGTAAAGACTTGTTATCTAAGATTTTCATGAAGTCACCAACACAAACTTCTTTCCAAAGTTCCTTCTTCTAGTGAGGGTTATTGTAAGTGTGATAGCCAAAGAGATGGAGATCCTGATAAGTGTAATCAGTGGCACTCTCATCAAACTCAACATCAGAAGAGGGTAAGACTAGTGAAACTGGAGCTAAGGACTCTAGACCTTTCTTCTCTTCAATCTTTTCCACAAGTGAAGTGGGCAGTGCTATTTTTCTGAACTTCTCAGAGATAAGATAGCAGTTTACATGGTAAGTGAAGTCACAACTCTTATTGCTGATGATGTTAGCATTATGCTAATCATGTCCAGTGAGAATATGGACAGTGCTGCAGTTTGTGCAGCTATCAGATTGGTGGCATTTGATGTCCTCATAAGCATCCTTTATAGTGGTAATTCTAAGAACAATGAGAAGAGGAAGAATAATGAGGTCAGAGAGAACTCTGAAAAAATTTGCAGAAGGATGATTTCAAGAAAGAAACTGAACAGCACTAAGAAAACTCAAACAAGATCAAAAAAGAAGAGAAACATACACATTCACCACTCACCTGAACTGCTCAAGTAGATTTGCCATAGAAAGGCAGTCTTGAGTCAATTGTCAGTGTTTCCTATTAGAATCTTGATCAGTTATCTTATATAAAAACTAAATGATTCTATTATATACATATTGTATTTACAAAGCAAAAGTATGGATATGTGTTTTTGCTTTCCAATAAATTACAGCCTGAAAATCAATGATGTGATAAAAACATTAAGACAAAATGTTTCAAAAAAATCTGTCAATCATATATGATAAGCTGAATAATGGTAAATTACTGTACCAAAACTTCCCCTCCAGACAAAAGTCAGTAACTTCCCTTTTCCCCTGGAGGAGGTTTCATGCGCAACTCTACTCTGGAGGCTATCAAGAAAAGGCAATATTCTTACGTCATACCCAAAAAGATGCCCCCACCCAGGATCGAACTGGAGACCCTTGCATAAGCAAATAGGTTGACAACCTCATAAGTACAATGCTCTACCACTGAGCTATGCGGGCAATAACGATCATTAGCCATCATGGAATTCTAGGAAGTCCTTTCCTGAATCCTTAGCAAACTATGGAACATATTCTACGAAAAGTAGTTGGCGTCGGAGGCATTCGGATGAAACCCCGCCTTCGCTCTCGATGTTTAGAAGTGGTATTCACCGCCTTGCTGCCCGCCGTTTTTATTCGTCAGATGCAGCGTACAATGTCGAGGCGCTGGATAAATGGATTGCCTCCCGAAAGGAATACATTTTGCACGACACGCTGCATCCAGAGCATCTATCTGATCTCTACATAACTCTTCCTACCCGGGATGGAACGCGCAAAGCATTCCATCCGCCTGAGCCGTCAACACCTATGGGCTATGGACACCATACAACCTTCTTCTACCCTCGTATTCCCGAAGCCTTCTTGCGTAGAGACGGCACAGATGCAGATTTCTGTCCACCAGAACCGTTTACTCGCAGGATGTGGGCAGGCGGAAAGATATCGTGGATGGCGGAGAATCCTCTGCTCATTGGTGGGAAGGCGACTGCAAGAATGACAATAGGCTCTGTTAAGAAGAAGAATTTTGACCGTGGCCGTCCTATCGTGTTCGTGAATAAGAAAATTGAGATCTCCATGGAGCATTCGGCGGTTCCTTCGGTCATTGAGGAGAGGGTACATGTCTATCTGCCTGTGGCTGCTACAGTTAAACAGGAGCCTCGTGAAGGTATGCCATGATGCACAGTGATATTCACAGCGATCTTCTCTAATACGTGAAATCCAGTTGCTGGGATACCAGACTCCTCTGATTTCTCATTCACATACAAGCCAACACTGACGACCCTGTTTCGATTTTCTGCGCTCACCTTCAACGCGCACCACATCCATCTGGACAAAGATTATGCACGAGACTTTGAAGGGTATCGAGGTCAGTTTCGTTGTCCTAGCCCATCCTCAGTCCTAACCTATCTGTAGAGCGTCTGGTTCACGGACCTCTTACGGCCCTCATGATGCTTGAAATAGCCACTGAGCAAAACCCAGGTGTCGAGATCAAGACGTTCGAATACCAGGCCACGAATCCTCTTATTGTCAACCGAAAACATACTATCTTTGGACGATGGACAGGCGACAAGGCATTTTTGTGGTGTCGGGATGAAGATGGAGTGGTCGGTATGACAGGCACAGTTCTGTTTGGGTGATGGTAGACGGAACCTGGCAACAGACGTTCACCTGTTTAGACGCGCATTGGCACGTGATGTATATTGAAACTCCGCGCGTTATTTATATTGGATTGTCTGTTTGTTGTCCCTTCATCAGAACTATCACCTTCTCTTCAGCTCATCACCATCTCTTCACCCACTCTCGACTGCTATGGCCCCCAAGGTATACCGTGCATGCACCATCTCCCCTATCATTCGTCTCATGTACTCGTAGCCCGCTTCAACAGCTTCCAAGGCTCCGGCTTCAACCGCTGGCAAGGCGCCAGCCAAGACAGACTCCAAGGCTGCGAAGAAGACTGCCAGCAAGAGCAAGGCATCAGCGCCAGCCGACGGTGAGAAGAAGAAGCGAAAAAAATCGAGAAAGGAGACTTACAGTTCGTACATCTACAAGGGTACGCGTCGTTGGGCTTATCTTGTATCGTGACTCATACCCCTGACGCGTCGCCTATCATACAGTGTTGAAGCAGGTCCATCCCGACACTGGTATCTCCAACAAGGCAATGGCCATCCTCAACTCCTTTGTCAACGACATCTTTGAACGGGTTGCTACCGAAGCTTCTAGTGCGTTATGATCCTGTTTCACAGTCACATCCTAACGCTTCAACAACAGAGCTCGCTGCTTATTCCAAGAAATCAACCATCTCTTCCCGCGAAATCCAGACCAGCGTTCGTCTTATTTTGCCAGGTGAACTAGCCAAGCATGCCATTTCTGAGGGAACCAAATCTGTCACCAGTACGTGTTGTACATCTCCTAGGTTCATATTTTCATAATTTTGAGCAGAATTTTCTGCTGGTGGCAAGTGAACGGATTTTGTCTGTAGCCGGATGATACTTTTCTTCCATTTTTGCTTTGTATTCTAGCCATCTTATTCCACCATCCTGACGGACTAAGTACCATCTATATATTATAGAGCATATCTAGTCTTGTCGCACATTTGTAGCTCGGGCATTATATATTTTTATACAGATGTGGAAAACGTTAGAAGCCTGAAGGAGTAGATGAGAATGGAAAGGTAAGATTTGCGGGTCCATGGCTTACCATACTTGTTCCCAGCCTCCTTGCGGTTGCGTCTGCCTTCTGCGATCTTTTCTTCCAAGGCCTCTCTGTTCTCGTACGCCTCCTTGAGCATCGTCGACAGTTGATGTCTGGAGCGAGCAATGCCGCTGAGCTTGGATGCCTAGAAAGACAACATTGGTCAACGAATATAAGCAAGCGACAGACACCGACATTAATGTTCATTTTTGGTTTCTCAGGAGCACCTCCAGCACCCTTCGTTACCGCCTTTCTCTCTTCTCTCTCCTTGATCTCCTTCTTGGCTCGCTCCATCTCTTTCTTGGCGTCGATGTCCTCCATGCCCTCCTTTTCCATACCCTCGAACCCTTTCGCAACGCCCTTCTCCAATGCCCGGACCTGATCATTGTACTCCTTTTGCCACCGTTGTAGGAACTTTCCGTAATACTCTGGCTCGTGCGCCTTCCATGCGCCCGAAGGAAGTTGGTAATACCCTGGATACTCGTCGTTCATCGTCGGCTCTGGTGGTTCAAACGTCGGAATGGCTGGCGCGGAAGATATGCTGATAGAGGATGAGGGAGAAATAGTAGATTCTGTGGGCTTAGGCATAGAAGAGGCACCTGTGTATGTACCATGAGTGGCGCACAATGGCATTTCGGTGTTACTCCTCACCCAATGAAAAGAAATCCACGGCAGGGGCAGGAGTGCGAGCAGTAGCCCTGGGTCTGCTTTCTTCCAACGATATGTTGGACCTCCCTTTTGCCAGCGATGGTGGTAGAAAGGGTATCGAGGGTGTTGGAGCCTCGTCTGCTGGTGGTACTGAAGCAGGCGCATTGAAGGACAAAGCCTGGCCTTTTCCACCACCCAGGACTCGTTCTGCTGGAGCAGATATGGGGTTTTTCTGTTTTGGTGCAGGGAGCATTGACATCAACGACGATGACCCAGCACCAGACTCCAACCGAGGCTTCTTCGCGACAGGCCTGGATATCTCTTCCTCACCATCGCCATCTTTCGCAGCCTTAAGTGAGGGCAGAACAATCGCAATTCGCTTCTTCGTCCTAAGAGGAGGTAGGGCAATACTGGATGATGAGGTCGCTTTGGATTGAGATTTCAATGACTGACTGTTCATGCTACTCGAAGCCGGCTGTTTTGTCTCGGTCTCCCCTTCGCTCTCGCTGCCGCTGCCATAGTCTTCGAGTCCGAGCATATAGAGTCAGGCCAAGATATTTTAGAATAGCAATAGGAAGGCCCAACTTCTTGTCGTGGACGCGAAAGAAACGGAAAAGCGGATCACACGATGGCGGACCACGAAAAATAAATTATCATGTCGGAGAAAGAATCATATTTATGCAATGTGTAGAATAATCAAAACAGCTTCTTACTTAAAGATAGTCGTGTCTAGAGAGTGTATGATAGCAATATCTAACAAGTATCAAATAATGTCCGATCCCTGTAGCATTGCCAATGATTTCCCAGTTCGAAAACGAGATAAGTAATAACACAGTCCAAAATGATTATGCCTTCTAATGTCCGAGTGGAAAGAAGTAAAGGTCGTGATCATGGTCGTGCTAGAAATACCCGTAAGCATCAAAGGTCCCGATGAGAGGTACATCGCAAGAAAAACTTACATAGCTGTTCTTTACGGTAGAACCAAAAGTAACCAATGACAATTATCAATTGGCAGAATAGCGCCATCCAGAACATAGGTTCCGCCATGGGACTCCCTGAATGATATGAATCAACAGATAATTCGAAAAGACGGACATTCGGTCAACAAACCTTTCAGACCATCCTCAAAGTCCCAGCTTGCAGCGTCAGGGAACACAGACCCAGGCCCGATACGGTTTGGCGCAGTCGCTCGAGCGACCATAACACAAACCGAACCGATGATTTGAGAGAATGCCAGCGTAGCACAAACGTGCAGACGTGAAAGTGTCTGGAGCAGAATCATACCAAGACCGACTCCCTGAATGGCATCTAAAACGCCAAGCCACAACCACAACGACAAGCCAAGGTATGGTCCGCTACTTCCGGCCCAGGGAATGTAGAGCGCAAGTGAAGAAGTACCCCACATCATCTGACACCATTTAGGTGCACCGAGACCTACCGCAAACACAGGCAGAAGCCAGGTATGTGTCTTACTGAAATGCGTGAGAACGCCGAGAAGTGCTCCCCAAACACCAATGAAGAAGGCGAGGACCAAGAGAAGAATCTGATATGTCGGAATAGGGACGCTCCACAAGAAACTCCAGTTGCGTCCGTAAGGCTGCATGACGAAAGAACAGTTAAACATATATCAAATAGAAATGAAACGAGTTCTTACACCGCTGAGCCAGTAGTCTCGAAGAATTTCGGAGGCAAGGAACCATATAACCAATTTGCGGCGGAACAAGGTCCGCAGGAACTGAGGCACCTTGGGTGGAGTTTGGCGGTAGTACTCTGAAGTTGGTGATGATGAGAAACTAAAGAGAAGCAAATCGATCGTTTACCACTCACCAGGAAGACCGTAAAGCATCAAGTAAGCGAAAATGAAACTCATGAGGGCCAATGGCCAGACGATAAGAACGATCCACCATGGCGGTGTATAATTATCTGATTGACCAGTGAGGGTATGACCCCAGTACCACAACGCCGCCACCCAAATCTGTTGGGAACCTTGGACAATACATGCACGAAAAGTCCATACCTCCGTTGCAGCACCCGCTTCTTCACCGAAGTTGAGGCCGAAGAATAGAAAGGAAGCGGCCGAGGCAACAGCATAACACCATGTCGCTGTGCTCGCCAGAGCTCTGTGTGCAGAGTGGAATGAAGAGGACACTGATGGGAAACCGACCAAGAGGAATGCTAGACCGAAGAACACCCAAGGTGCAGATAGAACATATACGGATGGCTTCAATCTGAACATAGGATACCATACTGCAGAGGCAGCAAGGAAAACTCCGCCAAGGACGTAAAGCTGTACATTATCTTGCCAACTTCGACCAGTCAAAAGAGTGATTTGGAAACTCGTTGCACTTAACATCTACGAAAGCATTTGTGAATATGCGCAATGTTCTTGAAGGTGCGTATCTCACCTGACCGGCAGCAATGACAATAGTGTACAACGGCCAACCCCATATTTCACGAGACATGGCGATCTGTAACCCTGTCATGGGTACAATCTCAGGGGCACCTGCATCGTTGCGAAGAGGTCCGTCATACTCAGAAGAAAAGGCTTGAGTGTTAGGCGCTAGCAGATGAGGTCAGAATGAGTCAAATTTTCGGCGATTGCACATACAATCGGGGCGAGAGTATATCGACGGTGAAGGCGTTCCCCAGATGGAATCACGCTGCGACGACCTGATACTGGCGGCACTGTCAAGTTTTTCCTTGCGAACTTTGCCAAAGAAGGCTTCTTCGCTTTTGATGAGGAACTTCTCGATGGACAATTCATGCTCCGAGTTTTTAGCATTGAGGGCCTGCAACTTTTGAACGAACTCTGAAGCAACGCCACCATCTGCGTCAGTAAACTACAAAAGCACGTGTTAGATGATTTTCATTGGACGAAGGAAGAGTCATACCGAAGCGATGGCTTTGTTCAAAGGCGAGTTGGACTTTTCATCAACAATAGACGATATCGATTCAACAGAAGACACGCGAGAGTGCGCGCCAAACGGACGGTTGGGTGTGAGGTTTTCATCCAAGAACGGATCTGGGGCATGCCGCTGATCCCGGGCAATGGTGCGATTGGCCCTCTCCAGGAAGTCGTTGTATCCTTGAGCAGGTTCCAGTGTACTACCACGCGAATGGCTGAAGTAGTCATCGTCTTGACCACCGTCAGTAGTAAATGAATTGCGAGAGCCATCTGGAGGCAGTAACCGAGGAGCACCAGACGGTGTGAGGGTGTCTTGACTCCACTGACCTGGGGAACCAGGAGTATTGACATGAGGACTATCAAGCATGCTGGTTCGGTCCCACTCAGGCTGAGACGGGTAAGCCTGGTTGACAGGGTTCCAATCATCGGTATCTGCCATAGGACGAACACCAGCACCATCACAGTCAGACTCTCGCCAAGCATCAGCGCCGGCAATCGCACGACTAGCGGTGATACTGCGCCTGTGGAAATCCTCCATTCGTTGACGCCATTCAACAACAGGGAAACGTTGGACGGCGGACCGGGCCCTAAGAACGGCGCGCTCTTCCTCGGTGGACTTCAAAGCCATTTTGATTGTTTTTGTCAGCTGTGACAGCATGTGTGCCGTAGAGCTGGATTCTACAGGATACCACTGTAATAAAAGAAATAAGTCAGCAGCGGCGAATCGCTAATAAATAAAAGGAATCACTAACCCAACCAGGCATTAAACCCAGACCTCCGAGACGACTTCCGACTCCGAGAGCACCCTTCCTACCAAATTCGACAGCTACGAGGCCGAAGGGCTCATCACGGGAGGGAATCAGAGCGAAATCGGCACCGCTGAACAGGTAGGGAGGGAGCGCCGTAAATTCGGGTTTTGAATAGACACGATCCGGGAACATTTCCATCAGTCGTGCCAGCTTCTCAGCAGCAAATCGTCCATACAAGTCAATAACAGGACCAACGGCAATGAGCTGGATAGTGGGACGTTTCTCTAACCTATGCCAAAGCTTGAACTAAGACGAGTCAACCTTAAGACGGAGACTTACAGGGAAGGCATTACATCAGCAATGAGATCGACACCCTTTTGCTTAGACCAACGACCGACAAATACAAACAAGTCAGAATCAGGATCCTGTTTGATACCGGCCCATTCTTGTGCTTGACGCTTATGTTCCGGACGGGCAGCTTCTGCAACTTCGTCGATCTGAACGTCCTTGGCCTTTGTGGGAGCTTCATCCAGCGCCTCGATGTCACTGGGATCAGGGTTGGGCAAGGAATCGACATGTTTCAGCGTCCAAAGGGCAGGATATCGGGCCCAACTACGTTTACCATACTTGTCAGAGACACCAGCCACACCAATACTCTTCTGGTGAACACTGATGAACGAAGCGGCCGCATGCAGCAAGTTGAAGGTATTTCCAAACTGAACATATTTGGTGCAGTGCTCTTTGCTGATGTTGAACGCTGAGCAAACTTCCTTCATTTCTTCCTTAGTTCGCAGAGGCCAGAGACCCTGAAACTCGGCATTATGAAGCGACAGACAGCAGGGAAGAACCTTGGGCAGAAGATAGATGGGTGCCAAAGCGCCGTGATAGTCGTTCACATGGTAGATATCGACGGTAGGGTTGCGACGAATAGTAGCAGCAATAGCTTGATTCCAAGTCGAGTAGAAGATAGCGGAACTAAGATCGTCCATGCGAGCCGGATAAGGATCAGCTTTAGTCTGGGCACGGAAAACGGGACTATCAAGGATAACATATGTGATGTTGTCCAAAACGTGAGTCTCTACCTCAATGAGATAGGGCTCGCCAAAGATGATGACCTCGATGGGTTCAGCGGGATCTCCAGCCGGATACTCCACATCCTTGACCTTCGGCACAACCCAAATCAAGTCGACATCTGTCATAGCTTTACCCATAAGGCTGGACATGACACCGAGACCACCGATCTTGACCTTGATCTTCCAGTCGATGATCTCGTACTCGAGAGTAGAGATAAGGACTTTGCGACGCTTGTTCTTATCCTCGGGCCAGCCAATGATCTCCCCCTTGTGTTTGTGATGTCCGAAAATGCCTCCTCCCTTTTCTGACATTCCTCCATCTTTCAGGTCCGACTGAGATTTGTTGCCCAAAACGCCAAGAATAGGAAAGTAGTTGTTAGATGTCTTCGCCTTGACGCCGTATTGATTGTGCTTGATACCGTAGAATGACCACATGAAAACGAGGACAGCAAGTGTACCGGTGATCAAGGGAATAGCAAGCAGCAGAGCGTACATGATAGCGCCAACGGATGCTTCACCACGAGGCTTCAACCACCATTGCATGGTAGAGTCGTCAACGAGTAGCGACCAAGAGAGATGAGGTGACGGTGGGGCAGACATGTTCACATAATTGGAGGCAGCGCTGTTGGGAGGAAGTCGGTCAAGGACTCCATCACCGTCGACGTCTCCGTAGTAGTAGTCATCGTAACCCCAAACGTTAAGCTCTACGTAAGTCGGCCATTGAGCCATGATTTCTAGCTCCCAGTAGCCGTCATCATTCAGTTCCATCACACTCGACAGGCCACTGTCGTAACCCCAAGTGTTGTAAGGGCCACGTGCGAGTAGCTGAGGAACGCGGCGACGCGCGCCAGACCAACCATAGTCAGCATGAATAACACCAGCTGTTGACATTGTGGCTTCACTCCAATCTAGAGCATCATTAGCAACGAAAATAACACAATAGGATAATAGAGCATACACTGGACGATGATGTGGTCACCATCCCAGAACAAATCAGAGCTGCTGAAGACGTCGGAGTCGATTGTCGTCGTGTCTTCCCAGTCAGCCCAACTTGTCCAATTTTGACCGAAATTCCACGAATACCTGTATTTTTCAGCACCATAAGCTTTATGAGTGAACATATATTTGCCATCCGACTTGGTGAAGGCGTCGTCGTCGTAGTCGTTCTCGGGGAAGACAATGACGTTCTGAGAAGAGCCTTTCCTCAAAAGAAGTTCATCCACGACCTATCGAGAATAACGGTAAGTTCCAAACAGAGTTCATTCTCAGCCAACACTTACGTTTGTAGAATTTCCGCTGCTGTCCTGAGGTTTGTCGACAGTGATCTTCAAGACACCATCCGGGAAATTTGTCAACGTCGCGGTCCACTCCCACGCGGACGTCGAACCACCTTGTATGACAGAGGCGGACGCATTGGATATACTTTGACAATTGACGTTCGTGATCGAAGGGGTGGAGCCATTTCCAGAGGAAGACATGTTGAGTGAAATCGAGTTTGTGACGGAGTCGCACTCCATGACGGCGCTGAATTCAATTGAAATGTCGACAGTGGTGGCATTCGTTTGGCCATCCTCAGCTAGCAAACGGTAGTCATGTCCCGGATTGAACGCGGTCATCGCAAGGGCCGGAGCAACCCACTGATCTTCGGGTACGAGTGCCTTGAACCCATAGGCGTCCATAGTGACATTTGGAAGACAGCCGTACCAGGGGGATTTGCTATCGTTGTAGTATGACGAACCTGAGTCTTCCAAAGTGTACGTCTCGTACGGTGCAAACAAATTACGGACTATCGTACCAGACTCGAAGGGGGATGAAATCCATAGGGACTCCTGGCAATTGTACTCCCAACTCTTCGTCTCGTTTTCATTGCTGTACAACATCCAAACCTGGTCTGTAAAATTTCCGGTCAGGTTTTGAACGCCGGAGATACCGGACCTGGAGATAGACCACAGGCCCATCTCAGTTGCTGTGCCGTTAGAACCAGGCCGTTCGATGAAATACGTCCAGTTGCCACGTTGCACGAGATTAAACCCATCCTGCAAAGCACCGTATATTGAGCGCAGGCGGTTGAAATGTGCGAACATCCGACGACTATCAGTGGTAGGATCGAAATGATCAAGGGCGTTCCAATCGTCGTGGCACCCTACTAAGGCTTTATCCAGGGGCATGTTGAAGTATTGTTCAGAGCCGAGGGTGTAGCAGCCATGTCGCTTCCACGCTGTGTTACTCGTCATGGCTTGACGGCTATAGGAAGTTAAGTCGCGATGACATAAAGAGGAATTGAAACACTTACCCATAGAGATAATTGGAAGCACCGGTATCATACAGATAGAAATTCTGCTCTTCGCCATAGAAATACTGAGGATAAAAGTTCAGGTAGTATTCAGGTGAATATCCAGAATGAACTCACCAACGGAATACCGGGCATAACGAGAGTGGCGATGAACCCAGCCAAAATGCTGCGCTCCCTACCATCGGCCAGACTATGCCAACGGAACACGTCGAAATTGCTCATCCCATACATGTGTCGGGGATCGACTTCCCCCGTTAATTGATTGATGAAGTCATTGTCAACGAACATCTGATTCCACGCAGTGATGAAGTTGATATCCACATCATAAGCGACATCGAGGTTACCATCCATACCCAAGAATCGAGTAAGTGAACGGTATATGGAATAGTGGAAGGCAACTGAATCCAGTCCATTGACGCCCTTGTCTCGAAGGAAATATTCGCTATCATCCGATGTGAGGTTGGCTGCAATCAAAAAGCCGCCAGGAAGCTGCGTAGGAGTGCGCCCACGACCACTGAGCACAACTATTAGAAAATGGAGGCGGCAGAGGGGGGGGGAAGCTTCTTACTAGTATAGGGAGCCGAAAGTGTCGCCTCCAGTAACTTCACCCGGTACGAAAAAATTTTCTTTACCAAGATTATACGCACAAGTACGAACGCTGGATGTCCACTCCGCTAGAGCTGCGACCGTGACCTGAGTAGCTTTATCAATGCGGATGGCATCAAAGTCTAAAGCAGTGATAGCCATGCAAGCAAAATTTTGAAGCCTGGCCATGACCTCAGGCTTCCATTCACGGAGACGGTCCTGGACGGAGGCGAATTTGGCCAATTGACGTTGCCAATCCTCGTGCACACCAAAAGCCTCCATGTCACCATACTGGTCAAAATCCGACTCCATGCAGCCATTCGTCTCGACAGTGACAACGGAACCATCCTCTTCCCAAAACTTGGGCATCTCACACGACTCATTCCGGGTGTTACTAATCTGTCATTATCGAGTGGGCAAAATCGCAGGGCTGACATGATAAGTATCTTACGTTAAAGTCCGCATATTTGGTGAAACCCCAGGGCATGTAATTGGGATATTTGAATTCAGCGTTGTACTCATTCAGACTGAAAGGCGTACTGCTGTTCAAGTGACTGGAGAAAGGAAGGAAAGTCAGTTACGCGTTGCAGTATAAGATAGCAAACTTGCCCCGCGAAACCGATGAGATCCGACATGGTTCCTACGGTGAAATCGGCCATCAAGTACATGTTATGAGCGTGTATGGTATCGATTGCATTCGTCCAATCGTCAATAGTGCCCCAATGAGGATCAAGAACGGTGAAATCAAGCGGCGAGTAACCTATAAGAAGATGAGAGAAGAAAAATGGGTAGAGGTTAATAACATACTGTCAGCCTGCCACAACATGTTCAGAAAAGGCGTTCCAGAAATGAAGATAACCCGGATGCCCATGCCATAGAGGTAGTCCAACTTTGAAATAAGACCCTTGAGGTCTCCACCATATCTGAGCTGGGTTTCTCTCCAGTCGTTTTCGTACATGGAACCGAAGTAGTCGTTATTGGAAGGATCGCCATCTGCAAACTTGTCCATTAAAACGGTATATACGGGGAGTGCCCGCCAGTTTTCGGGAGAAGGTGTATAAGTGGTATTCGCTCGGGTCGCCTTGTACTCGGTCGCTTCAGTTGCATCCTGATTGACATTGAGGTTGTAGTCAGTGAGGTCGTCGCGATACGGCGAGGCGAGAACGAGGCCAGCAAAAGCCGATAAGGCGGTAATTGCGGTAAAAATCCGCATGGCGGTGGGAGGACCGACGGGAGGGAAGGAAAGGGGTGAATGAAGGGAGATGGACGCGTATTAGAGGAAAAGATAGAATCTACACAGGGTCGAACAGGATACAGCCTGTCGCCAGGCGAAGGGCGAGCAACGATGATGGGAGTGAGTGACAGAGTCAGTCGGACAGCCAGACGTAGCAGCGTTCGAAAGACGGTCGGCGTTTTCCCTGTTCTGTTTATGTGATCAATATTTATGCACCACAGCCACATTGCCACATCCTGGGAATTCCTCAAGGCACTCCCGCAATTAAATCCATTAAATCCTCCTGTTTCCAGTGACAAGCATCCTTGCAAGAAGCACACCGTAAGGAGCCAGGAGCTGGGACATTTCTGATTTTTTTTCTTCCTTGGATACTAAATATATTGTAACCGAATTTGCCCCCGAGACAGTCGCAGCCTCGCAGCAACTACGATCCAGGTAATTTGCCATGTGTTGCAGCTGTGCAAAAAACACACAAAAACACACATCGGCCTGACCTCACCTTCATCACCCTTACAGGGTTATCATATGTATTGGATATGTCAGCCACTCCCCTCCCGATGAATATTTGCCCCTTAAGTGCCAGGATAACGATGACAAAGATCAATTTCTGATCGTGTGTGACTGTCACTTGTAACAGTTATCCTGCCGGCCCGAGTCTGGTTACCATGGCCAAATTGGGACACATATGCCGCTGACCAAGCAAACCCGCCTCTCGCGTTCACGGCCCAAAGCTCCCTTGTCCCATCTGTGCATCGGGCTTGCGTCCAGGCCAGACTTTATCCAAGTCTCTTCTTCTTACCACCACCTTGTTTCTCTGTTTTCTTCTCCATCGCATTACTGTCGCCTTCTTCTGGTATTTCCTATATTTTTCGTCCTTTTGTCCACTGACTATTATTGTCAGCTTTCTTTATGCTCTCCATACTCATTTAAATCGTGGTTCTGCGCGCTGTATCACTATCTACTGACATTTTGGCTGTGTCTCTGACACACCATCCAGTTCACTGTTTCACCTTACACCTTGATTTCGTCTCGACATGTCTACACTAGCCGCCGCCAATAATTTGTTCCATGTTCACGACAACCCCGCTGATCCGTCTTCAAAGCCATCTTCTCCATCTTCGCCTACATCTTCATTTCAGGTCCAACAGTCGGTTCCTCGGTCTTTCATGACCACAGTAAGAGGACAGAGCTCTCCGTTTCCCTCCACGCCGACTTCGAGCCACTCAAGCGCTGCCATGGAACCTCCGCCAGGTGTCACCTACTGTGACTATATCCGTATGTGGACCGATGCCCATGTTGCACGCTGGCTTGCGGATATTAAATGTGGCAGCCATGCCGCCACTTTCAAGGCAAATGATATCCGAGGTGACATTCTTCTTGAATTGGATCAGACAACACTTCAAGAAATGGGAGTGGGCAGTATTGGGGATAGGTTCCGGATCCTGCATGCTGTGAAGGCTTTAAGGCAGAAAGCCTCGTCGAAGCCCGTTACTTCTCCTGTCCTGGAGATCAACAGATCGCGGTTGGTAACCAGTCTTGAGGATTCCATGACAATTGCTATGCCGTCAGATCAAAGCGTCTCTTCATTGACTGCACGCAGGCTGGAGAGTGGCAGACCCGCGCCTCTGTTACTGGGCTCTAACCCCAATAGAAACGATTTGCCTCGACTAATCCGCGACCAGCAAGCACCAGATTCGGCGAAAGCCAATGTTCCTCCAGCTCATGCTATACGTCCACTTCCCCAGCCTATCGCAGGTTCGTCTAGCAGTGCCCATCCCGGTTCTACTAGGTCTGGATTGCCCCCGCTTCCCCCTCCTCCCCGTGGGCAACCCCCTTTGCCACCTCCCGGACGTCCTCCCGTCCGTGGACATTTCCAAACTTCACAATCAAATGGTCGGCGGACGCCAACCCAGACTGATCATGTACCCATGTACACAACACAAGCGCTACCTCCTGCTCCCTCAAACCAAGCCCTTCTAACACCTTCACCGGCTTCGAACTGGTCTGGCTATCACCTTCCAGCCGATCCACGTCCTGGAAACCCGGGGGGTGCTAAGACACCGCAAGCCATTCCACGTTCAACATCACCACTTCCTCGTGCCGGAGGTCGTGGTACTAATGCATCTAATCCAGTTCATGGCAGGAATGGGTCGATAGGTCTCAACTCTCCAGTCTCATCTAGTCCCGCTACCAAGCAACTAAGGTTAGGTGGAGGATCGGCACACCCATATGCCACAAGCCAGGCTGCTGCGTCAGGATCAAATCCCTCCCAAGCTGCAAACCTCTCACCTATAGCCGAAGGGTTCGGAGCAACAGGTACTTCACCTCCCACCTATGCAGTTGGGCGTGGACCGTTTAACCCGAGCACACCTTCACACACAAATGCGCCGTCCTTAGATGATTTGAGACGGAAGTTGGTCAAAATCGCCCTTCCTGATGAGGGTCTCACGTATACCATTGACGTCGATAACTGCGCAGGTGGTGTTGAAGTTCTTGAGAAGGTACTGAAGAAATTTGGCAAGCGTGGAGCGCGTCATTCAGACTCGGAGGGTGTGGACAGTATGCACACGGAAGACGGCGGGCTTAGTGTTGATGGCTGGGGCGCGTATCGGGATGATGGAACTGGTGAGTTGAGGTATATTCTTATTCTGTCGAAGTCACACCGAATGTTGTGCTAGGGCCATTGGATGAGGCTGCACTGCTCTCTTATTGCCATGCCTCGCTTGATCATCCAGCCAGAGACAAGCCCTTATCATTGCGGAAGATTGCAAAGGCTCGTCGCGAGGATCGGAATAGTCCGCCTTCTCCACCCCATGGTCGTTTCCCTGGAGGTCAAACATCTAAGAGTACGAAGCGAGCCAGCTCCATCAGTATACTCAGTGGTTTAGGTGTCCGCGATCCTGAAAAGGCTCTGGAGCCACCTTCTCCTACGCATTCTGGTTCCGGCAGGTCGAGTCCTGCCACTACTCATAGCGCAAAGCGACCATCCAAGTTGCGAAATTTCTTCGGACAAAGACCTCCGAGTGAACTTATTACGACTCACTTAACGGAATATTTCCCCTTCACAGAGAAGAAGGTCCTTGAGCGCACGGCGAGACACAGCATGATGCGAGCAGGCACGACGCGGGATAGCGCCTCTTCTTATAATCCACCGTTGCCTTCTAGATTTAGCAGCAGTACCCTTGCGTCTCTTCCACGAACCTCGGTATCGACTTCCCGTACTTCTTTGTCGTCTAATGCCGCCCCGCCTTTACCCGAAAAGCCCTTTTCTGATAGTGGTAATACAACACCGGCTGAAGACATTCCTCGTGTATCTCTTTCCACTGAAGACGGTCGTTCCGTAAATCTTCATGATACTGCGGACAGCGCAAATAATCATCCGGAACTTCTTCCCCCCATCCCGTTCCCAACAGAATCGTTCTCGGAATCTCTGGAAAGCCTGACTGGGGCCAACCGTCGTATGTCTAGAGCATTGTCTACGGCGTCGCGAGCTTCTCGTCGGTTGAGTTACATGACCGAACTCCGAAGTAAGAAAGACCGTTCTGATACCGCAAGTCTCATGACGGTGGATGAGATCACAAAGGAAGTCGAAAGTCGGAGAAGAAATACAGGCGTTTTCGATAGAAGCTCAGAGGAACCTGACGGTTGGACTCAGGTTGAAAATGAGGATGGCGCCGATGAGAACGATGAAGAACCTGATGAAGAGGAGTACACGGATAGTGAAGAAGACGGTGTCGTGTCTGGTCCAGAAAGTCCTACCTTGGATGAGGATGATGACCACATCACAGGTGTGGCGATGCGCAAAGGCAAGTGAAATTACCATGTATGAAAGAATGGCGCAGCTTAACTAGTGGTTTCATTCAGCAAACAAATGGATTAAGGGTGCGCTCATCGGTGCGGGATCCTTTGGGAAGGTCTATTTAGGAATGGACGCCTCGAATGGTCTTCTTATGGCAGTCAAGCAAGTGGAGCTGCCGACTGGTTCGGCTCCTAATGAGGAACGCAAGAAGAATATGCTGAGTGCCCTGGAACACGAAATAGAACTGCTTCAAGATTTACAGCACGAAAATATAGTGCAATACCTCTGTTGGTACTTCCATCTACCTCAACTTGGTTTATTATTGACATCTTTATGTTCAGACTCATCACTTGAAGATGACTGCCTCAACATTTTTTTGGAGTATGTACCGGGAGGATCAGTCACTGCACTGTTGCGCAATTATGGCGCCTTCGAAGAGCCTTTAGTCAAGAACTTTGTCCGCCAAATTCTACAGGGTCTCAGTTATCTGCATGAGCGTGATATCATTCATCGTGACATCAAAGGTGCCAATATCCTTGTTGATAATAAGGGAGGCGTCAAGATATCAGACTTTGGCATATCTAAGAAAGTTGACGTCCGTAAGTATATTGCCAAGCTTCAATGTTTGATGCTAGATTATTGATTTGTGAAAACAGAAGTGCTTGCTGGTAACAATCGCGTTCATCGACCATCGCTGCAAGGATCAGTATTTTGGATGGCACCTGAAGTTGTCAAGCAAAGTGGGCATACACAGAAGGCTGATATTTGGAGCGTGGGTTGTCTCGTTGTCGAAATGCTCACTGGCGAGCACCCATGGGCACAACTCACCCAAATGCAGGCTATATTCAAGGTACTCTCTGTCATTTACACATTTGTTCGCATCATTAATTATCCTTTGTAGATTGGATCGTCAGCGAGGCCGGCTATTCCCTCTGACATATCTTCAGAAGCTCAAGACTTCTTGACGGAGGCTTTTGAGATAGATCATAAAGCAAGGCCGGCTGCGGCTGAGCTCTTGAAACACCCTTGGATAAACGCAACGTGATACTTTCTGTGCTGATATCTTCGAACTTTTTCCCCCTTTGGTAGCTTATTCTTAGGAACATTTTTTGCGTTTTTACTTATATACTTTATTTTTGTTCACCTATGCTATCTTCGCTGTACTCGGGTAGAAAGGAAATCACTGTATGATAACACATATATCCTGACAGATATAGAAGACCTCAATCTTCTGCCTTACGCTTTCTTTTAGATCCCGTTCCCGACACTGCTCTCGATCCTGGTCCCCAATTCTGAGGAGTCTCTTGATAACGCACTAACTTCACTTTTGACGAAGCTGTAACAGATTGTGGGTGTCTTTTGAAGTTTGCCTCCGTTCTAAAGGATGTCAGCGATGAATAGTGGTGGAAGTGCTTGAACCGTACTTGGGTTCTTTGGCAAGTAATTTTCGAGCTGGAGATGCTTCTGAGACGTTCTCCAACTTGACGGGATGCAATTTGACAAATGATCGGAATATATCATGGAGGTCCGCCCGTGTCGCTGTCGTTTTCAAAGATCCAGGCGTCGCATGAGACCTGGAAATTAGATACCCCGCGTGCAAGAGAGCAGAACTTCGGTTAACACATGTTAGCTAAGACCCGCGTGGAAAATGGTATTTTACAACGTACGCCATTTCGTCTAGTGACGGTGTTTGACAATGGAAGAAACTTGCCACCCTCGTTGGCGTGAAGTAGAATGGTGTGTGCAGTTCCTAGAGCCCATAAGTATATATATTTCTCTCGCTGGAGGTAAACCTACCTCCTTTGCAACAGTAAGCATCCCTTTCATTCGGGTAGAAGTTCCGTACGAATCAGGGTTCCCTTCGACGTGCTCCAAAACCTTGGCAACAAAATCTGTGTCATGAATGGGACCTGACCACATCGGACCTGCTATCTACATGCCCAGATGATTAGTCACGAGAACCCTATATATGAAAAACCATTTACATGTAAAGCGGATTCACATTCTGGACATCTATCAGAAACCACAGGACCAGGATGTGTCCTGAAATTATAATTGATGTTCCCAGAAGTTTCGTGTTTCTTTTCTGTAACCCTGCCCAACGGCTGCTCATAGAATGATTGACACGACGTGCAAACGAAATAGGCAGATATTTTCCTGAAACGATGCCCATCGGATTCTACTCCCAGTGCGATGAATGAATGATACCCACGTAAGCGCTTTCTTGACTCCAACTGCGGACGTATGCACCTTGATGAAAAGCCTGACATAAAAGTCTATCGAGAGCGATAGCAACGGTTCAATATAACGGCCGTATCTTGAAGCGGATGCTGAAACAGCGTGGAGCACGAGTCTGAGCGCCTGGATAAGAGTATTGAGCCGAGAATATCATTGACAATGATAGTCCCGCGCCTACAGCTTCATGACAATACTCCGACTTGACAGGAATACCACCATAATTGGATAGGCTGGAAGAGATGTCAATATGAAACGAGCGCACACAATATTCATATTACGGATGCATACCACTTCTCAGGGTAGTTGTTAGTAGCAAGCACTGAAAGATCAGTGCAAGTGACACAAAGAAGGCCTGAAACTTGTAAGTGATAGCAATGGCTAGGCACAGTCGAGATGCCTACCACCATCATTTACACTCTGAACGGCAGCATCGATGAAGGAAGCAGCGGTCCCATACGGATCAAGATCAACAACATCCACACGCTGGCGTTCCTCGCGATGGTTATACATCAGCGTGCTGCAAGATAATCAGTATCAAACAGCATCAGTAGGTATGCCTCACCATGCATCCCCTTCATTGATTCGTATCTTCCCATCACCCGTGCTGGAAAGTTGGAATCCATTGGATTTGACATTGCGCCTCATGGCGGCTGTTGCCGCGCTGGACAAGTCATTCGCAATCACGTATCTGCTCAAGACATCTTAGCAAAATTTTCCTAGTTATTGTGGCTTTCGGACTTTACAAGCGGTATCTCCTTGGCGTAACGGATAGACCGAAGTCCAGTAGCAGACAATGCTTCAAGAATGACGACTTTGTAGGGCCTGTATTGAGGCTTGCAAAGGTATAAGCAATACTTAAGATAAGGTCTGAAATCTCTCACCTCCTTCTGCAAAACGCCCTTGGCCTCTTGCTCAGCAGATTCTGTTGCAACGACATCCACTGAAGCACCATTTTCCACTGGAGTCATATGTCAAACGTTGCAGTCAACGATATTCTTAGTACCTATTCACCTTTCTGCCGCTTCCTCGCATTGGCCTTGTTGGCCTTCTTCTCCTGGCCGAGTTTCCATCGAGTCTCCTTCAACAAATTGAGTTCCTCGCTCCAGATTCTGATACATGCCACACTGAGGTCGCGATTGAACTCTTGAACGGGATTCAAGAACGCTTCGTTTGACGACAGTAGCAGATGAGACGTATTTTCCGTGTGCAGAGTAAAACCATCGGGCACAACTATAGAAGGAGCCGTCGACATGCTAAGCCTGCCACGCACAGGGCGCGAAGGACAGTGGGCAAGACGGCGAAAAACAGAAAGAGGAATGGTCGTCGAAAGTGACAACCAATTGTGTTATCAAAAGCGGCATTTATTTAAAATACGGCTATAATTGGATACAAGCGATAAGTTGATGCGATGCAAGAAAATGTACCAAGTGTAATACTTGTCCGTCCATGTATATGTCAGTAGAGATATATAACGTAAAATCCGAACAACTAATATGAAAATTCCTCCGAAATGAGATCAATGTAACCTCGTCTATCTCCCTTCCAGACTCGAGCGGGATTGATCTGGCATGCAATAGCCTTACGGACCATTGCACTAAAAGAACTGGGTCCACAACCTGCAAAACCATTCAACATCAATCAAGGCGAAGCGTAAGATAACTCACAAGCAACAACTACAGATCCGTTCGACCAGTCAACTTCATCTTTCAGAATCCGATCTATTCTAGGTTTACCCGGGCGAACATGCTCAGCGACAACAGCCATATCACGCATCTCCGGTTCATTCAACTGCAGTCTTTGACCATAGGTAACAGCGTCTCCCTCAGCGGTAGGTATTTCTACGGTATTTGCACTCAAGGACATAATCGTTTCGGTTTCGTCAAAAGTGGGTGTAAGTGGGCTAAGAGTAGGTGTCGGCGGGCGGAGGGGAGAAGAAACATGTACGTGAGAATCGGCGGACAGATACGAATGGCGACGATTATGATAGTCATTCGAAGACAGTGGCTTCAAGCTCGCCAGGTCTCCTCCGACAGTAGATTCTGACGACGGACTTCTTTTGTGAGTAGGCTTACCCTCGTGGGTGAGCAGTCCATCCGTAGAGTGTACTGATTGCCGCTGCAGACGAGCAAATTCATCGAGTTGCTCTTTCATGTGGATCGCGTTAGAGAATTTCCGCGAGTGCGCACGTCGGTCCTTCCCCACTTTCTGCACGCGCCGATTAAGCTGAGCCTCTCCAGGAAGTGTCGTCTCGTTATCACCGTCAAAATTGGTCAGGTCGAGGGTGTAATCTTCCCGCCGTCTGACAGACATATCGCCTACATCGCCTTCATCACCAAACTCCCCGACATAGTAGCTAAGATCGACGTCCTCAGCATCGCTTTCGGATTCGGCAGGCGAAGAGGTCCGATGGCTGAAATGAGGCGCAGGCGGGTTGAGTTCCGAGTCGTATTCAATTTTCGGCCGTGACGGCAGTCGGCGAATTTGAGGTTGAAAATTGGTCACAAAAATGTCGACATCTAGGCCGGGAGAAGGGATCATAGACATACACCGGCGAAGGATTGATGCACACCATTGAATATGACCTATTGTCGGCAATGAACATAGTGAAAGACACATACATTCTTTCAACATACCGTATTCTCGAATGAGCCAAACAAATCTTACTCGTCTGGTGGCGAAACCTTTCTGCCCCCACCCACCTGCTCGCCCACCAAGATGCTTACCATCCCGACCGGCCAAGCACAGGCATAAATATTCGAGTATTGATAGGCCAAAGCTGACACCAGACCCAGCAACGAAGATGACGACAGTCGCATTGTCTTCCCAACGAGCGCGTATGGCACTCCCAAAGGGCCCGTCTATGAACATGCGCATAACGACACCGCTCTTGGGCATGACCGTTCCATTCGGGAGTGTTTCGCCTGGCGGGTGGTTCCGTCCCTGGCTCAACAACTTAAGGGTACAGTCCCATAAATCTCTCGTCCACCCAGCCTTAGATCTGACTAAAAGGACAATGGCACGGCCCGAATTGGAAGGGGCCTGCTCGTCACATATAGATGCAGCGGTGAAAGGATGACTAACAAAGCGTGACACAGAAGGAACATTAATCAAGAAGTGTTGGCCTGGAGCCCAGGACAGAAACCCGGGAGATATGTAAGTCAGACGTACCGTAGCTCCGGAAAGAAGCTCAACATGCGCGTAGCCTGGAGGGGGAGAGTATCGCAGTGCGCTGGCGGGCTCCATTAGCTGAGAGACGTGAGAGTATTGGTCAGAAAGATATGGTGATGGTGTTGGTGGGGGGTATCCTGAATATGACTGTGGGGAAGCGAATGTAGATGGGCGCAGCATTTGGGTTTCAGAGTCCACCGTCTTGTGTGTTGGTGAAGCTATGACGATGGCGGGCGCAGAAGTGGTATCTCTGCCAAATAGGCCGTTTGTATATAGCCACCAAGTGCCACGCCAAACACGCTCTGCGATCCAGATGGCTAATGCGACCCAACACCACATGGCCACTGGAGGGTGATGAAGTGCAGCAAAGATCAAGGTGAGCGGCACGAGAGTGACATGGCCAAAATAGAAGGTTTCGTAGTGATGTTTCCGAATTGGATTGATGGAGAAAACCACAAGCAGCGTCATAAGAAGGAAGGCCTACAGTCTGATGAGCAGGTATGCAACAAAGATGATGAAGAGAACACATACAGCCCATCCGTACACAAACTTCTCATACTGCCAGGCATATGCATACGCCTCTTTACCAGTTAGTGCGCGGGTGTCACTCAATAGCTGGACGCTCCAAAAGACAACATGAAGAAGTGTTATGCCGTATATAAGTCTGGCGGACCAACGATGGAGCCAGGAGAGTTTGTCAAAGTAGATTTGAGTGGTAAATGGAAGGGCGAAGATGGCGAAAGGCGGGGCCTTGAGAGCGAAGAGGACACAAAGGGGGAGGAAGGAGAAGGCGATAATGCCTGTCCTACCGCCTGCTGTCCACCAAGCTTTGTATATTGTGTACTGCGGCTGCCAGCGGGTGAACTGGGAGACATCGTAGGAGCGGACGGATAAACCTAGATTGGTGACGTCAAAGAGGCCATCGGCAGGGTTGATATAGTCCGGACCGGCAAAACAAAGAAGGATGGTAACGATTGCAAGTACTGCGAGGCACAGCAGCTGGCCGTTCGGCGGGAGGGATACAGGGTACTGATTCTGTCTGCGGGCGATCTTCCCTCTCCAGGTCCGTCTCCGTATTGCCCACTTGGCCCAGTAGGCGCCCACTATGCTGCCTCGAGACCGGGTAAGGTGGAGAAGGGTGAAAACGAGGAAGACTGCTGCGATGCAGAACCAGAATATATAGGCGTACCGGCGCGAGTTGTCACTCATCATATGTATAACAAGGTACGCCGTGATCCACTGGACATCATTTGTATACACGGGCGTGGTTGGATTAGGATCTAGGGCCTGCAACGATGAGGACATGGTGGGCGAGAGTCGGCGGTGGGTATTATAAATACGAGGCGTAACACCGGCGCTGCGGAGGGTGGGAAACGACGACAGCAGTTGGATGGTCCGGCGAACGAGCTAGACTCTGAAAAGAAAGGAAAGTGAGAGCGGTGGTCGGTTCATGGGTGTCTTGAAAAGAAAGAAAAAAGAGTAATGAATAACGCAGCGGCATTAGCTTGGTGGTCTAAGATGTCCAGATTCTGCACGTGACTTGAGTCTCACTTCGTTTCCAATTGCTTGGCAATGACTTCCGTCAGGCTGAGCTTGGATCTGCTTGGTATTAAATCTCCAAGTGATTGTTAGGTGCCGTATTTTCAACAATGTTCAATGCCCCAACAACCGCCTGCACTTTTCTCGCAGCATTATATACTTGCGGGAGTAAATCGGAATCGGATAATTATTGAAGCTACTACACGACTGCGACCCTGTGAAACATCCTTCCAAAGTCTGTCCACGAAAAACGGAAACCCAAATAAATTCATTGTGATTTAACAAATGTCAAGTCCTTTAGCTCCGGACCCACAATCAATTCAAAATCTCTCCAGAGCGGACCTGTCGCAGTGGCGTTCAAGAACATCAAGTTTTGCACCGACGTACAGCAACATACCTCTTTGCCAGTCTTCTTGATTCTGGCAAGAACGTCTTCGTAGGGCATGCTTCCCTTCACCACAACTTGCTGTGTATCCAGGTTGACGGTATAGTCATTCACACCTATTCAGGTCCTATTCAGTAAGGAAGGCTCGTGACGAGACTTGCCGCGGTCGCTCACCGTCAAGCTTGGCCTTCTCGAGCACACGAGTGACGGCGCCTGAGCATCCGGTGCAGGTCATCTGTTCGCATGCTCATGAGCAATGAATACCACGGGTCTCAGGAGAGACTCACTTTGACATCGAATTTATACGTTTGCTCGACCTAGAGAGAGGAGATAGGTAAGCACCAAGTAGAAACGCTCAACGACAAGACTTTCCATAGTAATTACCTAGTCTAAATGTTAGCATCAGATCCAACACAGACTGTACGTCCCACCACTCACAGACAAGGGAAAAAGGAAGCGAGGGAATAGACAAGGAAGTCAACCCAGATAGTTATACAACGAGACAGCTGGCGAGAGAGAGGAAAGACGTGGACGCTCTTTATCAAGCGTGACTGTTTGTAAGTCAGACTCGCCATCAGATCGCGTCATCGATCTGACTGTACCGCATCCGGAATCATCTCATAAGGACCATGTTACCCGTGCATTCTTTACGCACGACAGACGCGGCGTCTCAGGGACATTGTCGGGAACGGGTAAACTGCGAGGGAATCACAGCATACCCCTGGGAATGTGATACGACATACGGACGCCCTTCTCACCACAAACACCCGTTATTCATCCTCTATATTATACAATCAAGGGTCATCGATCAGAACCTCGCTCTTCAACCATCTCCATCTGCTCCTCTCCTTCGGTTGCTACCGCCTGCCAGCCATCGCTTGCGCGTGGTCCTCCTCGTAACCGGTCAACACAAGCACAAATCCAAGCTCGGAGCCACGAGGTTAGGCCTTTATAATCCCAAAGTCATTGAGATTACTCACCAAATACCCGCGGTATATCTCTATCCTTTCCGTGTGTGATGTAGTACACGGGAATGCCGGCAACCACAAAGCCTGCGAGACGTTAGTTTCTCGAGGTATCTATAAATGTAGCCATGCATACCCAGAACTGCAATTGCGGGTAGCGGCGCAGCAATAACTGGCATGCAAATGAGAAACAATGCTACCTTCGGCCAAAAGTTACTATCATCCAGTTGGTTCACATACGTATACACTTACCGCACAAAATATCAACGGTGTTATTATCCACGTTTTGTAAGGTCTGTATCGTCAATCAGACGATGCTTTACAGTCTAGGTACCCTGTTACCTTTCTAGCGTAGGTTCCTTCACTCGTAGAATAACTAGTCCAAGAACCTGGCCTGATACGTGAACAGTAGTATGCCAGCGTCGCTAAGAACTCACAGTGAGAAAATAGAATCCCCATGACGCAACGACAGAGAAGTTAATAAGCGAGCGAAACCCGCCACCCACAAGGATGAAAGCGATAGTAATAGCCGTTTGCAGTAGTGTCGCATTCAACGGCGTCTTCCTGGTCTTGTGCAGCCGCCCAAAAAGAGAGGGAAGATACCGTTCTCTACCGGCGGCGTAAATGAGACGTGAGCATGTGAAGAATGATCCTGTCCGACATGCCCAGTCAATGGCATCACGGGCTTCAAGGATCAAAGAAGAGGGCCACACACCATTTAAAGCACCAAAACATGAGAACGCCACCATAAAGGCAAAAACTGTCCCTCCTATAGGTCCAAATAGTGCCCGTCCAAAGTCCATGGCAACTGTATTGCTCAGACCAACAAGATTCTATCTCCAGTGTTATTTCCAGACTGCAGAGAAGGAGGAAAGCCAACCTTATCTAGAACCACAAAGTAGGAAATATTGGCCAGCAGAAATAATACCTAGACAAGGGACCAGATCAACAACGGAAGGCCATAGGGAATTTTTCTTACAGACCGTGACGATGGCCATGCTAGAATGTATAGTTCGGGGAATATTCTTTCCTGGGTTATGCATCTCCCCTCCAACATAGTTTGCCTGATCCCAGCCGTCAAAAGCCCACAGACCGGAGTAGAGCGCCAACGAATAAGCAGACGGACTGTTGCTGGATCCTTCAAACCAAGGCTTCGTGAAAGACTCCGCCGCTTTTCCGCGAGCGAGCTGAATTATGCCTAATAGCGTGATCGAAATCTGCATACTAAGTTCAGCAACGATATACAGTATAGACTACCTGTGCCCAACGTACTAGAGCAGCTACCTGAAAGGAGCAGTTATCTCAACAACAAAGACATGGGTATTAGGCAATTTAATACTAACTTTTACAGTGGTGAAGACGACCGCGACACGAGCACCTAATTTACGCGTCCAAATGCATAACAGAGTTACAGCCAATATTGCGCCTATTGCAGTAAGTTTGATAGCCCATTCAGGAATATCATCCGGCGATACCTCAGAACGAGTAGTATGCCAAAATATCCGATTAATGTACTCCGAGAAAATAAGACTGATCACCGCGTTACCACCTTAACATTCGGTTGGATTAACGAAGTCCCCATTGATCAGTGATACCAGATTTCGCACCAGGTTTAAGTCCAATGATGGCAGTCCATGCAAAGAGATACGAGATGAGGGGTCCATAAGCGTACGACAGATAGGCTTGCGCGCCACCGTCTTGCGGTATCGCAGATCCCAGTTCCGCAAAACTACTTGCTCCAGTCCATGCTAATAGACCAGATGTGAGCCAAACAGCCAGACTTGCACCAACAGTGTGGGTATTGGCGACCACGACACCCGGTGATGAGCTGGAGGAAGAGCTTATGTCAAACGTGAAGCGAAGCGAGATGATTTGACCGACAATATCCCCGACCCTATCTGTCAGAGAATTGAGTGCCAAAGAATGAGCATGAGTTTTCAGAGTGCATACCTGAAGCCCAACGACAAGAGCAATGCCTAAGCGTGAGCTAATTGAGACACCGTCTACTGCACCGCGACTGATGTCACTTACCATTGAATAATCCTATGTTCTTGTCGCCGGATTCGCTGGCTACGAGTTCGGGATCCGTCAAACTCGCACTCAGAGGTAAGAGGTCTTGCTGGAAATCGAAGTCGTTGACAGAATATGACCGTCCTCTACAATATATTGAATACCCCTCCAAATCCGAGCGAAAAAGACACGTACCGTCCATATGACGGCGGTGCGGCAAGGGGACCTTCTGAAATCTCGAGGTTCCTTAGAGAATCCTCTGAGTCGCGTGAATTTCGCGAAGAGAGAGTTGAAGAAGTGGTATAATCGCCGTTCAATGGTGACCTGAGAGCCACATATGAAGAGGGCATGGAAAGATTAGAATGAGGATGGAATCGTTGAAATTGAAAATTCGACACTCGGCCCTGATTATTTGTTCGTAGTTGGCATGGCCCTCGAGCGGAAACCTGTGATTCCGACGTTGCCCGTCTGGCTCTTCGCAAAAAACCATGATGCTCACTCGCGCCGTAGGTTTGGGGCCAGCCCTCAGGCAAGCTGCCTTTGCTCCACGACTGGGTATGTATGATATTTCTGCTGTTTTGCCTCTCCTTGCTGACTCTCTGTAGTTCGAAGTCAGGTTGTAGGTCGGAGTCTCATTGCCAAACGGTGAGGTGATATGGTACACGGGAACGCCTAGGTTCACGCAGGTCCACTAGGAATGTCCAGATACAGTCACTCCCATCTACAGCATCTGTTGAAATTCTCAACAAGCAGCGTCTCAAACGCCCCAACAGTCCGCATGCCACCATATACCAGCCTCAACTACCATGGATCACCTCCATCGCGAACCGTATCACTGGCGCTGGTCTCAGTGTCTGTGCGTAGCTTATGGTGTTCGGACAAACATACCGTTAACTGGACTCTGTAGTGCTTTATGGTTTCTCCCTGGCCTACCTCGTCGCTCCAGGGACCTTTGACAGCACTCATATCATTGAGTTTGTGGCCGGCCTCCCTGAGGTTGTCAAATTTGCGGGAAAGACCATTCTTGCTGCACCATTCGCTTACCATTCCTGGAACGGAGTGAGGCATCTTGTTTGGGATTCGACAACCAAATGTATGTTCTTCCCCTATCCATTTATCTAATTTATTTATTTTCATGTCTAGTTCTTTCCGTGAAGGGCGTCTACAACACTGGCTATGCCATGTTGGGTCTTACCTGTCTATCAACCATTGTACTTGTATTTATGTGAATGAAACCCAGGAACTGTTTTCTAAGCTTGAAGCTTGAAATTTGAAAGCCATAAGAGGTCAATGAGTTTTTTGCGTATATAGCATCCGGACATATCACTGTCGGTATAACTGCCACTATGCACGTGTCGTCGCGCCTGCACCTTCACTTGATACTTTTACGTCCTTTCAAGCACCATGCTCGTATCCATCACCTGAGCGACCGATTTTACCGCCAAAAACGCGTACGATAAGAACATGCGTTTTCGGACTACTATTGACAATGTTCCAACTTTCTTCCGTGTGTACCCTGTCTTGTATCCGTCGCCATGGACCCATTCGCTTGCAGGTATCATACAATCCATCGAGAAGCTCCAAAAGAAATGCATCATAAAGTTCACGGAAACGAACATGCATCTCATCTGCAATAGCGACACGAATGAAGGCGGTATACAGGTCTGGTCGTACGTCGGTGCCATCTTGGATATCTATGCGCACAACTCAGTCAGATTAGACAAATCAAGGTCGAATCAATATTCAGCGGCTACCGCATCCAGTCTAACGCGTCAAACGAGATTACTGTAGCTTTATTCTCCGAGGCTCTCCTTGCTGCCCTCAGGTCTGCATCATCATCTACCACTGGTGCCTTGTCTTCGTTCGAGGCCGAAGAGGTCGTCATGAAGCTCGCAAAGAAGAGTGATCAGGCCGTACTCAGCTTTGAGATTACGGGAATGACCAGAGTAGGCCGACGGGTAAAGGTCACCCACGATGTCAAGATTGAAGTGATGAAGCCGAGCGACGTCGAGAGATTAAATGAGCCAATGTGTCCTGAGCCAGACGTCTGCGATCTCCTGCTGCTTTACCAGTGACTATACTGACAGACTGACAGACACACATCCTCCTCCCGCCCTTACAGAAGCTGCGAACGATTGTTGATCGCCTCCGGCCAATGTCTAATGTTCTTGGAGTGCGCGCAAACAACAACGGATGCCTCCAGTTTTCTATACATACTGAAAGCGTCAAGGTTGACACTGAGTGGAAAGGATGTACGAACCCAAAAATGGGTGCGCAACATCTTTCGGCGGGGCTTCTTGTCTCTGAGGTAGCTCTTCAGCGCGGGAGAACGCATCTCAGCAAGAGGATCCTCCTTCGGATCCTGATGAAATGTTCAGTGTCCTCGTTTCTATTCGTAGTTTTATCAAATTTCTGCACAGTCATGTCGTCTCAACTACCACCATCGCTTGTAAGTCGCTCCTATCGGTTCAATTGAAACGTGAACCCATTGATCCTGACCTCTTTCAGGTATTTGTCAAAATCACTGTATGATACTCTATGTGTATATTGGAGATGTGGCAGATGCGGGAGGGGTGCTGACGTTCTACATACCTGCCATGCTGGACGATGACGGTTAAATGGCGAGTTTTTCTATAACATTTATTCTATTGGCAGCCTTGTGTATAGCCATTTACCATTTACCAGTGCCCCTCCCCAAGAATGATATGCGCATTCAACAGACTACTGGTATGCAGCGTCCATTGGCGGCTCAGTGTCGTTGACTTCATACAAGCGTTACTCCAAAGTGGCATAGCCCTTCGGCATCAGTATGGAATTGCATATGCTGAAGGCTTTTGGAAAGTGAACATAACGCGAGGGGAGATTCAAGTACATGTTTGCTCTAGTACCGGATTTTCATCTCTTTCTGCTTGTTTTTTGAGAACGGATGCTTTCATGAGATGGGCTTATCTTCCGTGGATCGACCCGAGGAGCGGAACATGACAATGGTCTGCATACTATTTTACAGTACTAGTAAAAACAGCAGGGTACTTTTTGTTTGTTTATGACGACTGCTTAACTCAAGCGAACGTTATCCAACAATGCCTGTGCCACGATGGAATGAATTTCGGTGCATCGTTCTTGGCAAAGGTCCAGGCACTGCAGAACAAATATCAAGACGGAAACCAAATGGTCGTAGGGTTGAAGTACCTTGAGAACTTGCTCAGGTCGCATTTGGCCATTCTGCCAGACACTTGTGACTAATCCTAAGGCCGGCATCGTTGAAAGGATCAGAGATCCAGTAGATGCCTGAACTTCGTGCGCAGTCGGGTCTAACCAAATTTCTTCTCCAACGAGGGCCTGCGTGACGACTAGGTAAACCTCATGAAACGCAGCATACCGCTTACCGCCGAGCAAGCCACAGCGAGTCCAAACATTTCAATTCCAGCATCAGCCAAAGCAGTACTAGCTGCAACTGAGCCGGAGGCAATGCATCCTTCTATACCGTCCGATTCAATTATGACAATGAAAACGTCGATTGTCGACTTTGGCAGCAGCTCCAGGCGCACTGAAGGCAAAAGAGCTTGGTGTATAGCAACAGCCAACGAACGATCTTCCGCATCCTAAAGAAGCTGCGAATGATTACAGAACTCACGAGAGAAAATGGACGAAATCACCACTTACGCGCATCGGCGCTTTCCTCTGCTCGCACGAGTACGGAGCAAATTTCACTTCAACGTTCAATCGGCCGTTCTCGTTGTATGTGGCGTTTTTCGACTGCCGGGGACCGTAACTACAACCAATGAATGTCCAGATATTTTGAGGACGACAGAAAGCAGTACATAGCGCAGGCAACTTTTGTTTTGTCAGTTTCGATATATGCAGACCCATTTGCTTGTGTTATCAGACCTGGTTGGAGAACTAAAGCATTCCGTTAAATAACCAAGAAAATTTGAAGAGAAAGCCATACAGATTGGCCGGATGTCGTTTGGATTTCTGCCTTTTCTTGTCATTCCTAACTTCCATACAGAGTTCTCAATGTCGTCGTCGCCGTATATTGGAGGAAAGCTCTCCTCCGGGCCATTGATTCGTCTTCGGTCGAAGCCAGACTGAGCCATGAACAAAGGTGGTGCTCGCCAAGATCGGTTGGAACTCCGGTGTGCCGTCGGCTGGCTGGCTGTCTTCGCCCACGATGTCGAAACTCTCCTTCTCCCTTGCAAAGACAAACAAGGCTGCAGAGTCTGCTCCCTCTCTCAAGCGACCCGCTGTCTTTGCTTCTCTCGACGACGATGAACCTGTCGATGCGGCACCGACGTCGTCCGCAGACAAGACCACAGCTGCGAATAAGAAACTACTGACTCAGAACATGCTCACATCTAAAGTGATGAAGAGACGCATGGATGCAGAGAAACGGGTCGACGCTTCGGTGTACGAGTATGATGAAGTCTGGGATAAAATGCAAGAGGCGAAACAGAAGCAAAAAGATGCCAAGGAATTAGACTCGGCTCAGAGAAAGGTGTGTTCAAGTTCTGCTCGTCTCTCTCTCTTCTTTAATGATCTGGTGTTCTCAGCCGAAATATATACATGGTCTACTGCAATCTGCAGCTACGCGAAAACTCGACCATCTACGCGCTGAAGAGAAAATGATGCAACACGAACGTGAAGCTGAAGGTGACGAATTCAAGGACAAGGAATCCTTCGTCACTCAGGCGTACAAGGATCAGATGGCAGAAGTTCGCAGGGCAGAAGAGGAGGAAAAGCGACGTGAAGGTCAGTCAGTCTACACCTGTAATATTGACTTGGACTAAATTATCACCCCGCAGAAATGCAAAAGAAGCAAGGTGGTGCAACGACAGGCATGGCACATTTCTACAGGAAACTCCTTGAAGATTCGGAGCAGAATCATGAAGCTACCGTGGCGGCAACGCAGAAGCCTACCATTGGTCCACAAGGTCCCATGCCCAACTTGACCATCATCAAACCTCCCGACTTTACGCCGATGTCTGACCTGGAGTTAGCGCGAATCGCGCGACAACAAGGCAAAGAAGTCGAATTGAATGACGATAATCAAATCGTGGACAAACGAGAGCTGCTGGCAGCTGGGTTAAATCTGTCCGGCCTAAACACGAGGAAACTTAGTCGATCCACTCTGGGTAAACCTAAAGACGCCCAAACGGAAGCCGTTCAATCACACCGTGCGGTTGGGACCGCTGCCAGTCGTAGAGAAATAAATGAACGAAGGGCGAGAGAAATTCAGACTCAAATGGAAGAGGAGAAAGCACGTCTGTCTTTTGAAAAACAGCGAGCAGAACAGGAGGCCCATGAGCGCGTCATTGCGCGGAGGAACAATGAATCGGATGTTCAGAGCGCTCGAGAACGATATTTGGTCAGGAAACGGCAAAAACTGGAGCATTCTGCAGATATTGATACCGAGCCCTCGTAGACTCTATTGAGATAAGTTGTATTTCTAGTTTCCTGTAATTATTGTCTTACTATGTATACTTATTAGTGCTATATTTGATAGTTTCAATGCTGTCTACCGACGTGAACACGCCATTACACCGAGATAAACATTAGTCATGTCATGTCAGCGGTTTTGCAGTCGATGGTCTCCAATCAACGGTACCATCCTGTCAAATGCCTTCAAGATTGCGAGAGCGGTTGGTCGGTCGTCTGGATTTTCGTTCAGCATGGGCTTGATGATCTCAAGTAGTTCTGGGACGCAGTATCCGCACATCTAGAGATGTCAATTAGAGTAAACTTTCCACGCTTAAGCCGCACAAAAATAACGTACTTTACATGCCCGGAGCATTAGCACCGCCAGGGCCCATACATCCACCTTGAATGGATCGCGGCATTCACCATTTTCGCATTCCGGAGGAACTTCTGTGGCTCGAAACCCGACAAAAGATGCACGCTGCCCCAGCCCCAATCTCCGGCTCAGCTCATAGTCAATGCATGCATAGCGGCCGTTATAATCCGTGACCAGATTTCGTAGGGAGATGTCGAGGTGAGCAATTCGATGCATGTGCATGAAGGCGGCGTGCTATCCGAGTTCAGAGTGTCATCAACTTGAATTCATAATAGCAAGAAGACCCACCTCGATGCATTGCCGTAGCGCTCCGAGGAAAAGTCCCAAGCAGCATGGCCCTCCATCTGTAATCAATTGTGAAGACCATTCTTCCATTACAATGAAGGCCAGGTCATCGTCAGGTACGACCACCAGATCAAGGACGGCTACCGGTCGCGTTGAGCAAGGGACAAGGACAAGAATTGAAACGCACGTATGCAGTGGTTCATCTGATGCTCTCGGATTGGGGACGTCGAAAGAAACCGTATCACCTCTAGTTCACGGCTTCCGCAGTGTACAGCTTTGATAATAACTTTTGCACCGTTTCGAATGCATGTTCCTCGAAACAGATTATCGGGCTGGGGGGGTATATGAAGATCATCAAGGCTCGATAACACAACAAGAAGAAGAGGGCGTACCAGTCCGGCATCCGGACAGAGAGCATCATCACCATGTGCTAAACGCGCCTTCGTCAAGGACGGAAGTCGGTTTACTCCGTCCGCAAAGTGATCATGGTAATATTGTTTAACGTCTCGAACGGTGTCCAAGCGAAATCCTTTGGAGAGCAGCAGGTTACGATAGTCGGGCCAGTGTGGAGATACGCGACAGTTTACATCCTCCTCGTCCATGGAGGAAGAGGAGGAAGCGGGGGACTGTGGCTCATGACCGTCCTTGCGCCTCGAAGTAGACATGTCCTGTAGAGGCACAAGGAAGCATGGACGAAACGCAGCCTCTATATGAGGACAAATTTAAGCCACGGCAAGGTCGTATACAGTATCATGGAGAATGACGAGGGTAGGAAATAAATTCCATTGGGAGTAAAAGACAGAGGCCGTGCCCGGAACATCGCATGTCCACAATCAAGGAGCGACAGTTTTATGACCGTATTCTGAAAGACGGTCGTTTTGATGCCAATTTTTTCCAGCAAAAGAGGCAAAACCTTCTCAGGAATAGCGCTAAAAAGTGAATCCACAGACTGGGGTCGCTGGAGGCGAAGTAAATATCCTACAGCATCCCCTACGACAGTCAGAATGTATGGTATACGTAACTCTGTTGGAACGGGCCCCCCCTTCAAGGCAGCCGTGTCAGCACATAAATGGTGCTTGGTGCATGGATTGAGTGGACTAAAGAATCAAGATCGGTCCGGGCAGGCCCACTTTAGGTAATCTATCTGCCACGTGCCGAATGAACGCTGAGCGGTCCCGTCTGTCGCGTGAAGGACTCTTCCATTTGCGTCCTCCATCACAACCTATCCATTTCATTTATCCCTGATTTCCTTGATCCAGCCCTTGCCATGGAGGAAGGTACTAAATCGAAGAAGACCGTCTTTGTGGGGGGAATCGCCGAAGATGTTGACGAAAGCATGATATACGAACATTTTTCCACTTTTGGTGTGTGAACCCATGTTGCAGCACTTTGACTGTATTCATGTCCGTCCCGCAGGTGACATTATCGAAGTACAGCTTCCTCCGGCTGTAACGAACTTCAACCAGCAGTCTGGTCGGTGCTAGGAACACTCCTACAGCAGCCTTGACTAACTTTGTCGCAGAGGCAAAACATCGAGGCTTTGCTTTTGTCACATATGGTTCGTCGGCCGATGCTCAGGATGCCATTGATAATATGGACATGAACGAAATGCACGGCAAAGTCATCAAGGTCAATCTGGCACGCCCCATGAAGACCCCCATGCAACTAGGAGGAAACAGGGCGGGTGAGCAGCTGCGCCTATATATCCTCCATTCTCGTCCTGATCCCGTTCATTTAGTCTGGGAATCAGAAGAATGGCTCAAGGAACACGTAAAGCCTCTCGCGGAGAGTGGAGGTATGTCCTCCGCCGATCTGCCTCAAATGTTCCGGACTTGACTTTTCCAAGGAGTGCAACGCCGTACCACCCAGCGTGACAGGCCGGAATCTGAAGACGCCATGGAAGAGTGATGCCTATTCACTACGATTACAGCACTAAAAGGGTATGTGAATTCGCACCAGGCCGTTCAAACTATTGACGACAGAACGGTAAGCTCCGTCTCTAACGTACGTCCGACCTCAACCCTCGGAAATATCACTGAACGAGTTCCTGTATATGTACACGGACGAAGGACAGAAGCTTTGGCTGGCAATCGCCGTTCTGCGTGGAAGGGTAGATTGGGGACAAGGTTGACTACATCCAAAGGTTACTACACACCGGTGTTTGTTGGTCTATTATAAGCCCCTTGGATTGTCTGCATCATCGAATTGCGCTCGAGCACGTTTGATATCTTCCTGCATGAACAGCAGCTCCTCCATTCGAGCCAGCTTCTTTGAGTCGGCTGGCCGCGAAAGGACACGCCTTAATTCGTCAACAGACAAACGACCTTTCTTTGACGATCCGCCAGCCGCTAGACACTGTGTGCGATGTCGTGTCTGGTCAACAAAAGGGACGAATGAGACACGCACGACATCAGTAATGTATTCGATAAGAATCTCCTCCATTACATTCACGGTATCGTTTGCCGGATTTCTATCATCTCCAAAGCCATACATAAGATTCTTCACTACAACACGTTGAGACAGGTAAGAGCGACAGAAGCGCTACTCGCTTACATTCTTTGGTAAACAAGCCCTTCATATTCGACTGCTTTCTCGACCCCCGTCCTGCACCGGTGCTGGTCGAAGCAGTGTTGTCTCGTGCATATGAAGGTGTGTAAGGTTGGAATGTCGTTGATCTCGGTACCGTTGGTGTCGGTGTCGGTACTGGTCGTTGTGGTTGTGGCTGTACTTGTGTTGCAGGCCTGACTACTTGGGCACCTGGATGGACGTAAGGATACTGATGATACGACCACGGTTGGTAGCCGGCTGGCGACTGGTACGCGTAAGGTGTTTGTGTATAGGCACCATAAGGATACGTCGCAGAGGTTGGTTGACTATAGTAAGACATGGAGGTTAAAGCTTAGAAAGTTGGACGAGACATCGTGGGAAATTTCTGCCCAAAGTCAACAAATCTCAGTCGCCAGTATATACGGCATGAAAGTACAAATACAATACAGTAATTAACCGCACATCATTCATCAGTCGCTATCGTCTCCATTCGCACCCGATTCCAACTGCCTCGCCCGCTCCATTAGTTCTTTTATGTTCTGCCACTCAATGTCAATGATCTTTCGCTCATCGAGCCATTCGCAAATTCCATCGGCATCATCAAGATCTTCAGGTGGTTTCATGCCACCTGCATACGCCACGCGAACAAACCTGCCCGACTGTTTATGAACGTGGAGCTCGTCAACCTCGTTCTCTACAGACTTGAAAAGTTTGTACTAGGAGAAACGACTGTCAATGGCTACAGCGCAGGTGATATCAGAAGAGATCGTACCTCCCAGTGAGATATTTCATGATATATTCGTGTGCGTTTGGCGCAAAATCGTCCAAAGTAAAATTCGTGTGTCTGCTCCTCATTGTCTTCATCATCGCTGCCCTTCGACTCATCGGGCTGGTCCTACGAAGCAATTTACAAAACGCCGTCGGTAGAAAAAATCTGGACTCACTTGGAAACCCAATGGGTCATATGGTGATCCACCGAGCTGTCCTCTCAAAGTTGATAGCCTGCCTCCCAAATGGCAGGCATCGCACTGAGGAAGAGCAAAATCCAGCTTGTACAAGTTGAAATCCGGACACGTCTCCAACGATTTCTTGAATTCAGGTCGCCATACAGACGACGCAACGAGAGAATCTCTGAGGCCAATGAGTTTTCTTCGAGCAGATATCAGCGCCACAGAAAAGTAATCATCTTCAAAGTGAGGGTTGAGAAGTGACGACTAGAAATGAGGAACCTTTGCTTACCTTTCATTGCACGTTTCATAAATTTGTGCCTCTCAACAGCAGGATGGACAGCTATGTGGACGAAGAACTGGAATACAATCTTGAACTGGTGCGCAAGATCTTGTTGGGGCCTAAACTCGGCGGGCAGCAGAGCGACGCCATCCCCGTCATCTTCGACGATGAAATCAGACGACTTGTCTGAGTGTTCTGATTCATCGAAAAGGCTATCATTCTCGCTGTCTGGTTGTGCGTCTTTGAAAGGTGTGTCACCGTCATTTTCGGACTCATCCTCTTGTTCCTCTGAGTCTATGGATTCCACCGGTCTTCCCTGCTTCTTTCCTACATGGCTGTTTATAATATAGCAAATCAAAGCAGGGTTGGTACGTACGTTTGAGCTTCTCAAGGTTACGCTGAAACGCAGTTTTCCTATGGCGTGATCGTAAACGCGACTCCAGGATATCTGCGGACGCATGATCAAGTAACATCCGCCGATTAGTGACGGAACAACATACGTTCTTCCTCTAGCTCGTCGTCCTCTTCTTGTTGTTCGGGTGGGGATGAAGGGCGAGGGCCCCTGCGCAGTCTATTACGTCGGACAACTGGAATATCCGATTCTGAGTCTGAAATTTGCTGGCCTCGCTGTCCATTGCTTGAGCCCTTAACTTTGCTAGATTTGAGGGATCTGGACCTGACATTCAACTTTTTCGTTACAAGAACAGGGGATCCAGAAGAAATCTCGTCGTCGCTATCTACAACGACTTGTCTTCGCTTCGATGGGGACGGCTTAGCTTCATCGACGAGAACCTTTGGCTCGAATTTTATGCCACCAACGTCTGAGTCTGACTCGCCGCCATCCGACGCGTGCTTGACTGCATCGTGTCCTCGTTTTCGCTTTGTGGGTGACACTGATGGGGCGGATTCTTGGTCTTTGACACGCTTCGATTTAGACTTCTGAAGAGGAGAGCGCATTGGTGAAGATAAAAGGCCAAATAGAGTGGCCTGCTTGAACTTGGCCTGGCCTGTCTTTGGTTTCTTTGGCGGCATGGGGTCAGGTAAGTAAGAAGAAATTCGTGGTGCTGGCCGGGAAAGGAAAAGCTGCTGCACGGTTGCACGTGGTTTGCACGGGACCATTATCAACGCTCGGACGACGACAGTGCTTGAATCCTCCATTACCCACCACTACCAGGATGGCAGCCCAAGGACATCTCCTCTTGTGCTCAGAAAATTCTCGTGGTTGGACGACGGCCATCTTGTGACTCGCAGTGGTCTTTGCCACACAAAAGCACAGCATTCAGGATCATTCACATGCAAGTCATATCGCGTGCCTGAAATAGTAATAGTAATAGTATAGTTATCCGCAACACGGCATACGGCATTGCAACCCCACCCATGGTCCCGCCCTCTGCGCTGGGTTTTCGTACGGAGTTAGAGATAGCCACGCATATCGCCGGTTGGTTCTTAGTTATATAACTAAGATCCAATTCCCTTCAACTCCGGCCCTGGATATCATCATGTCTGGCGTTCGCGTTATCCCTCAGGAATTGGTCGACTCCATCATCGATGAAATCCCACCCGACGATGCTGATACCCTTCGCACCTGCACACTGGTCAACCATTCCTTCTTTCCTCGTTCCCATAACCGCCTCTTCTCCACCGTTGTCTTGCGCAGCTGCTCATACAAACATGCCAATGCTAGTATCGATCCTTATCGACGTTTTATGCGTTTTGTGTCTCGCTATGCACATTACGCCTCATTGGTCAAGGATATACAACTTTACGACTTCTATCTACCGGTTTCAGGCTCTTGGTTCACCCAAGATGATACCGTAATACCACGCATTCTCTCCCAACTGCCACACCTCGAGTCCATATCTATCTCAGCACTCGACTCCTGTCTTTCTTTCCCTATCATATCCGCTCTCCGCAATCTCTTTGCCTCTCCGAAACTCCGGAGCATTTCCTTTTCCAACGTCAAGTTCTACTGCCCATCATATTCATTTTTATCTCTATTCTCGCGCGCCTCGGGTCCCAAGACGATCCATATCCATGGTGGTTTCTCTTATGGTACACATGATGAGAGTCCGCCGCCTTCAACGACTCATACGTCCTGCCAGGTGGATTCACTGTCTATCAACATGCATCCGGCTGCAGCCGCCGACTTTGTCGACTTTCTTCTAAGCCGCCGCTCAACCGTCGACATTAGCTCCCTTAGGAAACTACACATATGGACAACATGGATGAAACATGCAGCCATTTTCAATCAGCTTTTGGCTGCCACAAGGAGCACTTTAGAGCAACTCGTTATTCATACTTCTAATTCTTGTGAGTATGCTCCCCTCATTATGCTGTTTCTCATTCATCGATGTCGTCAGCATTGCGACGACTGGACATTTGCCATGTGCCCAGCATTCAGTGCTTTCTCACTGTGTGCTTGACGCCTGATCCCTCTCCTTTGACCGCACTGGCGAGTCTCTTTGGAGGCCATCCCAGTGAACCGCGCCTCATGGAAGAGGTAGATTTGCATCTGCTAGTTAAACCTGGCATACTGCTCCAGTCTCCATCTTCTGAAGGAGCGGCATTGGATGATATCCTCGTCAGTGTTCGACGTTGTGTTAAAATCTACCTCATCGTTGAATCTTCCGAGATGAATGAGAAGACCAAGTATGAGCAGGCGTGTATGAAGAAGGTCATTGAAAGTCTTCCTGCGTTGCATGCCAAAGGTATTCTCACAGTCCAAACTTCTAGCACTACAGTGCGTTTCCATCACTGCAGCTGAACCTACTTTCTTGACCCCTTTTGTAGGTGCAAAATAATGCTTTTAGACGATAATTATAATTTATGTTCTTAACATGTAGTTCTTATGTTCCTAACGCGTAATTTCTCTCGGAGAATGTATAACAGCTGTACATTATGTATCATGCAATTTTGAAGTACATATCGTCGCCTTGCACCAATGCTCAAAGCTTACAAGTAAGCTCATCATTTCCGTACTTCTCTACCCAGCCTTTGATACCCCCTTCGAGAATGACTGCTCGGCTCTCTGTCACCCCTCGTCTATCGAGTTCATCCTGATACCAGCCCGCTGTACGGGGCCCGCGACCACCGGGCTTACAGCTGTTGCAATGGAAGACGACGAGCTGATATCGTGCGAGAATGGGTATCAGAACGTGCAGAGTCGGATAGAAGGAATGTGCTGGGAGGTTAATAGCGCCTTTGATAAAAGATCCCTGTGAAGCACTATCAGAGGAGGACTACGGAACAGGACATAGCCTAATTACTTCAAAATCGGTGCGGCGGACATCTACAACCAAGACATTATTAAGATTCGTCGATTCGAGCAGCAGTGAGTGTAATTTTTCCGCTGATATACCATCGGGGATGCATTTGGGCTCCGGGAAGGCGTTGTACCAAGGGACCTCAGCTGGTTTCGACTCTGTCATCGATGATTGTTGCTAGGATGAACCAAAGTATACCATCGATAGTAGTATTAGTAAAAACATGCCTGCCGTACACCCGGTTCTTATACAGTAACACATTAAAGCACGCGAAGAATGTATGTAAGAGCAAGTAATGATCATTATAATACATAAATAAGTGGCAAAAACCGTTCGTATGAAAGTCTAACAAGGGGCATGTCAGACAGAATCGTCTTCAGCGAGTATATGAGGAACCTGCCCAATGTATCACCTCTTTTCAGCCAGGACAAACGCAAAGATCACTGCTATAAGTGCGACCATACAGGTTGTAATAGCGGCGATGAAGATGCGGGCGACTGGGTACTTGCCCTTCGTCAGAGCGTTTTGTATTGAAAAGAACCTCGTCGCGCCAATAATCATCAGCGCCAACGAAAGGGAGATGGCAGTTGCTCCTAAAGGACGAGCATATCTTTGCATCGCAGCGGAGGATAGAGGCCGGCTGGATGAGATAGTAAAGAGCTGCACGATGGCGACGCCCACAGAAGTGACGACGAGAGACGTCCGTACATAGGCCAGAAAGGTGCGCTCAGAGGCTAGGTGATCTCTTGCAACAGAACCATTATTGGCGAGAAGGAGGTTGATGCGCATTGGGGTACTTTGAGGTCACTGTCGAAAAGAAAATCACAAATGTTTCAAATGCTCGATGGGATACAGAACGACGTACACAGGTTTCTGCAATGTTTCTTTATACCGCCGTATTCTCTGAGAATGTTTTGAGGAATGGATTCGTGCCCTTCATCGACGTTGGTAAGGGTAGATGGTGGACAATTTCCAAGAATGATTCAGGGAAGCCGCAGCCTTGCTTCTTCTTCGCATCTGTCATGTACTCGTGAGCCATCTTCGACATACTCCAATAATTTACCATGGGTCATGATTCTCTTCGTATTGACACCGGATTGCAGAACGAAGTGCCTTTCACAAGCAATGTGCCAGCAGACAGGTCTCCCACAGTTCCGTCGTTTCGATTATCGAGCACTCCTAGCGAAAAGCTACCTCCTTCCCCGACAGATATCGACGAGGTCCACCCCCGCAGCTTCCGAAAGACATATGGAACACGAAGCAATGAATCCCGAAAGCTTCTCGCCCACATATTGGGCCAGCTCGCTAATAGGATCATGCCTCCCAGCGTTTACGACCTTGCAACCGCGGCAGACCAGACTGGAGAGAAAGGGTTGAGCAGATTTCTCAAGGGTGGTGTGAAGCTCGGCTCCGGAAAGCCACAGAGCAATAGGGTCACAGGGGACGAAGATGATGACGCTGAAGTGGACAGGGACTTTATGACGGACGCGACATTTGATTTTATGTCCCAGTTGAAGGACGTATTGATGATTTCTGTCCTCCGAGGCTGGCAGATATTTGACGAAGGGTATGAATTCTATGCCTTGTGTCTTTGCCACGCTAATATATACGTAGGAGCACAGATGTCAAGGCCGAACGTCAGCACAGTGGGAAAAGCTCTTCGCCGTTTCGAAGATCAATAAGTACCTTGCATCCTAGCGGCAAACGCTCTAGGTCACCATCCCCAGCTTCGCCGTCTGCAAATTTTGGAGGCCAGATCCATTCAACTGAACTCCTCTCTCAATGCATATCCATTCTCTCTTCCGTGGTGTCAGAAGACTGCAGATATAAGATAGCTTCGCCAAGGCCATCATGTCCTCCAAATGCTCTTCAGGCTCTCACATTGAAAGTTGCCCAGTTCCTCCTACATGTCCATCGTCGTACTTCCAAGGTAGTATCACAAATAGGATTTGCGCTTATCCCCGCCTTCTACACGTTTCCACCCGAGATGTATGCACGTCTTCTGGCATTTTTTGAGGAGTGCATCATACGCGGCATTTTGGATGACTTGCGTGAAGTGCAAGGACTTCAGGATGAAATATCTTTTCAAGGTTGGATTCTCCACTCGATCTCGACTTGTCTGTGGCACTTACTCTGTCCTTTTTACAGCTCCAGAAGCATTTGATGAATCTTTGGATGCTCCAGTGGTCTCTATCAGAGTGGATGAAGCAGAGGATGAAAGTGGTATGCAGCGTCAAGCGACGTCAAAGTGGGTTCCTTGGACCGATACGGTCTCCTCGCGCGTCCTTAGAATTTTGTCTACAAATGCGCCTCTACAGCCGCCCTCAGTTTACTTCTTGGCATCATTAACTCCTCCCCTCTTGGCTACTATATTGGACAACATTGACTTTGGTCTTGACTCAACAGCGTCCATCGATGTTCTGCACCGGTTGCACAGGCTTGTGGATCTCCTTGTCACGGCCAAAGTAGATGCCTATCTGGATCTACTCGAGGTAGTTGCCTATCACTCCCCGAAATCCAGACATGCCGCCGCAAGTATGTTATCCGCGTTTTGGCCGAAAGGAATGGGCCACGTCATAATCAGTAGGCCGCTTGCAAGTTCTGCATATCTTGCCAACTCTCCGTCTATGAGAGATTTGCTTCAAGACCACCCCTATGACCACCAGTTCTTGCCGTGGCGTTTCATCATCAGTCACCGATATCCCCAGAACGATTGTCGTTCTTGCAGTAGCCAAATTGATGGGTTCGGGCTATTGTGTCCTTTCTGTACTTGTGCCGTCCATTTCGATTGCTACGACCATCCAAGCGGATGCCATATTGCTAAGTACTCCGCAATGTCAGGCGCGAGCGTGCAGAAGGTAGCGTTGTATCGTTTCTCATATCTATCTTCCAACAGACGAGACCATGGTGTCTGGACACTTCGAAAGCGCGGCCACACATTTCGATATGTCAACTTATTCACGCTCTGTCTTTGTTCAGCATGTCGGCAGCCTTTGTGGGGGTGCACGGCGCAGGGACTCAGATGTACCTCTTGTCTTCAATTTGTCCACGTTCGTTGTGCATCCTCTCATACCCTATCAGGATGCCATTACTATGAGTATGACTCAAGCCATATGATGATCGAGTGGAATGCACTCCGGCAGTCCTGTGTCGATTTTTACGGAGATATACTTTTGCTGTCTCAGGAGCAACTTCGGGGGAGATGTTTTGAGGAAATATCCGTCATGGCCTCCATACTCTGGACTCAGTTACAACTGTTGGCTAATGGGGTTGCTCTTGGATCCATTCTCATCACTCACAATGGCCGGGGCGCTGGAGAGCTGACATCGCACAAAGTAGCTGAATTTGAGCTCCATCGCGTCCTGCAGACATGCGAAGATCTGATATCGCAAGATGTTCTAACCGTGTCTGCTGCTACAGAAGACTACCTGCAAGACAATGGCCTGCAGCGGTCTGAACATACAATCTTCTTCGATTGGTCTAAACTCATTTACATTACCACGACGATAAAATTCCCTGCGGCACTTCATGCCACGGCCCCTCCAGCCAGCCAATCGTCCCTCCTTACCGTTACTCAGCCCGATATATTATCCGCTGCTAGGGAGTCGCTAGACCATCCGTTTGAGATGCTGCCCTTATCACATATGCGGGATGCTCTCGGAAGAGACTTCGATCTGCACTCAGACGCAATAGCCAAGTATTTGTTGTCACACCTCCATCATTTAGGATTTTTCGAGAGAATAGACAGACACCCGACCCTCTTCGATGATAATCCAAACGTGAATAGCATCTCATGTAGTTTCCCCTTACCCCTTGGTCTCGACTTATCCACAGATGTGGAAACTCTTTTTGCATCGGTGGAAGCATGTCTTTCAGATTTGGATCTATCTGTCAACGAAACAGGTTTCCTTCTCCTCTGCAGGCGTCTCTGGCCCAATGGCATGGCGTCTGAGTATGCAGTAAGGCGGCTGACACATGCTATCATTTCTTGGGTTTTTGCAGAGGTGAGCTGTAGCATGTCTGTTCCATGACGTAGACATTAATAGCATCAAGGATGACAATCTTGCTACGATACTCCGTGACTATATCGCGAAGCAGCAAAGCCTTCCTGGTGTTCGGATGGCAGACGATGTCAGCCCTTGGCCTGAGGCTCAGACGTTGCGGCATGCCCCACCAAGTTCTGTCCATAACGGCGGTGACTACGTAATGGCTAGACGGTCACTGTTATCGCATTACGCCATACCGTGGCTATTGACTTTACACAACGAAAGCGCGGAGAACTATGCGATCCTATTATACGAAATATCTGTTCAGCTGGCGCAACCCTCTTTCGCTGCTGATCTGCTGCTCTCCCCCTCACCTATTTTCTCTTTATCGACATCGACAGATGTTGTTACGCACAATTGTGATGCCCAATACTTCGACAGGCTGCTCCGTCTCATTATCCGTCTTTCTCAAAATTCAGTAACTTTCACAATTTTTGACGATTTATTTGTGCGTTGGTTAGAGGCGGTATCAGCTTCAGATCGTTTCGAAGAGGTGTGTTTCCTGTTCTACTTGTGGAACATCCAGTTAGATTTTTTTCTCTTTTATCCAAGCCCATACCATCACTAAGTCGTCTGTTCTTACGGGATGCCCAGGAGTCAACTTCAAGAACAAGTGTATTCGATTCCACAGCAGGTCAAGATGGTGGTGGTGCTGCGATAGACCCCTGGCGCCGGGTCATCAGCGTTTCTACTGAAAATAAAGCTGGTCTTTTACGCAGTCTGCGCTGGATACATGTCTTTGCACGTTCTGGTATCGACGTACCTATCCAGACATATTTTCACTTCATCACTTTGATGGAAAAGTTTCAGACGACAGTTACTGAGTCGCTGTTATTCGTCAAAACCATAATGTCATCGACATGGCAAAGGCCAACAAGCCGCTTTGAAATCCAAGACATGTTTGCCAAACTCCATACTCGCCTTATGCCAGAGGTTTTGCAAATTCTTTCTGGGGAGACATACACAAAAGACGTGTACGGTTTCGGTCACTTGTTCTTGCACATCATTACACTTCTAACATAGTTATAGGCTTGCCTTTATTCGCCAGACGCTGGCTACATGCTTGCTACTGTACGGCTGCAACCGAAGCAAGATCGTGGACCTGGAAATGGTTCACAATGACGAGATCAAAGACATGGCTTCTCGGTCATTTTTTCAGTACTCACGTAAAGCCCTTGACTTATCATAATCTCAGGCGCAAGATCAACATTCGCAGCTCGATAGTGTCCGATCCTATCATCGTTCCTCCCAATTTCATGGCGGCCATTAATCGATATATGAATGCTGACGTTGATGACGTTTCCTGCCTGATAGCAAAGTTTTTTTTTATGTTTCTCATGCGCTCACCGTATCTTGAACCTCATGAAGTGGATAATTTTATCCTCAAGAATGGAAGCATGCTATGCAATTGGTGAGTTGACACTTTGCCTATCTATCCTGTCTTGGGCGGCCCCCAACAGTTCCTCCTTAGCGCATGGCAGTTGTACGGAATTCGTCGGCAGGAAATCTCTGCCTTCAGGGCCCCATTTCTTCTGCGAACGTTAGTTGTAGACGCCCAACCTTTTCAGCTTATCCTGAAGAAGTACTTCCGCGCTGAAGGTGATTGGGAACTTAGGTTTTTGTTTACGCCCCTTCTCCGCGTAACAACTTGACAAACTGCACTTCTTAGGCTAGAAGGCATCGCCCGACTATTTCGCATAATCTTGGATTCTCCTACTCCAGACTTTCAGGTCGAGGGTAGGCAATGGAAGTCGAGCGTCGGCGACGTGTTCTACTATTTTTTTTCTTCCCTTTGGGCAGACAAAAGAGTTCGTGTCGTTAATCCTCCCTTAACATGATGAATGACTCGTGCATAGGAAGAAATTCGGCTCTCAGCTGACACCCTGGTTTCAAACATGCTTACGGCGCATTTCAATGCGATATCCTCCTGTTGGGATGAAGTTCTATCCAAGTCACCAGTCGAAGAACGCGTCAAATTGGTGTCTTTCCTGATACAATTACGATCACATTTCCCTACATGGAAGGGTACTGTAGTTTCCTCTTTGAATCACTACTGTAACTTATCCAGTGACTTAGTGGTGTCTTGGGAGGTTATTGTCGAGACACTTCTCGAAGATCAATATGATGAAAAAGAAAGTGGCGACGGACCTGCCGCTGCGCACCTGGCAAGTCTCTTTCGTTTCTATTTTAAACGTGGACTAATCAGAACTCGTGGCACAGTCTATGTATGGTCTATCTTCAAAGGACGATATACTATCCGATGAGCCCATGATTTCGTCTGATACTGCACTTCTTCGTGTAAGTGTTTTGTTTCTGATACAAATCTTCCTAGCTTACAGCATCTAGGCCTCTATTCTACATCTGAGCCTCGGCATGATTGCAGAAGGTATCAAGATAGAGTACAATGACGTGCTTCGCATCAAACACCACTTGGTCAGAGCCTTGGGGTTCGATAAGATCGCATTGGCACCTACATCGAATGGACATACATTCTTCGTCGAGTTTGGTGAAACCAAAGACATACCAGAAGTCGCATATCCTTGTGTGACCGAGCTGACTGTGGTTTTGGACGCTCATCACGTCCTTGATTTGAGCACAATCAGTACAGGGATACAGGAAAGTGCTGATAGCACCACTCCTCTGCTCATAGGTGCCCCTTACGTAGATGTGTGTTTGGGTCTATTCTGCACGGTTAGGGCTCCGGAATCGTTACCGGTTCTGGTGCTCAAGAGCATGCTTGAAGCCTTGGGCATCGTGATTTACAAGCATAATTTCGAAAAGGTTTACCTCCGTCATTTGCAGCAGACCCTGCGGAGGGCAGTCTCGCGTGCTCTGGAGCTTCTTCTTCTGGATATCAATTATGAATGTCGACAATTGGCTCTTTCTGTTGTTCAAGCGTATATAAAGCGATGGCACGGATCCATTCGATCTTTTGTTCAGTGAGTTACCAATCGTGTCATTAGCGACTGCTCTCATTCGCCGTATAGCTTTGCAATTGAACAGGTCGCGAAGCTCGTTGCTTCGCAGAGCCATCTTTCCCAAGATGCCTTAGTGGCTCAAGGCAAAGCTTTCATTGAATCCAACCTTGTGACGTGAGTGAAAGATCTTCTTTCTCTCGTACTGATATAAGCTCATGCCTATCCATAGATACTGCAACAACGGAATATTTACTGGACTCCTCCGGGTGTGTATGCAGTCACTTTATCAATGCTTCCATTCACGTCTTCTTTAGCGTGATCTCGATCCTGAAATCTTCGTAATTCTGAAGCAGGTTACCGATGCGAACGCCAAGGCCTCGCCTAAAACTCCCGCTAATCTGCGTGAATCCTTGTTGCGGGACACTCTTCCTAGGGCCGTAGAGACGGACCAAACTGCCTTCCAAGCTCTGTTAAAGAACCTGCAGAGCTACATAGAAGTAATATATCATCAAGGGTACTCACTTGATTTAATGTCATGTCAGTTCCATGCCTTACCTCTCTGACTTTGTAATGCTGACAGGGAATCTAGTCGTAGGTCAACACTTGGTTCACCTCGCTCGTCGTAGTTTAGAATGGGCCTCCAATGCCATCAACCCTTCCCCCTTACTCTCTATCGCGACCATCCTAATTCAGCACAACAAATCCCAAAGTCGAGTTCGTAAAATCCCGCCGAACGCGTGCCGCTTAAGGCTGATAAGCATTGTAACAGGACATGTTGACATATACGGACGCCATCCTTCGTATAGCACTGACTAGGTTGGCCGTTGATGAAGCAAGTCTTTCCAAACTCATCCAAGTGACTGCTACGCTCTATCGGAAAACACAAACAACAGATTCTGTGCCCACAAATACCATTATTGCTGTCATCCTCGAATTACTGTCTGACGGGCTTCGTATGAAGGTCCGTGTCCTGCCGATAACGTTGAAGGCAATGCTTGTAGTATGTGGCTGCTGTCCTTTTACAGGATTGATGAACCATGAGCTTTTAACAGGCTGTAATGACAACAGAGATCGCCGGGCATACAACCCCCGCTGTTCTGTATCATCAACAATTTGCGGCTATAGCTGAGAACGGCTTCCACTTTCTACAGAACCATGTGTGGACAGATATGCGCACCGATAGCGACTATTCGGCGTCTTTGATGATAGGAAAGTTTATACTCCAAGCGGCTATACTTGATCCAAGCGTTATGACTAGAGTTGTTGAACAAACTGTCGAGGTTAGTTGTATACTAGACACTATAACAGACTCTGATTTTATGACATAGCGATCTTCACGACATTATATGACCATCCGGGCGTGGAACGTGCTCATTCTGTCTGCACTAATGGATCCATCTGAAAATTGGATCACGCTGATTTATATGCAACTTCCAACGTTCTCTTCTGCCTATCAGACTGCTCTTAGAGGATACCTACAAGCAGGCACAAGCCCTCCAGAATCTGCAATAACGGACATCAATCACGCATACGTGGCCATCAAATTATGGCTTATATTGGCGCAGAAGCGAGCTGTGAAAGAGGAAGAAGGTTGCGTGTCGGCGTTCACGGTTTGGAACGAACTGTGGTTCCCGTTCGAGAGTCTTGTCAATGTCTTTGAAGCGGAAGTGCAAGTAGGCTTGTCAATGGTAAGCAACCTCAACAACCAAATGGCGTCGGACTGGTTTACGAAGTACACACAGACGCTGGCCATGCTCACATGGTCGACAGTTGCTGAGCTTTTTCTTTTCATTCGAGCTCTGCATAGCCCTGTGGCTTCAGAGTCGGCATCACACATTAGCCTGCTAAAACGGCTGAAGAATCTTGGTCGCGGGGAAGCGCATGCATCCAAAGTACGTCTCCATTTCGTGCTGCTCAATTACGCCTCACGCATCAGTTATGCAGCTATCACGGGCACTGCGCAGCATGTCCGAACCACCTCCTGAAATACCCATAGGTAGTCATATCAATCAAGCGGCGAAAGACCTCATTGCAGCGGAGAAACTGAGGATCTTAGAGGCAAGGAGAGAACCGAAACTAGGTAGAGGTGGGATGTAGAATCTGGACAATGTATTGCAGATTTGGGATAGCCTAATGTCCAAGACATATTGGGACAACGAAGAAGCCTCCGGTACAATCACACACCCAGCTACGGTGCTCATGATTAGGCAGTACGTAGCCGGACCTTTTGAGCCTGTTTCCGCTTCTCTTTGATGACGGTGGACCCTATGAAGAAGCCAATGACAGACAGACCGACAACGAGGATGAAGGCAGGCAGTCGGACAGCCCATTCTCGAGCAGGGAAGAAACTGTGTATCTGACTGGCAGGATCGAAAAAGGGCTAGTCTGGTGCTGAGTATACGACAAGAAGAAATGCAAAACGCCACGCACGAGCAATATTGCCCAAGTTGTGTAATATGTGAACACAACGGCTGCTGCCAGCAGCATTGTCCCTCCCATTGCTTTGTCGCTTGTTCCCTGCAATCAGTAAACCCTCAGCACTGGCTACGATGGCAGGAAGAGGGCTGTAGGTCGCACCATTGCAAGTACGGATGTGGTGTCAGAAGTATAAAGTTGATCCAGTGACCAAAGCAGGCGACGCGTTCATTTTCGTCCCCACCACTTTCACCGGCACAAAAAGTTCAGCTGCGCTCCGTCCTTGTCGTCTCTGTCATCGTCGTGGGCACCGGTGTCGAGCCTAGACGCTCGTCGCATGGATACCCATGTCTTTGCCTCACTAGCGCATGTCAAAATCCTACTGGTACCAGTTGGCTCCATATCTCAGCCGACTTTCGACAAATACGTCACCGAAATTCGCAATTTCGAGTCTATTAGACTTGGGGATATACCTGTCGATAGCAAGGATGAACGGGGTGTGTACAGATGATATATATCTCCAAGAATACAAGTCTCATTGCAATTCTAGCTCGGTTCATGCCCAACCCTCTCTCGACCGGTCATCTCCACCTGAGCTTCCCAACCTGTCCGCCTCCTACTTCACATATACCCCTCTCACTGCTGCGGCCGTCTCATTTCCCATTAGCCGTGATTGGTATCGCTTCATGTGCACCTGAGGATACCCTTCCTTCTGTCCTTGCCCAGTTCCATGGCACCCTGCTCGACCTCTTTCCCGCGGACTTCATCTTCCCACTTGCCAGGAGCTGTTTCGTTTTCGAAGAGGGCGACGGCCACAACAGTACGAACCTGGGCGACGGCCTTCCAGGTTTAGCCGTCATTCCAAGCATGATGGGTAATAAGAAGATATACCTTGGCACGCTTATAGCCGATTTGTGTTCGAATGTCCTGGGGGAATTCGGAGTTCTTGTATGCCTCATCATTTCCGCCGTTGGGTTAGCTTAACAGAAAGGCATAGGTTCAAGCTCTCGAAAGTCCGTTGGGAAACGAATATCTTAACTCATCACTCTTACCGATCCTCCCCCCTTTATCGGAACTCCCTACACCATTGATTGGGAATCGAATACGTGATCCTTTACCGCCTTTATCATCACATAACAGCGTACCCGACATGTCGAAGTCTGGATTCACTCTGGCATCATCTCCCACCATGAAACGAACATCTTCTGCAGGGCATAGGCAATCTACTCTCACAATCCCTGCCTCAAAGAAGCGTCTAAGTAGCATTGGTGCTGTGTCATCTCCCGGGCGATTGTTCAAAGTCTTAGGCGATTTCTTCACCCTTGCAGGCAGAACAGAAGACGCATGTATATGGTAGGCCTTTTAACTAGTTTTCATTCTAATGTTCTCATTGGCGACAGGTATACTGAATCGCTTCAACTATTCAGAGCGACTCCCGATCCAGTGTGGCAGGCATCCGCTTTGGAAGGTCTCGCCACGATATCTATTCTTGATTCGTGGTCAGCCGGACATGGACTAGTCTGTTCATCTCGTTTCTGCTATTCTTTTCTCTAACGTCTCTATCCTAGCAAACATCTACAAGCGCCACCACCCGTGATCCTTGGGGTGATGTTGCCGACAAGCTGACCCAAGCAACGGCAATGTATTACAAGACACCTGTCGCCGACATGGACCATCACTCACTTGTTGCTTATCTTTATTGCTGTTGTGTACTTCGACATTCTTCTCTTCTTTTCTCTGTGTGGTCCGCCAAGGGATGGGGCCCGCTTGCTTTTACAACCATGCTGCAACCCGGAACAACGCCTTACCTCCCGCCTACGATATCCCATGAAGACCGTACTTCATGGTCACATTTAGAACGCTTAAGTTCAATTTCAGGCATCTCTCGCATATCCATAGCCTCTGTTATTGCTCAAGCTCATGGTCCCTGGTTATTACACTTGGACGCTAGAGAACGAATAGGCGTTTTGGAAGCAGTGGCAGCCTTTTACTCCTGCTTGGGGTTTAGGCGAAAAGAGGCATACATCTTGCGAGAGGTTCTTGGGTGTATTCTTGACTTGATTGTCTGTGGTAGAGATGAGGATGGTATCGCTAGGGCATCGTATAGTCCTGATGAAGGCACACAGACTTCAGCGACAAATGCTGCGCTGTCACCCGTGCCGAATGACGCTCAGGTTGGGGTGAGGGTGAACGAAAGCACAGAGGGAAATCACAGCATTTTGAAGCTTCTCGCCTATCTTTGCAAAGTCCTTGGTATTGAGTTAGATGCTGTAAGGTTCATTGATGTGGATAGCACTTCGGCCTCAACATGTGGCAATGGGCTGGATGACGACTGTCAACTCCGAGAGCCCTTCGGCTGGCCAGAGCTGCAGATTGGTGTTGTCCGAGAAGCGGTGGCCGTTGCGGAGGCATTACCAGGCTAGTTCGCGAAATAGCAACTGTTTCTGTGTATTTATTTTTGTTTCAGACTATCTGGCCGTTGCTCAATTTGCCCTATCCTCTCTGAAGACTCTTCAAGATGTGTTGGAACTTGGCGATCAGTACCATTTTTATACGACTTCCGCGCGAGCATTGTTAACAGCGCGGAGACGTGGGGACACTAGATCTATGGAATACTGGACAGGAAATCCCATCTCCGGCATTTCTTTGGTGCCGTATGTCTGAGTTCTAGCTTCCAGGGCGATGTCTAATCGAGTTTACTAGGCTACCTCTTATCCGTCTACCGAACGAGAAACCCATGTCCGCCCTTCGGCCCAGGTCCAGTGAAGTAAATCCGATTCTTACCGGAGGTAAAAACCCTTTTCTCTATAATCCTCGACAAGCAGCGTTTGGTCAAGTGAGTCAATGCTTCATATCTCACATTATGCAGTGACCTCATTCCACCAGCCGAGTCAAACTATGGTTGTACAGAATGAAGTGCTCGAATTCGTGATTGAGCTCCAGAACCCTTATTGTTTTGATCTCGAACTCGATTCTCTTTCTCTCAGGTCCGTAGATGCTTGTTGTCCTTCTTTTGTGTATCTAAGGTTTAAGCAGTACCACCGGTGTACCATTTGAATCCACGCCAACGCGAGTATTGATTCCTGCAGAATCAAATTATCGCGTCGTCGTTTCTGGAAAGGCTACACAAAGTGGCACATTGACAATTCGTGGATGCATAGTCCAAGCATTCTCAGGGGTCCCTCGCGAATTCATCGTTCCTCTTGCTACTGATGAAGAACTGGAACGACAAACACGAAGACGCGGAGCACTACAATGCGAGATGGGCCGGTCGAAGTATTCTGGGTTAGATGCGTTCCCTTGGGAAAAAGCCCAGAAGCGCGAGAGCAAGCAATTGGCAAGATCGCCGTCAAAGTTGATTCCCAGGTTTCTGGAATGTAAAGTTGTTCCCGAACAACCACTTCTGCGCATCCGACGGACGTCAGTGACGCATGGGGCTTTGATGTTATATGACGGAGAGAGGTGAGCTGGTCGTGACTCCACCGGGGCTAGTTCTGAATTAATCGTTAGATCTACCATACGTTTAACGGTAGAGAATGTCTCCTCCCTGCCGGTTGATTTCCTGAGACTGGTTTTTGACGATTCTACAATTGCCCCTGCTCAGCAGGTTCTCGCCGAAGGTTCGTTATCTACCTTCGATACTTACGAAACGGAGTACAATCTGATACATCGACCACTATTCTCGTGGAATGAGGATGAAAGCCGAGCTATCGCTCCCGGGGGTAAACTGACATTGATTGTGAAATGTCTGGGGAAGGTCGGATGGTATGCGGTCCTCTCAGCAAGGAAGTCCTTCTCTGATCATATTTCGCAGTACCAGCGGTACTATACACGCAACATATGCGTGCATAGAACGCAACTCGGAAACCCCCTTAGAAGTATTTCACACTCGTCAATTATCGTATCCGCTCATGGTCACCGTGTATCATATGCTGGATTGTCAAGCAATGGACATTCTCCCATTGTCTTTGCACGATGATGACAGTAGACCCGGGAAATCTCAATTGCCAATGAGTGATATATCCAGCTGGTGTTTGTTCTCAATCGAAGTGAGAAATTCATATGGGACGCCATTCGAGGTGACTATCGAGAGAGTACAAAAAGGTATCTTTCCATTCATGGCCTCAAGACTCGATGGTTCACTAACGCTGTCATAGACGCCACATCTGCCAAAACTTCAAGCATCATTGCCCCTGGTTCCACGTCCCGGTCAGTGTACTCATTGAATGTGTTCTGGCTTTACTAAATTGCGATGCTGGTCGACAGCCTTGTCATCCCTTTGAGAAAGTTTTTGCTGACCCAGCAGCATATCTCAGAAACCATACCGACGTTGTCTGATAGACAATTCGTGCTCACCGAATCCAAGCTGTCGGATGGGGAAGAACGAATTCAGAAGGAGCTCTTTTGGTACCGAGAGGAATTGTTCAAGTCATTACAGTGTCGATGGCAAGAGGTATGCTTGCGCTCGCGATATCACTCCTTTACGTTGACGGTTTCCAGATGGGTGGCATTCGGTCTGGTGATATGTCGTTACGACAGCAACGAATGACGATGTCGATGTTGAATACCTTGCGCACGGAAACCGCGAGGATTGACATGTCTTTGCTGACATTTGACGAGTCAGAGGTGCTTCATCGAAATGGCAAATATCATCCCCAGGCAAACGAGTTCGTACACCTTCGTATCAAAATTAAAAATCAATATGGTAAGAAGATCTGTGAATTCAACGTAAAAATGCTGACGTGTGCCAACAGCCTCTCCCTTGATGTTATCATTGGATCTGGTTATGGAGCCTTCTGAGCATGTCATCTATGAAGGGGTCCTCAATGATATACCAGTAGGGAGATTGAAGAGCGGAGCGTCATTCGACATCACTATATCGCTATGTTTCCTTGCCTATGGACGCTTCACCATTTGGGCAACAGCTAACACATTTGGAGGGAAATCTCGGGAAAGGATTCAAGGATCCGCGCAGCTTACCGCTGTCGTTATGGAGAGATGATCCTGCGTACGGAAGGGACGTTATATTTCCCATAGTCCTCCAAGTGCTTTATTAGCAACAAGGCGTGTATTTCTGAGAGCCCGTGATCTGTAGGGAAGAGAGGTTCGCTCCGTAGATTAAACTTGCATAAGTAGTCCACCGGTTATAGTATGACTCAACATCGCAATGCGAAGAGAGGCTCTCATCTTCGTATCATATTAGTCAAAGTCCGATTCATCTTGTCTAAAAGCGGCTGAATACGCCAGTATCGTCCCATATACCAATCTGTTTGTATGGTAAGGCAGCGAAGCAGATATATGTTGGTAACGTACCCTCCCCCAATGATGGACATTACGCAGGCACTCTTCGTAATGACATCAGAGTGCGCCAGTACAACTGGTAGAGCGAAACCGGTGACGACGACAAGAGATGTAATGAAACGTCCCAAGTCGATAGGTCCGGCGCCGCCTTCATACTGGCTCGAAAAGTCGTCCGAGCCGCAGTGAGAGAATACCGCATTTGGAAGAGGAGCGAGAACAAAAGTCAGAGCTGTATTGGAGAAGGATTCACGATGCGCTGAAGAGAAGAGATGTTGACCAAAACCGCACCGACGAGAAGTGGTAACCAGTTGTGCCATAGTGCACAAGACAATATGATCAACAAGAATCCCACAGCAAGGACGAAAGACAGAAGAATAACGGCTGGAACAAAATGAGTAACTCGATGTGTATAGAATGATGTACGCACTTTTGAGGCCTGCAGCCATGGTGCCAGTCGGAAGTAAGTGTTGTTTGGCTGTATTTGGCCTCAAGTAGTGCATAGTGTGGCGCACTGTCACGTCTGTGAGAATGCTCTTCGACTACTACAACACGGTGCAGTGACCATAATGCCACCAAACGTGCCGGCGAGCCATTCTCGCCTCTTGGACGCGTTGGATGATACCTTTGTGAGAAATAATCTGTCTCTGAATAAATATATACTCCTAACAGCCTTGAAGAGGCCTCTTCAGCCTTCAAATGGCGTCCCAGATAATGAAAGAGTGCGCGCACTACATGAGGCGCGTGCAAAACAGGCTGGTGCATCTTCCTCACAAGCAAGTGAGTTTATTTGGGCTCTGGATGCAGTTTTGTATTCAACCGACTGATGCAGTGGCGCACGCGGACTTTTTGTCGAGTTCATTGGGTCGCCGTTCTATCGGTGGAGGAGCTGGAGGTTTTAACTTAAACTATGACGTCGCGACACCTATTAGATCAATTGATGTTGGTGGTCCTGACCAACAGCAGAGGTACGTCGTGAACGACCTTGAGCCGCGCCGATCCTCATCCTTCGAAGACTGGAGGAATTTGTTGCTCAGTTCGTTACTAGCGCAATCAATAATGTCAGCCACGGGCTGACCGTTAAATCTGCTATGAAGAGTCTTGGCCTCGAACAGTGGGTTCCGTTATGGTATCATTACTTCGTCTATTTATCCTTTTTTTTTTAGCGAGAAAGATACTGTTCCTGGACTGGAGGTCCGACTTCTACCACACCAGCTCATAGGTGTTACCTGGTCTGTCCGTCTCACAAGATATTTCTCTTCCTGGCTGATTTAGATATCCAGGATGCTTGAAAAAGAAAAGAGCAAAGACAAGGGCGGCATCTTAGCGTGAGTCTCCTTTTTTTGCTCTCTATTTTGTACCACTCATCTCCCATGGTTCCAGAGATGATATGGGTCTCGGTATTTTGGCCCATTTCGACTTATTCACGCGTCTTTGCTGATACACAATTAGGAAAAACAGTGCAGATGATCGCCGCTATGCTCTTGCATATGCCTAATATCGACAGCGAAGTTTGCCGAACAACGCTGATCGTCGTTCCCGTCGCTCTTCTGCAGCAGGTAATGTATATTGTCAACCGCCGCTGTCATTCATTGACTTGTGTGCAGTGGAAGGAAGAAATAGAGCAGAAAACAGGAGAGACACTTACGGTCCACATTCATCATGGCAAGGACAAGCTTAAGGTGCCGGTTTCTTTATTTACGCTACTCCAATGAATGAACCATATGTAGAGAGTGTCAGAAATCAATTCTTACGATGTGAGTCCGTCGGCTTTGGTGTTCCGGTCCGTGTCTGGAACATATTCAAGGTCATTGTCACTACCTATCAAACTCTCAACGGGGATTTTGCAATGCCCAAAGATATCGATCCAACAGAAGAAGCCGAATGGCTTTCTGAATATGGGCGAGTACCACAGCGTTGTGAATGCATAGTCCTTGTCTCATATATTGCGCCTAGTGGAATCCTTGCGCGAACACGTTTCTATCGCGTCATTGCAGATGAAGCCCAATATATCCGGAATCGGTACGTGCGGCTTTGTTTCTGATTAGTCCTACTCACAACCAACATTCCCCAGATCAACGCGGTCGAGTGTAAGCTTAGCACATGTTAAAGCTAAATACAGGTGGATGCTCACTGGCACTCCTGTTACAAACACTCTGTAAGACTCTTTGGTCTTCTCGCCCCTTGTTCTTGTGGTAGTGACGACGGTTGTATAGCGCTGACATATATGGTCTTCTGAGGTTTGGGCGTTTCAGACCTTGGAATGATTGGAATGACTTCAACACACACGTGGTATGAAGTTGTGGAATATCTTACTTCTCGAACCAATCCTTGGTCATTCTAGGCGCGTGTCCAGAGTGAAGACGCCGTGCTCGCAGGTATGAGGCTTCAGTTGTTTCATAACTACCTAGCCTGGACGTGTTGACATCAGGTGAACGTGCTAGGCAAATTTTACGCCCTATATTGCTTCGCCGGACGAAGGGCTCCATGCTTGAAGGAAAGCCGATTTTATCACTTCCGCCAAAAGATATCGCCATTGTTAACCTTGAATTTTCGGAGGAAGAAAGAGGGGTATGTTGTAGGGTTCGATTTTTGGGTAACGTGGGATCTCAACCTTGTCCAGCTTTACAATTCCTTTGAGTCCCGAAGTAAGATTCGACTGAGTAAATTTATCAGAGAAAGGACCCTTGTCAAGAAGTGAGTCCCAGAAACAATGTTTTACGTCCTCAATGTTCATTGTTGCTCTAGCCATGCTGTTGTTCTGGCGAGTGGACATTCTTTTCGCCGATTGCAAATCAATGTTTACCGCAATTCAGGTTATGATTCTACGGCTCCGACAGCTATGCTGTCACCCAAATTTGATTCTGGTATGACGTTCCATAGGTTCAGAACGAGATTTCCCTTGACTCGCAGTCGCAGTCTTTAACAGATGGTTATGACGACCCCACGATGCTACTGGCGGGCGAAGCTGAGAAGGAGCTATCCCGTGCTTTGAAAGTTCAAGGTCGGCAGTGGGTGGACGATGTTAAGAAGATGTATGTTTTCAAATTGTATACGTCGTATCTTTGCTGATTTGATGTTCAGCTTTCTACTTCGTGCTCGTGCTGCGGAAACCTTCGATTTCGATGACGATGAGGAGGGGGGGGAGGGAGGGGGGAGCTGTCCTGCTTGTGAAGACTGTAAGACTTTTAATCCATCTTGAGCTATTTTCAAACACTTCTTCTAGATCTTACTAACGAGACTGGCCGAATTCTTGGATGTAAGCATGAGATGTGTCTTGACTGTCTGCTTGATATGCGCAACGCTCCCATCGCTCACAACGGCGAATTGTACGTCTTGTTGACAATTTTATTCGGTCGTGTCACCCAGCTTAACACTATGTTACAGTGGGAATGGCAGTGAAAAGGAGAACCTCGCCGCAGAGAAGAGATACGAAGAGGCGGCATCCAAGGGTCACAGGCCGTGTACGCCAAGGTTCACCACATCTCGTCTTAAATTATCTTGATGTTATGACTACTAGGTCCAACGTGCAAAGAAATGCAGAACGTCAGCGATCCAAAAGTATTCAGATCGATAGCTTTTCAACCAACAGATGAGGAACTGACGAAACACGCCAAACGGAAACGCACATTTAAGAGCGCGGTCGTCGATTACGACATATCTGATGAGGATGAAGAGGAACAGAAACCTCTAGAAGAACGGGTCGCGTCGGACGACGATGACGACTTGCCTGATATCACAAATATTATGCTGCCCGAGAAAAAGAAGGCCAGATTCGAACGAAACGTGTGCAGTTTTCCTGTGTTTCCAAGGTTTCTGAGACTGATTAAATGTAGGATGATACGTTGGATCTGACAATATACGATATATCCGCGCCCCTCCAGCCAAGGTCTGAAGATGCTTACATGGATCAATCACCTGGAAAGTCCTCCCCAACCAAGCTTAAGGCGTCAAATAAAGCTGGAGACGGACCTTCAGAAGCTCTGATCGCAACATGGCGGAAGGGTGATGACGATATGGAGCCGAGCATAAAGATGTTGAAATTACTTTCTCTCTTGAAGGAATGGGATGCCGGTGGGGATAAGACTATATGTTACTCTCAATGTTTGTTCACGTCTCCTATCTCGAATATCATGGCACTGGCATAATTTATAGGGACATCTATGCTTGATCTTCTCGAGACTCTATTTTCTCGACACGGGATTCGCAGTGTGCGTTTTGATGGAAAGATGGACCGAGCATCCAGAGACCAAACAATACAAATGTTTAAAGGGGCAGGAGGACCAAAGGTCATTCTAATTAGCACAAAATGCGGTGGTGTTGGGTAGGTAAGTCTTATCCTATACGAGCCTATGTTGACGTGAAAATGCAGGCTGAACCTGGTGGCGGCTAATAGGATCGTTAAGTAGGATCTTCCATGCCCATACTATACACATTGGAAACTGACATGTCTGGACCAGTATGGACCTGTCATGGAACTATGCAGCGGAGTCGCAGGCTTATGATCGGTATTCTTTGTTCGTTCACTGCACCAGAGCATGTTTTATGACAGATTCTCAGTGCTCATCGAATCGGGCAGGTGAAGCCTGTGTGGGTTAAACGACTCGTTGTAAAGAACACCATCGAAGAACGGTAAGCCGTCGTCGCTAGTCGATGGCACCCATTCTGAAAGCGGCCGGTTTTAGTATGTTAAAACTCCAGGATGTCAAAGTCGGCCTTGCGGAGGCTGCTCTCGGTGAAGGGGCAGGCAATAAGCTGCATAAGCTCAGTGTGAAGGATATCAAATTTGTGAGCAGCTATAACCTTCTGTCTAGTCTATCTCCCATTCTGAAGATCTGTCAGCTGTTTAACATGAATAAGGACCAGAACGGGGCTCCTCAGCCAGGTGATGGGTAATGAGGACCGGACTACAAACTTCTCTTCTTAAGACTTGTTATGTATTCTAGTACTTTTCTGTGTATCGTTAGTACCGTTCTGACGCCATATCTAATCATAATCTAATGGGCGCTATCGGACCAGTTCCTTCCGGCCGCATCTGATATGGTTTGTCATTTTGCGTTTTATTGTCGCTATCTTTTGCTTCGACTCGTCTACAATCACTTAACAGCCAGCATTCTCCATGGCTAACTGTTTCCCAAAGCATGAAGGGCAGTCATTGTCGTACTGGCTTCAAGGCGTTCGGAGTAATCCATTGCTCGATCACCGAACAACGGAAGAACTGCCAAAGGAAGCAGACGTGGTTATAATTGGGTCGGGGGTAGGCTAGCTCTCAACATATCTTCATAATAGTAATGCTAATGAACGACAGGCAACAGGTGCAATAACGGCCTTGGAGCTCTTCTCGGGTCCAAATCCGCCCAAATCCATTGTGATGCTCGAAGCGAGAGAAATGTGCTCGGGGGCTACGGGAAGGAATGCCGGTCATTGCAAACCAGACCAGGTATTCTCCTCACATAGTTGACCGCATGCAGATTTATCTTATTCGTTTACAGTGGAGAGGATTTAAGACATATCAATCACGGTTTGGTTCTGAACAGGCCCTGAAGGTTCCGTCACTCGTCTGAAATCCCATATCGACCCTCATCACTATATCAGATTCTAGCCAATGAACAAGAAACGTTCGAACGCGTCGTCGCATATATTCGCAAATATAATGTGGACTGTGATCTGTGGGTGGGAAAGACAGTGGGTGAATCTCACACAAACACAGCCGTTACTCACCTCAGTTTCAGCTAGACGTCGCGATAGACGAACAAGTTGCCGCCAGGGCCGCTAGCATTTTCGAGCATTTTCGAGCTGCTGGTGGAAATGTAGACCATGTCGAATATATTACTGATCGCACCGAGGCTATCAAGGTAACTGGATGTGTTGTGTACGTGTTGCTAGAAACTGACACGCATTTCATAGCGTTCCCGTATCAACAACGCTGTGTCTGTCTTTTCGTGGGATGCAGCTTCGCTCTACCCGTGGAAACTTGTAGCCCATGTAATTACGACCTGCTTATCCAAGGGTCTCAACCTCCAAACCTGGACTCCAGTCAACTCTGTCAGCTTGTCCGGTGTCTCTCAAAACTGGGTCGTTTCAACTGAACGCGGATCAATTGCTACTCCCACAATCGTGCATGCGACGAATGCCTACGCTTCAGCCCTCCTTCCCGAGTTCAGGAACATTATCCAACCGACACCCCATATGTGTGTAGTTCTCCGCTCTTCAATTCAATTGTTCTTGACGAGTTCCTAGGTGTAACAAGGTGGTTCCTCCTCGGTCTTGGTCTGGTACCAAAGCACTAGAAAACTCATACGGCGTGCTCTGCCCTGACGGTGCTTTGTATAGCATCAACCCTCGAGCAACTTCGGATGGCATCATCCTGTTTGGCGGTAGCAACCCGGGCCAACATGCGTTGCTTAAATATCTCCAAGAGCATCCTGATGAGCGAACGAATGATGGCCTGACGAACTTTGCGCCAGTTACGAAGGCCGTCGATGACTTCATTCAAAGTGAATTTGCAGGCTGGTAAGGTGCATCTAACGCCGCTTTTGGGAAATTAAATATATTTTACAGGGGATTTGCGTCTGCTCCGGGAGAAGGATTGGACTATTCATGGAGTGGTATCCTTGGTATGGTATGTAATACCTCTATTTTGCATTCGCCTTCTCAGCCTGTCCCTAGAGCGCAGATGGTCTACCATATGTTGGGCAGATACCTGGTAAACCTGGTCAGTGGATATGTGCAGGCCACAATGGCCATGGCATGGTGCGTTTATTACATTGTTAGACATCCACATCTTGAGGATCCCACAGGCCCGAATCTTTACCACTGCACCTGGACTTGTCAAGCTAATTCAAGGTGGTACTTGGGCGGATACCGGCCTACCAGAATGTTTCGAGCTTACGCCAGAGAGGTTGCAGCGTTTATCCAAGGTGGATTCCAACGGCCTCCACCACGTAAGGTGTACTGTATGATAATAAATTTGGTGTTAGGACTGGAGATCTAACCTTTAGCTTGATATCATCGAACATAACATCATCTCACCCGAGTGCACGAGCCGTTCTCTTTTCTTATTCACGAAGTATATCTTCATGGTCGGGTCACACTATGTAGTACCTGTTTCTTGGAAGAGCCGTCGTTTCACCTCCTTCCGATACCAACCTCTAGCATACACCAACAACTCGTCAAGTACACCGACAATTTCTGCAGGGGCAGGAAAACGATAATTCGCCGCTTGCGCTTTCATAGCAGGACGATTTGGCTCTCCTTCAACTAGGTTTAGAATGACGACAGCGAGTGCACTGCGTTCGATTTGGCAAGAAAGGAAGGATTTATGCCACCATTTGTCCATTTGCGATGGTACAAGTAAATTTCTGTACCGGTAAGGAACTTGCATGACTTGCAGAATATTCGGCTTCAAACCTTCCGAGATGGGGATGTCGAGTCAGTTGGCTAAGGCCATGATCAAAAAAAACACTTCGTGGGGAAGTTCCCTTATAATTACATTATACCGAGTTTTCATCCGCATAACCAGCATTTGCAACCCTGCAAAGATGCCACACCTTCCATAACTAAAGTCGAAAAATAGTATTCCAATGCAGGCAGTCAGCAAGCTGTCGAAGGTAGAGGCAAAGGTACAATCTTCAAGCTTCAAGTTCCATTGCGTTCAGACGTAGCACGCCATTCCTTTCTTGGCCACGCTTTTGCGGCAAAACTACGAGGGATGAACATGGGAAGAATCAGGCGTACTTACGGATGAGGCCTGAGGTCAGATATGAAGGCGTCAGGCGCAGTTGAAGTCATCAACAATGTCAATCTGTGATCATTGTTTGGATGGGTGCAGGGTTGAAGCTTCTGTATAGTATGCTAAATGCAGCAACTATGTCGCCCAACTAGAAGATCCCGACGACAGATACATCCCACTTCTGCACGGAGATTGTAACCATTTGTCTACCGTCATTACTGTGGCTTCGAGACTGATCTCTAGCTGGGGATTCCTCCCGAAAGGAACTGGTAAATGCGGTAGAGGTGTACAATGCTTATGTGAGGTATACGTCCGAATCTGAGCCTAATTCTCCCACGCGTCGACGATTTCCGACTGGTGAGTCATGATAGCAACATCCTTGCGGATGGGATTAATACGTGGATACACAAACTACACAACTTCAGTAACAGATAGCGAGAAAGCGGACGTCGACTTACTCCTTCATTATATTCGTGCATCACCTCAGCGGCAATGATTTCCTTGTCTTTCACAAGAACCTTGTATGATGCAGTCAGTGTATTCAACTGATATAGAATTAGAATGGTACTGGCAACATGTTAAGAATCTTACCTGAAGTCCAACGATGCCCATGATAAGGAGCATGATCATCCAATTTGAAGAGCCTGTCGCGCACCACAGTAGCGCATGTGCGGGGGAATAGATGCAAAATAATAGCGTCTCCAGGTCTCCGGGACTCCACATGTCAATTTGCTGTACTCTGGACATCCGTTTGCCCGGAGTCGATTTTAATGGTTCGATCCCTAACAAAAAACGCCAGAACGCCAGGAAGGCTACCCAAGCGCCGGAATGGAATCGTGACAACAGAGATGGTGGCTCGAGGGGGTCAAAGTCCAGCTCTGCGGAAACGTATTTAGCATTTGGGGAGAAGACGGGATCCGGCTGTTTGTGCAAGTGGTAGAGGCGAATGCGAGTGAAGAGAAAAATAGAATTTGCCAATGACCCGACGATAAGGAGCAATGTCAAGGGAACAGTCTGATGAAAAGTCAGTGTGTGCATGGAAAAGCAAGTGAAGGATGCATACCCAGTCGAACCACGATACGCCTTCGTCTTCACGATACATATCCTCCCATCCTAGATCAGAGTCTGGCACCTGCCGAACTTGGCTGACGCGCACACAGAGATGGAGCAGATGACACAGTCCTCCGATGATTGACGCTGATGTCCTAGGTGCTGGTAAAGGGACATTATGGGGGAAGAGAGCGATCTCAAAGGCAATTTGCGAAGGAAGAGATATTATTCTGCGGGAAATGAGATATACCCAAGTAAATAAGAAAGAGACGCCACTTTTCGTATAAGCTCTTTCTGCGCACGATAGCCCTCCTAGGCGTTCCCAAGACACTAGGCCTGGGTCGATTGGATTTATTTTGTTGAGGCGTCAAGTAGGGAGCCGGGCGTCGCGAGCGCGCAGCCTCCCAGTCAAAGGGTACGGACGACGAGATTGACGGCGTTGACGCTGGTGAATGGTGGATGCCGATGGACACGCGAGCCTTGCGGGGCGTCATGGGCAACGACGAGGAAGACGCTGTCGACGGCGACCTACCGCTACGAGGGGAGTTAGAGTTGCCCTGTGCCAGGCGCCTTCGAAAATCCATGGATACAATGGTGTGCAAAGTTGGAAACAAGGAAGACAATGGGAGACCTTTGTATGGAAACACGTGATGACCATGTGTATACTCACGTGATGTTGGTTTGGGTCGAAAAGGAATTAAATTTCACCACCCATCAAGAGTCGCTTGCTCTCCTTCTTTCACCACGAAGCGTCACCCTTCTTCCCGTCCGCCCCCAACGTCCACCACGTCTATCCTACGAACCCAAACTACATCCTTGTCGCCGAGCTCGTCAGTAAGGTTCGTATTTCTTCTCTTTTTCTGGCTCTCTTCTCATTTTTGCTAGCGTCAGGATGGCCCAACCTTCATCTTCTCATCATGGCGAGCGGCACCACCGTGAACGCTCGTCACATCACCATCACAGAACCATTTCATCGACCACTCTTCTTCTTGTCCTCTCTCTTGTCTTGGCTGTTCTTGCGGTAATGTTATCGATGCCCAGCAGCCAGAGTTCTTCAAATCCGGCCGACCCAACCTCAACTGGTATTCTCAACTATCTTTCACCTAAGCGATCGCAACAGCTAGTTGCTAGGGAAGCTGCCGTTACTCTGCGAGAGGCAGAGGTTGCCCGTCGGGAAGCTGAGCTTCTCGCCGGCGCGCCAGGCGGCATCGTCCCATCCCCGTCCCCCATCCTCTGTCCTCCCTGCGCTCAGGCCACAACCGTAGAGACGATCATGGCCCCCGTACAAACTGTTATTAAGGAGGTTGTCAGAGAAGACTCCTTGACACCTCCAGGCTGGACAAGTCCTCGTATCGATGAGATCTTGGATCGAGAACTCAAGGTTGCAGAGCGAGAACGGGATATCAGCAGACGAGAGGAAGGTCTTAATCGCCGCGAGCATGACGCTTCTCGTCGTGAGAGTTGGATCATGGAGCAACTCATGTAGGCTGCTTATCGCGAGTAGTACTATTTGCGAGTGCTGATCTTGTTCAACAGCGCGCTTGGCAATGACGAACCTGCGGTGGAGGAGGAATATGTGTACGAGCCTTCGGGAAGGCGCAAAGCCAAGGTACCGCCGCCCCTCCCGCGCCGCTCCGAGCTTTGAGACGAAGGAGGATCGACCTTTTTTTTTTTTTGCTTTATATAGTCCGTATGAGTCCCATCTGTACCCCATCATCCCTCCTTCGTCCGGGCTTGGGGGACTAACGGTGTTTCATTTTCATTTGTCCCCCTCGTCCTTTTCTTTGTACATGGCCAGGTCAGACTGTCCTGTGATATTCACTGGGCGCGTCTTTCTGAGACAGATCATTTCAGATCGTGTCTTTCGATCATGTCGCGTTCACGTCCACGTGATGGGTTCGCCGTTATGTTTTCCTGACCTGGCCATCATCACAATTTGTTACTCTCCGTTAACGATTACTGACCACTTTTCTTTGCTTTCTTTCTAGTATCAAGAACTTCCTCCTCTTATCGTTTCTGAAACTCAGTATGAAACCGAAACCATGATTATTACCCAAACTCAGACCGTCACTGTTCCACCACCTGCTAATACCCGTTTCGCCGCTTCACCAGCTCCTCAACGACCCGAATCCCCCACTGGTTCTGCTCCTCGTACCACTGCTGTTGAAGTGATCACGGAGGAGGTAGAGATAGAAGAAGAGGAAGAAGATGAACCCACCACTGTCAGGGTTGTTCGTCCGAGACCTACACGAAAAGTTCCTGGGCGGTGGTTTGGCGGGTGGTAAACGTTTGGTTTTGGATAACGTCGTTTCTGTTTCTTGCCTTCATTTCTCTTGCTTGTTTGTTTGTTTCTTTATCCACCCATCAACTCCTGCTTTTGTCGTGCTCTTGTTTCTTTTTCAAACACTTATGAAGTAGAGACGGACACGGTTTATGACTAACGTTACGAACTATGATTTACCAATAGTTAGTGTAGATTAGTTAGGATACTTACGATATGACTTGGAGAAAATGTAAGGGTCAAACTGTTTGCATTCGGGTTGGCCATTCAAGGCTTTAAAGCAACATGCATCAACAGAGAGTTCTTGCTCTCTGCCGTGCATTTGGCAGTAGAATACGAGTCGATGCGTTGAATTCTTACTCTTTCCTGCATTCAACAAACGGCGTCGTATTGTACATATGCAAAATTTACGGCTTTTCCGACTATTTGCATCGTCGAAAGTGCCAGGACCGCGTTGGCAGAGCACCAATCCTCTGAAGTCAGAATATCTCGATATCCTTGGGGAGCGCCATGCGACGGACGACATAACAAATGTCACACCAGCCATCTTGTCTAAAATTCCGCTGCGCCTCCACAGTCAGGCTAATCATCCGCTGGGCACCTTGCGCTCCCTCATCGAGTCACATTTTCCCGACTATGCTCATTTGTCTTCCCTGTCGCCTTTGGTCACCCCCTTCAAAAATTTCGATGAACTCTCCTTCCCGAAGGACCATCCAGGGAGGGCTGTGACCGACAGCTACTACATTAACAGAGGATTAATGTTGCGGACACACACATCCACGCATGAAGTCGAAGTCTTTGCGCAGGGGAAGACCAAATGGTTGTTGACAGCAGACGTGTACCGCCGCGACGAAATAGACGGGTCGCATTATCCTGTGTTCCACCAGATGGAGGGCGCATGCATCTGGTCTGCCGACGCATCCGGTATGAAGGAGGTCGAGGACGATAATGAACGTCTGTCCAGTCATTTGATCCGGTCGAACATCGTCATTGAGGATGTACCCCATCTTTCCCCCACGAATCCGGTCCAGCCAATGCATGATCCTTGTTATTCCGAGCTAGTCGCCAAAAATTTGAAGCTCTCGCTGAACAGCATGATTTTACATCTTTTCGGTGGTATTGGCGGCGCTACTAAAGAAAATCCCTTGCGGATACGCTGGATCGAGACGTATTTCCCTTTTACGAGTCCCAGCTTTGAGGTTGAAGTATTCTTTGGAGGCAAATGGCTAGAAATCCTGGGATGTGGCGTGGTACGACAGGCCACTTTGGATACCGCTGGTGAGCATTCGAATTTCAGTCCTCTTACCGTTTCAGCTGCTCATACCTCAGCAGGCGTTCCTCATAAGATTGGCTGGGCATTCGGACTGGGTCTAGAGCGGATTGCGATGGTCCTCTATTCGATCCCTGACATCCGTCTGTTCTGGTCCACCGATACTCGGTTCTTATCCCAATTTAAGCAGGGGGAAATTAGTAAATTCAAGTCTTACTCAAAGTACCCTTCGTGCTTTAAGGATGTTAGTTTCTGGACCGCGGAAGATATCAGTGTCCATGAGAATGACTTCTGTGATCTTGTCCGCGACGTCGCTGGGGATCTAGTGGAAGATGTAAAGAAGGTGGGGACTTATATTTGCGGTCTAAGCGTCAGTTCTGACCAACAAACTAGCTTGACTCATTTGTCCACCCCAAAACGAATCGGACGAGCCTCTGTTATCGAATAAATTATCGGTCTATGGATCGGTAGGTCTTAATTTTTGTGTATATGGTGTGTTCCAACAACCCCACAGCTCTTTGTCAAATGAAGAGGCAAATGGGGTCCAACAGGAAGTGGTCTCTCGACTGAAGGAGCGGTTCAGAGTAGAGATTCGTTGATTAGCAAGTACTAACTACCTTACGTTCTAGCATCCTGAGTACATAATGGATTAACATCGCCATTTCCCGACGTAAGGATCGAAGGCGTAACACCGTAGATCATGATGTCTCCTGGGCCACTCCAACTTGTGCTGCTCTAAGAATACGATCCTTAATGGTGTATCCATTTTTTTGACAATCGATGACTGTCCCGGCCACCTTCCCAGGTATCGGTGCTTGGTAGAGCGCCTCGTGACGATTAGGATCGAAAGGGTCACCAGTAGGGTCAAAAGGTTTGACGTGGTATTTGAACAGAGTCTGGAGAAGCTGACGCTGGGTCAATTCGACACCAGTGTAGAGCTCACGAAGGTGCGCTTCGGGAGGCTTTGTCGAAGCGGAGGCTTCATGCGAAGGTGGTGGTGAAGGAGAAGATGAGTCATCGGAAACAGGCATGTCTTCTATTGTTGAGGGTTCGAGGGCAGACGCAGGCACTGACTTCAATGCCAGCGTGAGGACATCGACCGTCTCGAGCAAGTCAGAGGCGAAGCGGGTGATAGCAAAGTCCCGTGTCTGCTCCTTTTCTCGAGCAGCATTCCGCTGAAAGTTTATAAAGTCTGCTTGTAGGTATCGCAGTCGTCCCTGGACTTGTTCGTTAGCTTCAGTACTGGTCGAGACAACCGGAAACATACGGTCAAGTCAACGACTTCCTCCTCCTTTACCTTCAGCTTTGCGAGCTCCTCTACACATTTGGGCTTTTCAGCGGATGGGGCTTCCCCTTCCTTCACCTCCTCCTTCACCTCTTCAGCTACCTCTGGCTTTGCTTTTCCGTTATTGACACCGGAATAGTGACGCCGCCCGCGAAACGACAAAGAGTGCGTGAAAGCGGCAGAACGTGCAAGTGTTCTGGACGACAGCGAAGCCGTACAGGAACGAAAGAGCTGAAGAGTACACGAGCTCATCGTCGTTCAGTTGGTGGCCTACCGGGATTGGGTAATTTTTGGGGGACGATCGTGGGAATATCCGGATCCTGTAGGCAACCAAAAAATTTTATTAATTTTTCTTTCGTCCGTTACTTGCCGTTTTCGTTCTTTCGAGCTAATCTAGGACTTTCTTGGTCTCCTTGGATTTTCTCAATCTTAACTATCTTTTCTGTCTTCACATGCTTACTATTCTTCTCAGACTGTAGCCCAGCTAAGATGCATCCCAATGTTCGGCATCTACGGCTACTCTACCAAACTATTGCAAATAACACGGCTCTCCGAAAGGGGCACGTCGCGCCGTATCTCGCTTTTCGTCTCATTCGTCGCACGATGGCTGGTTCTGCAACCAAAATCGACGGTACTGCTATCGCCAAGTGCGTTCTTGCTACATTTATTTTTGTCGCTGTATTCGACTCACCTGTCTTGCTATAGATCTGTCCGCGATAGTGTAGCAGCCCGCATCAAGACGAAGCAAGCGACCTTCTCGCGATTTCAGCCTCTGCTAGCCATCATTCAAGCCGGCCAGCGCCCGGATTCATCAACGTATGTCCGGATGAAAGCAAAGGCTGCAGAGGAAGTTGGCATCAAGTTCAAGCATGTCGCACTTCCTGCTGAGGCTACCGTCGACGAGGTTGTGGGGGTCATTAAGCATCTCAATGACGACGAAAGCGTTAGCGGCATTCTGGTACAACTTCCTTTGGGCGAACATGTCACTCCTGAGGGTGAAAGACTGGTGACTGAGGCTGTCAGCCCCGAGAAGGACGTAGACGGGTGTGTGGACACTTGAGGCATATTTGTCTTAATCTTTCAACGATATCATAGATTCCACGCGTATAATATTGGCCACCTTTCATCTCGGGCTTCCGATCCTGTCTTCGCACCCGGTACGCCTTCTGCAGTCATTCGACTACTGGAAACCGCAGGCATCTCGATATCTGGTGCTCATGCTGTCGTACTTGGTCGTAGTGATATCGTGGGCAGTCCTGTGGCCTCGATGCTCAGACACAAAGATGCGACGGTCACTCAGTGTCATAGCCGGACAAGGGATATCGAATCAATTGTATGAGCATCTTTAAAATTTGTATTAATACCTAAGCATTGCCGAAGGTCAAAACTGCCGATATTCTTGTAGCCGCCATCGGTAAACCAGAATTTGTTAAAGGATCTTGGATTAAGCCTGGTGCGGTTGTCATTGACGTTGGTATCAACTATATTCCTGGTAAGCTCGGCATATATCGCATCATTCATACTAACACAATATTAGATGCTACCAAGAAGTCCGGTCAGCGTCTCGTTGGGGATGTGGAATACTCCACCGCATTCGAGGTTGCTTCATTTATCACACCGGTACCAGGCGGTGTTGGCCCTATGACTGTGGCAATGCTTATGGAAAACACTTTGAAGTCAGCGGAACGATTATGGCAAAAATCCAGGGATAGGAAAGTGAAACCATTGAAGCTCAACATTCTTGAGAAAGTTCCTAGTGACATCGAAATCGCCATGGCGCAGACTCCCAAACTAGTCGCCGACCTCGCAAAAGAATTGGGACTGCTTCCCGACGAAGTGGAAAGTTATGGCAAATATAAAGCTAAAATCGAACTTAGCGTTCTGGATCGTTTAGCTCATCGTAAGGATGGAAAATACATCGTAATCTCCGGGTATGTCTAGTTGCAATGATGCGGCCACTGACAACTGATTTACTATACAGAATTACCCCTACGCCTCTTGGGGAAGGCAAATCCACAACGACAATCGGTCTGGCGCAAGCATTGGGTGCCGAATTGGGGCGACCAGCATTCGCATGTGTCCGTCAACCAAGTCAAGGACCTACCTTTGGAATTAAGGGCGGTGCTGCCGGCGGAGGATACAGTCAAGTTATTCCCATGGATGAGGTGAATATTTCCTTCGCAATTCATGTGTACATTTTTCCTGACCTGGGTACAGTTCAATCTTCATCTAACAGGTGACATTCATGCTGTGACAGCAGCGAATAACTTACTCGGTATGCATATTACACTTTGCCTATAACTGAACTAAAGGTGGCCCCAGCGGCTGCTCTCGACGCTCGTATATTTCATGAGGCCACACAATCAGATAAGGTTTGCTCATGAACATTGGAAGAGAAAGTCGGCTCAAGTCTATTTTAGGCTCTTTTTAGCCGCCTAGTTCCTATGAAGAAGGGTAAACGCGAATTTGCGCCTTTAATGTTCAAGCGTCTGAAAAAGCTGGGCATCGATAAGACCGATCCGAACTCTTTGACACCCGAAGAAATCACTCGCTTTGCTCGTCTTGATGTTGATTTGGATACTATCACATGGAACCGAGTCCTCGACACAAACGACCGCTTTTTGCGTAAGATCACGATTGGTCAGAATACCACTGAGCAGGGACACGAGCGTGTCACTGGGTTCGATATTGCCGTAGCGAGCGAATGCATGGCTGTCCTGGCCCTTACTACTGGTCTTGAAGACATGAAGGAACGTCTCGGAGCGATGGTGGTCGCCACAAGTAGACAAGGGGACGCTATCACCGCCGACGATATCGGTGTTTCAGGCGCTCTTGCCGTTCTTCTTAAGGATGCTATCAAGCCCAACCTAATGCAAACACTACAGGTCTGAATATCATCTTTGTCTGAAACTGCTCTATTTATCATGGCATTAGGGAACTCCGGTTTTCGTCCATGCAGGACCTTTTGCCAACATCGCTCATGGAAACTCTTCCATTCTTGCTGATCGCGTGGCCCTCAAGCTGGCGGGCACCGAGGAAGGTGATTCCTCTGATCGCGTTGGCTATGTCCTCACCGAGGGTGGTTTTGGGGCTGATATGGGTATGGAGAAGTTCTGCAACATCAAATGCCGAGTCAGCGGCCTTATGCCTGATGCAACCATCGTTGTTGCGACCACCCGTGCCCTGAAAATGCATGGCGGCGGCCCTGACGTAACGCCTGGAAAGCCTCTCCACGAGACATATACCAAGGAGGACCTTGTCACGTTAAAGGAAGGATGCAAGAACTTGGTCAAACACATCCAGAACTCTAAGAAATTCGGAATTAAGGTCTTGGTCGCTATTAACCAGTTTGCGTGGGTAGCTTGTTTATCATACTTGAGGGCGTTATTGAATCTGGGCATTTAGATCCGACACACCTGCGGAGCTTGCTCTCGTTCGCAATGAGGCTCTTGGCGGAGGTGCCGACGCTGCTGTTGTGAGCAACCATTGGGCTGAGGGTGGCGCTGGTGCTCGTGCTTTGGCCGAAGCTGTGATTGCCACCTGCGAAGGTCCTTCGCAGTTCAGATATCTCTATGATCTGGATTTGCCGATCGCTGAGAAGATCTCTGTCATATCTAAGGAGATCTATGGCGCGGATGGTATTGAGCTTAGTGAGCTCGCTCAGAAACAAATTGATACCTATACTCGTCAGGGCTACCAGGGTCTTCCTAGTGAGTTTATATCGTTGATCATATAATGGCGTCGCCTTATCCCTTCCTAGTCTGCATGGCCAAGACCCAGTACTCATTCTCCCATGACCCTAAACTCAAAGGAGTACCTACTGGTGTGTTCTCTTATATTCATCTCCCTCGTTGTCTCAGCATTATCTTCACAGGCTTTACGATTCCTATTCGGTCAGTACGACTGTCGGCCGGTGCAGGGTTCTTGTCTCCTATCCTCGGGGACATGCAGACCATGCCCGGTCTTGGAACACGTCCAGGTGAGTAGCTATTTTTTGTGCAATGAACTGCCAATGGAGCCGTGTGCAGGATTCTGGGAAGTCGGATTAGACCCCGAATCTGGTAGAGCTGTGGGTTTGTTCTAGATCTTTATGGCCGGGAAGGCCGCTCGTATGGGCTGCTGTCAACAAGCATCAAGTCTGTGCATCTTCATCAGTAGCATAGACTCGCAAAGCCGTCTCAACACGGAGGACTCTGCTCAATGTGGAGATGAAGAGCACTTAGAATTACTAATTAGATCTAGGCTTGCACGTAGAGATAGACATGATATCTAGGAGAGAGTAGAGTATTCGTTGTAGACAATGTCGGCATTTGCCGCAAGCAGAGATTTTACAATAATTGACTCTGTTTCACCGACAATCATGAAAAGACTTGGCGAAATCAGCATTTTCTCCTCACGCTCATTATGTTCGCCTTTTCTATTTGTTACTTATGTTCCCTCAAAAAGTCACATTAGTCATTTTATATTCACATGCTGTTCATGCACCCCGACATTGGTGCATACTCTTCCGTGTTTGTTGCTGCCTCGCCGGAAGTCGACGCCGACCCACGATATCAGGGAGGGTATCTGCAGCCCATCGCACAACTTGGGGAGGCCTCGAAGACAGCTTGTGACCCGGAAGTGGCGAGGGAGCTCTGGCAGACGAGTGAGAAAATTGTGGAAGGAATGCTTTCCCTTTCTTGAATGACGGTCATCTGGAATCGAGCTGCCTGCCTAGTAATTCGACTTGATTCCTTGGAAATCTTGTCTTATTTGACCATTCTCGTTTCTTCCACGCAAATATATGATGTGATGCCATGCAGGACATTCTATATCTGCAATCGTGAAGCATGCGGGCTCTTCGACATTATTCATGGTGCCTTGGTCGGGGTCTGTACGGTATTTTGTTGAATCCAATCGCGCCTGAGGTACCTGAGTGCGCGTATATAAATACAACCGGTAATCGTCCCATGTATCCGTTGAAGACCATGGGAACGAAGTAGCTACAGGGTCCGAAATTTTTAGCTTTTCACACTAGCGCGACCTTAGAATTTATCTTCCCAGTAATGCTACACGAATATGACAATATGTTATTACTTCTCTTATTATATCTATGATTCGGTTAAGGATGGATCCTGATAGAACTTCATCAAGTCTTGAACGTCTTCCTTGCTTCCCAGGAAAACTGAGCACCGCTGGTGAATCCCAGTAGGCACAATGTCAAGGATACGCTGAGTTCCAGTTGTGGCAATACCTCCGGCCTTGAACAACAGGATAAGCTGAGAAACACTCAATGTCACAGTACATACCTGCTCGGTCAAAAAGGCCATAGGGAATGCCTCATAAAGCAATCTGAGTTTACCGTTCTTGCTCTTCTTATCGTCAGGGTACCCAAAGATACCGCCGTACAATAAGGTGCGGTGAACATCAGCAACCATGGAACCGATGTACCGAGAGCTATATGGAGCTTTAGGAGGTGCAGGGTATTTGATTGATTTCAGGTAGGCGTTGACAGGAGGATGGAAATACATGGCGTTCCCTTCGTTGAAGGAATAAATCTTCCCGCGATGGGGAATCTGGATCTATAGTTTCATGGGTAAACATTAAGATAAAATTGAATTGAAAACGGCGCACGTCAGGGTGGGTGAGAATGAATTCTCCCAGGGAGGCATCCAACGTATATCCATTGACACCCTGTCCGGTTGACAAAACGAGGTTTGCCGATGATCCATACCTGGGGAACGGTATGAAAGACGCATCACAGAGGGACACAGGACGTACATGGTATAGCCTGCCGCAACCATTTCACTGCCAGGTCTCAGGACATCCTGAACACTAGCGGAGCCGTCGATATCCTGTCATCAGGGTTGAGTGGTGCCCTAGGAGACAATAATAATAATACGCACCACTTTGTATATCCCGAAGATAGTTCCAATGTTAACACCAGCATCAATGTTGCTGCTACCGTCAAGGGGGTCAAATACGACACAGTATCTGCCACGGTTTTTTTCCTCGATGATAATCGCATCTTCTAGCTCCTCCGACACCAGAACGGCGGTCTTGCCGGAAGCCCGGAGAGCATTGACCATGATATCGTTGGAGAGGACGTCAAGCTTCTTTTGATCCTCGCCTTGAACGTTGGTTTCTCCAGCCAAACCGACCCTAAACACGCTCGTGTGAGATTCGATAAGACAGACGGCAGCGACGTACAGGTTAATGAGTCGGGCCTTCCGAACATTGGTAGCAATAAATTTCGAGGTAACCTGGATGGCGGTCAGCAACAAAGTAAGGTCGCCGGTCGCCGCTGGCCCTAGGCGCATCTGATCGTTGAGGACATGGCTACCAGGAGCGTGAGCGACGTCGAGCAAGGGGGACAAGGAAGAGATACCGGGTGAGGGTGATGAGATCAGTGCTAGGGGGCTCCTCGTTGGACATGGCAGCAGAGAATGCAGAGGCAGTACGATAGAGTCGTTAAATAATAAACGTGCGGATGGAATCGGACAATGGTGGGACGTAGATTATCCGTTCCCCGTCACGTTGCTTTAAATAGGAGAACGGGGAGATCAATTGCTATCACGTGCCTTCCCCACACGGGGCTAACCGGGGAACTGACAACATAGTACTCCCCCGTCAACGGGTCGACGGCTTCCTAATCATTCCATTACAGCTACTTACATAGATCTCTTTAATAATGGCTTTCGTATACCCACCTTGTTACCTCTTCCTCTTCTCTCCCGTCGCGACAGTGTCCTTGCCCCGTCGCGTCCGCAGTGGCACCGGGAAAGTGTCGCTGTCATCGTCTTCCCTATCTGTACTGTCCTCCAATGCGGCCCGATCCTCCCCATCGCCCAATCCCCTGATCCCACTCGTATTGGGTCCGATGGTATCACGTCGTTCTAGTTCATCACCAGAATCATCTTCCAGCTCGTCTTCCTCTTCTTCCTCTTCCTCGTATCCACGAGACTGGGCTTGTGCAATAGCGGCTGCTATTTCAGCACTGATACTTGCAACCCGTACTTCCAGCGCCTCTTCAGCACCTGTCTGTGGTGGAGGAGCAGCCAAGGCGGCACCACCTGCATGAAACAGTGCAGATATCGTCCGTACTGATTCTGCGAGTGCTTGATCGTCGTCGCTACTGTCTTCCACCCGTCGCCTCTTCGACTTGAAATTGTACTTCCTGAAGCAGGCTCGTGCATTAGTCTAAGAATGTCTCCATCGTGTCATACGTATACATACATGTTAGGGTCTGGCGTCCAATTTGGATCATGAGTCCGCATATGCTGATTTAGAGTCGTTCGCCGCGTAAATGTTTTCTCGCAGTTAGCATCTTCGCATTTGTATGGTCGTTTGCCAGTATGGGTTCTCCGATGGCGGGCTAGACTACTCGAGTCACTAAAGGTTTTGCCGCACGCCGGATATTCACAGCAGTGCGGTTTTTCCCCAGTGTGCACCCGAGAATGGACATGTAAAGCCGAACGCTGTCAGAATGTCCCAGCTCATCAGCACACCACGGTAGCGGAACAAATCAGGGCCACATGCCTGAATGAATGTCTTGCCACAGTTGGTATAGTCGCAAACGAATGGCCTTTCACCTGTGTGTATCCTTGTATGCCTAGCAAGGTCACTACGTCGTGTGAAGGACTTATTACAGTTTTCATGGTCGCAAGGATACATGTGATTGGGTCCTTTCTCCTTTTCAGTCTTTTTGCCCTTCTTGTTGTTGCCATTAGATAATGTGACAGCAGAGGTGGATGCAACGGGTTGCGAGACAACAGTTCGATTCACCTGCGTTAGAACGGATGACGGAGTCGGAGGGCGAGGCTGGGAATCCGAAATAGGCCGGACATGGGAGACGACGGGCGAGGAATCAGGCGAGGACGGGCCGTGAGCATTGCGGTGTTCGAGTTCTGGGTCGTATTGACCTGATAGCTGCGTCAGTATATCATTTATATCGGTAAATTCACCAGGTAAAGACGCCGGTGGATCGTTGTCTGGTCGAGAAGGTGGGATAGGGTGGCTGGGCCCGTCAACGTCGCTGTCGCTATGGCCATCTGAATAGAGATAGTCGGTGTCTGGTGGCTGGCTACCGCGTTCCCCCCGCCCGGTGGATTTATGAGGACTCTCGGAGGACTCTCCGGCAGTCAGCGAATGAAAGGCAGGTGCTGTTCGTGTGTTCTTCTGTCCCTTCTCAGCCAATGCGGCAGCTCGCTGTCGAGCGAATTCTGGATCTTTCGCTGCCAGTTCCTGAGCCGCACGTTCATTCTCCGCGGCCTGAGCGTGTGCTGCATTTAGCACGGCAGCTAATCCGCTGAGATCTATGCTAGCCAAGCTGGAGAGATTGTCATTCCCACCGTCACCTTCTCCATCTCGAGATTGTCCCAGGTTAGCTTGATGTTGCTGAGCGGCTGCACTGAGCAAAGCCGCAGATGCAGCGGAAGCATTCTGGTTGAGTAAGGTAGCAATTTCACGCTCGAGTATTTCGACGGAGAAGGGCTCAGAGGTGGAGAGAGAAGGTAGGTGGCCACTGGACTTTTGCAGAGGCGACAGGATGGCATTTGGCGTGCTGTCTTGGGTCTGGTCATTGTTGTTGGAATTTATGGCGTCGTCATCATCGTCGATAGTATGGTCGTGAACGACGTCGGATAAATCAAGCGCAGGTTCCTCGTGGTCCATGCTAGCTCCAATCGCGGCGGTGATATCGAGTCTGACAAAGAGAGAGGACTAGTCAGCAAAGAAAAGTGTAGAATGAAGGATATTCAACTGCAGAATACCTTTGGAATGGCGCAGAGGTAAGGAAGAGGATAATGTGATGGTGGATAAGGGCAGAGCCTTGGGCCTGGTTGGCCTATGGTTGAGAAAGAATCTGGGTTCCGAATACGCATGCCACGTGCTCGGAGCTGCCCCTGAATTTCATTTTTATCGTCACCTCACCTTCGACCACCATCACCATCATGTCTGGAATCCAGACGTACGTCCCGAACAGCACGGCAGGCCTGAAACCGAAGCGACATCATGGTTATGCTGTATTTCTCTTCATTATGGGAACCCTCTTTCCACCGTTGGGTTCGTCATCAACATTGTTTGTAACTCATTGCATATCCTGATGTTATTCTCTATCACAGCCGTGGCAGCGAGATTCGGTTTTGGAGGAGACTTTTGGCTGAATTTGCTGTTGACCATCTGCGGATATATTCCAGGTATGTTCTCCACCGTTGTTGAGTGATATGATAGTAATCGTGACAAGGTCATGGCCACAATTTTTACATTCAGGTTAGATTTTGCATCTCGCTCAAGTGTTGTCTCTAATTTGTGTCACAGAATATAAGAAATAACAAGAACCATCGTCGCACGCCAAAATGGGCTCAACGATATGGTCTTGTGGACACGTTCGAGATCCGTCGCAAGGAGCGCAAGTCCCAGTGGGCAGCTCGTTACAATGATCGTCTGCCCCAGTCAACCCTAGAGGGGCAGCCCTACGAGGAGGGTCAGGAGGCGGGATCCAGTATAGACCTACCTTCGGAAGATGGACGAGGACAAAGGCAAGTCAATGGAGATTTGTGGCGGCCGGAAGACGAAAACTATTACGTTGCTGCACAAGATGCCAATTTGGGCACAGCCTCCAGCGGGCGATGGCACTATCCTGCCAATTTTGAGAACACCGCTGTCTCCGCAAATTCCTCAAAACGAAGCAAGAAGAAGAAAGAGAAGAAGGATCGGTGGGCGAGGACAGAGGATGCATATTCTGTATCGGAGGAACGACAACGAAGGAAATCCAAAAAAAAGAAGGGCAAATCGTCTGCAGCTCCTGACGATAGCATGTATTCGCAAGATGGCTCTGTTGAGTTTCCTGAGGATGCAGAAGGTGGCCTGTACGGTGAGAGGGCGACAGAGACGGGGGATACTGGGCAGCCAAAGAAGACCGGGGACGATGTGTTCAGTCATGAGTTTTGAACGACATAATACGCACCCTGGGGACGGTACGAGTATCATACTTGATACCATGCGGTTATTGATAGAATCTTAGTGAATCGGCTATTTATTTATTGGGTTACCTGCAAGGACTCATGTTTTTGTTTTCGATTAATACCAGCGTTTTTGCACAATCATTTTGTGCGTGCTTACATGGCAACATGACGACGCCTGCGGTATCACTGGCAGCATGTGAGAATCTTTATCTCTCGGCTGATCCTGCCTTGTTCTCATACCGCATGGACTGGAGGCCTTCTTCATCCATTTACGCCAATATATTCCGTATATATCTGACGACGGAACACGGTCCTGAGAAGTTTTCAAATGAGCTATCATCTCTTTAGGTGTTCTTTCAAAGCATCCACCATGATCTTCTCGTTACTTCTCGTATCCCTGACAGCCGTCGCTCGCGCTGCCGTTCTCGTGGATTTTCAGGTTGCTCAGCCTGTCGTTGTACCCAGTAATGTAAAGCAATGCACGGTTCAAGTGCTCCGGTAAGTCTGCTGTCTCTTATCTTCTACACTGGTCTTACATATGGCATATTCAGACGCGATTTCGCGTTTTCTTTTGGCGAGTTAGTGGCTTTACAATCTTATTCATGGGGCGTAGTTAACGACAGCAACTACAAGCGCTGAAGTTGTGGAGCTAGTGTATGTGTTTTGTTGGATGATGTGCCAGCTCACTCGCTGATGAACGTAGGCCTCCCACGGACTGTGGTTCCGTTGGGTCTTGGTCGGCTATAACTCTGAATCTGACGGTAACTTCCAATGGAACTCAATTCGACCGACTCGGTATTTTTACGTTCCAAAATGTTGAGAGTGAGGTGCAACTCTAATGTGGCGTTTGCATGACTGACCTTTGGTTTCCATATAGTCTGGAGGACGTCTACGCCAGAGCCTACTCCAGGCGACGGAATCATTTGGACTTACATCAAGGACGTTTCGCAGTACATGCCGCTATTCGAGACGGCTGGCACTTTCATTTTCCAGTTAGATAACCTCATTGAGGCGGGTTTGGATGGTATATATTCATGCACGTAGGCTTAATTCGTCTGGGTTATTTGATGTTGACACGGTTGTTAATTAGCTGTGGTCCACGCAACCTATTATGACTCTTCTAATCAGCATCCTCCGGCCGACAAAGCTGACTTGATTGTACCTCTCTCTACGCTAGCCAACGACACTGGAAATGACGCTTCAGTGCCACCCGGCTTCTCGGTACGCGGCCAAGGTAGTTTTCATGAATTCATTCCGATGATTAGAATAGTTGAACATCACTCTCCCTATCAACACCGTGGAAATATATGCTGAACTATTTGCGTCCGGTAACGCCCAAGAGGAATTCTGGGTGATAATTTTATTTCTGTCGCCTGGCCATCAACGCATCTAACTCATACACAGTACACCAATGCCGCCGACAATTTTATCTCTAGTCTCCCTGATGGCACCACATTTGGCCAAGGGCCTTTCCGTGAAGTTCGTTTACTTATCGATGACCAGGTAGCCGGCGTCGCATTCCCGTATCCTGTCATCTTTACTGGTGGTATCTTACCGTCGTTCTGGAGGTGAGTGGATCTACTCTCCAAGCTGTTTTTTTTTTTTTCGTTAGAGCGCGTCCGCAGACCAATCACCGCATATGGCGCCTTGGACCTTCCCACTTACTTCCTTGATGTAACTCCATTTGCACCCTTGCTTTCAGATGGGTAGGTCTATCTCGTGCTGTGGTAAAATAGGAGATTCACTCTGAAGGGCCAGTAATCCTCATAACTTTACCATCGACGTTCCGTCTGCGGAAGCAGACCATACCATAAACCAGAACTGGTTTGTTTCGGGACTGCTGCAGGTCATTACGGATTCCTCATCGGGGCGGACTACTGGCAACATTACTAAATATGCTGTCGAGCCATTCGCAGCGACGTCTGTTAGGGGAAGTGCATCCGAGTCAGAATTCGACGTCGAAATCATTGTTCAGGCCACGCGGAGTGTGCACATCGAGGCCGATGTCATAAGCGGGAGTGGCAAAGCTACCCACGTTGTTTGGACCCAAGATATGAGCTATTCTAACTTCCAAAGTTACACAAACGAGGCATTGACTCAGGTGGGCGTGTGATCATCAGTTTATAACTGCCTTGCTCACTCTGTCCGAAATTACGATGGTCTTAGTTTGTAAAACAAACAGCTACGGGAGACATAAGTTCCACCCACAATGGTGTTTCTGTTGTTGCTGATTCGTTCTCTTATGTATGCAAAGACAATTCATTCCTCGTGATGTCTGTGCTCAAGTCCTTGAACAGCCTCTTGAGCTTAATATCACTTTTCTGACTCCTGAATTTACCAGCTGTAGGTATTAACAGTCCTCTAGTTGTTTACTGACTCAGGCGCACTCCAGGGACCTCTGAGGTCGATCATTCGTACGATCGGACGGTACAAGCGAGCCCCCTGGTATTAGGGACTACGATCCATAATCATCAGATAACTAGTACGTCCTCGACGTCCATTCAGTGATTTTGACTCATACCTCTATGCGCAACAGCTGGCTTTTTCCAAACAGCTTCGACTGGCAATACTGGCAATGGAACAAGCAACAACACGTTTACTTATAGTGACACTGCCGGGAACACATATCAGAGGATCGTGGATGCGGCGCTCAATAATATCACTTTTGACAGAGAAAGTGGAAGTCTTGCACCTGCTAATACTCCAGTGTTAGTGCAGGCGTTGCAAGCTAATGACGGAATGTTTGCTCCTGCGCGTTTGCCTGGGAATAGTGCATGACGAGCAGTAGTAATAGTTCATAAGTATGGGATACTTTAGTCGCAAATTGAGCTTTCTGTTTATTCGGCTGTGTCGGCCCGGATACGGTCAATGAGCATCAACTCGTACCCGATCGATCTTGACGAAAGCTATCATGTCCATGACAGAGGTGCGATTTTTAGAACCCGTTGCCTTTTCTTTCACTGTATTCTTGTAGCTATCACAGCCAAAGGCAAAGCGTAGAGGCACCAAACGAACGAATGTAGCTTTCTCCGACGACGACGACGAATCGGATGGTCGCGCTCGGGATCATCCTCATTCCCCCAAGAGGGCCCGTATACACAGCACTGAACCGGATACCGCCACAGACCATCACTCACGTCAACATTCTCTGGAGCCTTCGCCAAACGTCGGTCAGTCAGATGCAGTTGCGACGAAGAAACCTAGGAAAAGGAGGCCAAGTACCCGATTTGTTGACGAGGACGATGATTATGATGTCAACGTCGAGGATGATACTGATGACCTCTCCAAGGCATCTGTTGCTATCCCAGATGGCTTTCACGATGACAACGAAGACTTCATTGATGATGACGAGGAAGCGCCCATGAAAGGGAGTAAGAAGGGAAAGATGAAGGGTGTAAAAGCGGCTGGGAAAGGCAGAGGTAAAATCAAAGCCAAGTCAGAGGTGAAAGAGACCAAGATGAAAGACGAGCGAAAAAGCATTTCGAAACCGATACCATCCGATACCCAACCTCCTTCCTCGAAACGGCCCAAGATTCAAGATACGGGCGATGCACCTAGCGGCGATAGCGCTGCCTCTCAGCTCATGAAGGATGATCATCCTACACAGGTGCCGAAGAAGAAACTTCCTACGATTAAGAAGAACAGGGAACCAGGTCCTTCCACTCCGTTAGTGGCCAAGTCTGTGCCTTCAGCACCGACAGTTCCCAAGGACGACTTTTCTTTGACCAATACTCTCACATCGGTTTCTAGAAAGCCGCCCCTCGTGAGTGGGGGTGACTTGGATTTGAGCAACAGTTCAGTATATTCGTCTCTGTTCAAGGTGAGTATCAGTAATCGCAGTCAAGGTATCATCGTAATTTTTTTCCCAGCCTGCCGCTAACACGCCGCGCACTTCCTCGAATCGAGATGCTGAAAGACGGAAAGAGCTGAATAAACTGAGAGAGGAAGCTAGGACGAAGCGTGAACTAGAAGCAGTGAGTTCTTGTTACATGTCATTGTTGTCTTTTCGGTCTCAAATAATGTATAGAATTGTCACTTTAATTTGCAAGGTGACATGGAGAAGATATTACGATTTGAAGACCGATTACGGTCTATCAGAAGCCCCACCGTGTACCCAAACGTACTAGGCGCTAAATGGAAAGAACAGTGGGAACGGGACAAACGGCATCGCGTCCAGACGACATCCAGGGACGTGGGTGATAGCCGCGAGGAAGGTGAAATGTGAAGATCATTTAAGTATGTTACTCCGCCACAACTTAATGCACTAATATCTCTGGGAGCTTGCACGTACTCTGAGGGTCAATCGCGTACGGCAGAGGGCCCAACTTGCCCGTGTCCGCGGGTAGGTGCAGCCGTTAGACTTTCAAACTTTGCGAGCACGTCTTCCCAACCTCACTGCAGTAATATCATAGATATGTGCCTTACTTGACCTCTACAATTACAATCAGTGCCTAAGCAAGCTAAAGCACTGGAAAATGATAATAAAAAGGACAATTTCTGGTCCGTAATTTGGGTGACAGCAGTCCTGCACTTATTAGGAAAAGCTCTAGAATCAGCGTCCTCAATGCTCTTGTCGGTGGAACACCTTTTAAAAGTGTTTCGCGAGTATACGGACTTCGTGACGTTCGTGATCTAACTGTAGCCAAGGTAGTCGGTGGGACTCGCGCGGACTAGAGAAGAAACAATAACTGAATTACATCCGGAAGGGGAAGAAGATACTCACTCCCGTTCATTTATTTAACAAGGAAATGGAAAGGCACAGACACACATATCAAGTCTCCGAATTGGCTGATAGGCATTGCGATAGGTTCTGCGAGGTTTTTTGTATTTGTGCAAAACAAGTCTTATACCACTTGGTGAGAGTCGAAGTCGGAGCCTTGTCGATGACGTTGAGAGCATCAAACTGCGCTTGTAGTGTTCGGCCATCAACGACAGCGTCGAGCGATGACTTGAGACGATCGACGCTTTCTTGGAAGTTATTCAATTCGGCAGCTATTGCAGACAGATCTTGGGGAGGATAGAAGGAAGAGATAAGGTCGTCCGAGGCCGACAACAGGGCTGATGAACATGGTGCAAGTTTGTCGAGATCTGAGTTCGGAAGGGCCGACGAAGGTGATGGCGATAAAAAGTCCTGCAAAATTCGTTTGTGTAACAACGTTGATAGACGGATGATGGCGTAAACCTTATTGAACTTTCAGTCAATAGGTGCAAAGCAATAATTGGAAGAGTAACCTGTTTTGCCCGTTCAAGCTCCTGTTCATCGAGGCACTTGACAGAGCCTAGACCCAATTCATCCCATTCATCGTCCTCGCCATCCTCACCATCATCCGCGTCATATTCAATCATATCACTGAGCTCCTTCAAACCATCATCCAAGGGCCCACTGTCCCGCTGCCATTTTTTTCGAACAGCAGAGAGATTGTCAACCGACAAGCCATCTCTGGATGACGAGCGTGCTTTATCAATCAAATGGTGGATTTCACCGGTTTTAACGAGGTAATCATCTCCCGATTCAAGAACGCGCGTTTCGGACACGTCAAAAATAACAAGGAGAGATTTAACTGACTTGATGATATCTCTACAGATGTTATTGAATTCCTGGACAAGAGTGGCCCCGTGAATTTTGGGCAGCAACATATCTGTACAGTGCGCAAGCGCGGAGATGTGATTTGACATGTCCTTTAGCGGCGAGAGTGCTGCACCATACGTGAAAGCTTTGGGCTTCATAGCCAGTGAAATTTTGGTTGTAGATCCATAGATCAGGAGTAATAAAGACAGAAAGTCTTGACGAATAACCGCCAGTTCCGCCGGAGGGATATCCTCTGCCTGCGAGGACTGGGAGAGGAAATCCAGAGCAGCATCGCAAGTCTCTATGGCCTTCTTGATGGAAGACATCGCTATAAAGAAGGATGAATTTCCTTTCATTCCTTGACACAAAAATTACTGACCTCGTTGCTGATCCTTCAGTGCCATGGCAAGCGGGAGAAAGAATCCGTGGGTGATCACGTGCCTGCCGACATTTTTTCGGTCTGGCGGAATTACGCGCGTTCAAGCCCGGGTATGCTGCGACCACCACAGGTGAGTCCATTTTCACCATTGCCAACCATTTACTGAGCATTTTTCGCAGCTGCAGAGCCCTTTGCGGCTCGTAGCATACTCCCACTTTCCTCTACCAGCTCAAATATGTATACGGCGTCCGTTGGGTCTAACAACGAGGACACTGCTCACCGCCTCTCTGGCGTCCAGGAGACCCTCTTTTCCTTCATTCACCTTGAATATCATTGCGAAATCTCGAAATGTCTCTCTGGGTTCAATTTTCAATCGATTCAAAGGCTCGCCAGCACCGTCGCCTACCGTCGTAGCTCATGTCACGAAGCTTGAGGCGGAGGCAAACGTGTACCCTCACGATGTCGGAAAGCAGCTGGCGCTTTTTGACGCTTTGTTGGAGACGAAGCTCAGGTCTTCCTATGAGCTTATTCTCAATCGTTGGGAACGAATGTGTGAATTTGTGCGTCTGCCTGTCCTCTCACTTTAATACACATCTAACAACTTCCTAGGACCCTACATCTCCCCTTCTCCGGTCGGAAGAAGCATTTCAGATTTATTTGACGTGTTTGATAAATACGGGCCAGCAGAATTCAGTCTACTCAGCCGCTCGTCGCCGAGATTCTCTTTTGGCGTCTTTACCCGCCGTAGTGAATCACCAGGCTCCTACGCCTCAGGAGCAGCCAAATGCAACCATTGCGCCTGAAACTGGTGTTTCTGAATCACACGCGACCTCATCACCGGAACCTAACCCTCCGCTCCCAATTACGCCCAAATCTAGCCAGGACATCGCCAAAGCCGTTCTTTCAACGCATGCAACGTCTTCATCTTCACCTCTCTTGTCGAATGTGGACCCCGCAAAGCTGGCCTCCGCTTTTGAGGCTATCGGCCCCGTTCAAGTCACCATCGTCGAACGTATGTTGGTTTTGAGTGCGATTAATCCATATCCTCATATCCATTAGGTAAAAGTGCATGGATACCTCGGCTAGCTCGCTTTATCGCTGTCCTCTTGGTGTCCTCCTTCTGTATGTGACATCCATCCCCACGTAAGGCAGTTCCTAACGTATGATTCTTATTATATAGTTTTCCTGGTTATACTGTCGGTCTTCTTCGAGAACACGGGGATTATCAAGAATGGTCCTCGAACGGCCCAGTATCAACCGTCTCAGGAAAGTACTGTGAAATTCAGTGACGTTCATGGCGTAGATGAGGTTAAAGAGGCTAGTGGTTCTTTTCTCCTATGCTTATTTGACAGTCAATGGAGGTACCCGACATATAGGAATTGCAAGATGTCGTTGAATTCCTCAAGGACCCAGAGTCCTTTGCAACACTCGGAGGAAAGTTACCAAAGGGTGTTTTGCTTACTGGGTCGGTGTTCTTTCGCAAGGCGATTAGGATTCCATATTCATTTTACTAGATCCCCCGGAACTGGAAAGACAATGCTTGCGCGCGCAGTTGCAGGAGAAGCCGGCGTTCCATTCTTCTTTGCCTCGGGGTGAGTTGGCCGACCATTCGCCGAGACTCGCTCAGTAACAGAACTCCCAAAGATCCGATTTTGAGGAAATGTTTGTCGGTGTAGGTGCTAAGCGTGTTCGGGATCTGTTCGCGGCAGCTCGTAAGAAAGAACCTGCCATTATATTTATCGACGAACTCGACGCGGTTGGTGGGAAGCGGAATGCAAGAGACCAGCAGTATATGAAGCAAACACTCAACCAGCTTCTTGTGGAAATGGACGGATTCCAGCAGAGTCAAGGCGTTATTGTTATAGCCGCTACCAACTTTCCTCAGAGTCTCGATCCGTAGGTGATTCGGTCACCCGTGTAAACATACTTATACTTATCTTCGCAGAGCCCTCGTAAGACCTGGACGATTCGATAGACATATCGCTGTACCACTTCCCGACATTCGTGGACGTGCACAGATTCTCCAACACCACATGCGAAATGTGTCCACAGCCAAAGGCAACCGTCTATAGAACAAGTTGCCGTGATTTGGCTAATCAATCTAATCTTTCAGATGCTGATCCCAAAGTTCTTGCTCGCGGAACGCCAGGCTTTTCTGGTGCTGATCTACAAAATATGGTAAAGTGAGGATCATGTGCTCGTTCGCCAATGACATGGACTAAAATGGATTTTGTTAGTCAAGCTGCCATTCAGGCTGCCAAAGAACGGGCCAAAGAAGTGACTCTGAGCCACTTCGAATGGGCTAAGGTCTTATCATTCATTCATTACCGGCATAGAATCTAAATTTGGTGACAACAACAGGACCGTATTCTCATGGGCGCGGAACGAAAGAGTCAATACATTGCTGAAAAGGACAAACTTGCCACGGCATATCATGAGGTCGGTCCCACTAACCTACAAACTTGCCGCTGATTTCTCACGTTTATAAACTCGTAGGGCGGGCATGCCCTTGTCGCACTGTATACGGAAGGTGCAATGCCTCTTCATAAGGTTACTTGCGTGCCTCGGGGACATGCCCTAGGCTATGTAGGCTTGGCTGCTATTTATCTAGTGAGGCGAAAACTGATGCGTATATACCTAGACATCTATGCTTCCGGAGAATGATAGGACTTCTATCACTCTGAAGGAATACCTTGCATCCATAGATGTCTCCATGGGAGGTAGAGTCGCTGAATCGCTTAGTATGGAGTTCATATATTGGCCGTACAGATGAATCTGATTTCTCCTGCAGTTTACGGGCCTGAAAACGTTACTAGTGGAGCTAGTTCGGATATCCAAAACGCTACCTCAATAGCACAGTCTATGGTTAAGGTACGCTCCGTTTCTCGTTCATTTACGGAAAGACTCAGAGATTGAAAGCGTTGGGGCTTTTCTAAACTTGGTCCGGTCTATTTCAATGATAAGGAGACAAGCCCTGCTCGGATGCAACAAATTGAGGATGAAGTGACAAAGTAAGTTTTCGCCCCGAAATACCTACCATATGGAAAACGAGGGCATATGGTGCTATCAGGCCAAGCCGAGACTGTGCGGGCACTGATCTTTATACATTCTAGTATCATCAAGACCGGGGAGGCTCGAGTCGTCGCACTTCTTCAGGCCAAAATTGATGAGCTTCACAAGGTAAGCGAGTATATACCATTGTCAACGTGTGCGTCTCTTTACGAGTGTCCCAGCTCGCCCATGCTCTCGTTGAACACGAGACTCTAGACTCCCAGCAGGTGAGGAAGGTTGTGAAAGGAGAATCAATACGGAACATCGATGAGGTACTGGAGAAGGAGCTTGATGGTTTAAGGAAAGGGAAAGAAGAATCCAAATAAACGTAAGCGCTTTGCTTTCTGACGTTCAATGCGTTCAATTGATGATGAGTACAGTAGATGCATCTGTCCGGTGTTTACAAACTGTCGGTTCGGAAAGTTGCGATCAGCTTTTGTGACTGCATGGCGTAAGTTATACAATTTATAGGCCGCACTGGAAAGTCTTCTAGTGACTAGGATGTGGTGGGCGCTCTTAGTATATTCACTGTTGGTGTATAGAAAATCAGCTGTAGCTTGCAATCAAGACATTGTTCGATGTTCAGGATTCCTAGCATCTTTCGCTCCTCTTCAGCCTGTGCGCATGCACCTGGGAATAAAAGCGACGTCGAAGCAAATCAACATCATGACAATGAAGGAGAAGCGAAGAGGTGTGTGAATACGACGTCTCGAGACCTAAGAATCATGGACTGTTCAGATTCTCTCCATTCACTTGGTCCCCGCACGCCACAAGGTGGTCCAACAGGCGCTTGCAATTCAGTTGTACATATTATGTATATCCACTCGGGCCGAGATGGAACCATTTCAAGGCCGAAACGAAGGGGACCTGCTGCAGTCGAGCTGGCGTTTGGCTTCGCATTCAGCGGAGAAAAAAGGGTTGTGCGAGTCTAAAAGAGGAGACCTTTAGAGAGCTTTTTATGGCGGTAGGTTTGTACGCACATGTTGCGGAACGCTGGAGATATCAATCAGAAAGAGACAGGGCGCGTGTTCCCTCATGGATGTCCCCTTCAGGACTAGCTAGGCATATGTTACTGGGAGTATCTTACTTGTTTTGGCGGGCATCGGCCAATGTGGGTGGGTGGGCGTAGCATATTACGGTCTGCCTTTGTTTCGAGGACTTTGATGTTAGTATATCATATCTTCGAGTCGCGTAATTCGACTAGTGTTGGGAAAGTAGAATAGAGGAGACATCGAACATCGAATCGGGTGCATCTGATCAAATTGACTTGCAGGGCCATCCATATCTCGACGTCCCTCGCCCAGAATCCTGGCTTCACCCTCCCGCTTCTTGCCATTCTCGCCACGGAAGTTTCCTTTATTCTATGCTACAATCTGTGCTTACCAGATATCAAGCCGGACCGTAAATGTTAGGCCTAATTCCCTATTTTTAAGGGAGGACAGAATTCAAGCAGGGGGCCCGCTCATTCTCTTCTTCACCATTTTCCTCACGACTGGACTCAGATCGAGGTAGAACGATGATCCATTGATGATTGACGATCTCTGATATGCTTTTAAACAGTATACACTCGATTGAACTCAAAAATCCGCGATCTGGCCTACCTCCGCCGACGACGAATGTGAGGCTTCTTCCCATCGTACTTGCTGCAATTCATCAATTATTCCCTCAGATGTGTTACAGAGAACTCTTATTCAAGCGTTCTGTAGAATGCGAGCACCTAACCAAGACAGGCCAAAATATTATCGACTGTCATTCCTCCCGTTGCTATCTGAGTGCTGCTCACCCCTCGAATTGCGGATCTCATCAACGTCCCTGTTATTGCCGCCGCTATTATGGCCAACCAATAAGAAGGGTTACTGCAGAAGTAAGCCCGAGCCATTCTGCAGTCTTATCGTAGAGCGCTCATTTTTTGGACCGTTAGGTCACAGGCAAATGTGCGCTGTGCTTAGAGGAAGAGTTATGATCCAACATTCCCGTTTCCACACTAGATTCACGACTCAGCGTCTCATTAACGCACTAAGTTATTTGTATGACTACTGTAACGACTTCCAGCCTCCCCCATCCATATCAAAGTCTGCCAGCATTCGATCGCTGATACCTCCATCCTCGAATTCGTCCTCGTCATCCATGGTGTTCGCCTGTCGCTCCACTTCCATCGCCATGGCCTCAGCCCTTTGCTTCGCCTGAGCCTTTTCAATGTCTTCAAGCGTCCACAGAGAGACGCCTGTCTGGTTCTCGTTTGGATTTTGGGAGATTGTCCGCATGAACAGTTTTGACAGTGTCAACGCCATATCGGTCGAAAGATTTGAACCAGTGTCCGTAATATATTGATTAATCCAGCGAGGAAGCTTGGCTCTTTTATCCGCTCGAGCGAACCGCTGCAAACGTATCAGTTTCCTTGACCAGCGCCAAAACACAGGTCAACAAACCTTGTCTGCAAACACCATCAAACCCCAGTCGGTCTTTCCTCTAAGGACACGGCCAACACACTGCGCCGCATTCCGCATGGCATCAAAGCCTAGGAATTCAGACTCGCGTATCCGATAAGCATCACGCAAGTATTCCAGCCTAGCCTTCAGAATTCGAGACTCTGTGTACTGATAAGGAACACTACGAAACAGTCAGAGGGGGGAAGGAAGCACGAGTATATTAGAATTTACCCAAACATGATGACAGCGCGTCCATAGTTGTGGTCAAAGTCGATGCCTTCTGATACTTTCCCTCTGGCGACAGATAAAAGTACAGCTCCACGACCATTGTCGCAAGCCTACACATTGATTGCATAGGCTCGTCAGATGAACCGCATGGACGAGGAGTACCTACCCTTCTATAATTCTCCAATGCAATGCTCGTCTCGTTAGCATCCGGGGTCTCGACGAAAATGAGCTTGTTCTTCCAAACTTCGTTCAAGATACCCTTAAGAGGCTTGTTCAACAACAGATCTAACTACAGGATATCAAACTTACCATATCATTCCAAGCCGCCACTATAGATTCCATGTAGAGATAGCTTGGAAAGAAGGCTACGATTCCGTCGGGCACGATTTTACTATATTCAACAAGAATACTGCCGAAGTTGCGAACAACTGCGGGGTCATTTCTAACTTCAAATCGGGAGCTGATGGCTACCTGGTCACTGCCTCTGGTGATGACCTTTGGCTGGATCAACATCAAAGAAAGATGGCCGGTGAGAACGGTACTCACCAAAGGTAAGAATGCGTTTCGAGTCAGCGTCATAGGATACGTTTCTTGTACCACGGGAGAGAATTGAAGCATCTTCGGATACATGTCCAAGGGCGAGATGGTACCCGACGTTATGACTACACTGCTGAAACGCTCAAATACGGGTTTGATTGCCAGCGAAGGATCCAGGCACCTAGGACCAGCATATTAGACTAAGTCCACCAGACTCGCGACGTCTATCAGTAGAAACGAACGTAAAGTGAAAGATAGGGTTGGGTACTGTGGCATTTTCGGTTTCAAAGGGTTCCAAAATGAGTAGAAAACCTGGAAGAGATGTAAGACTACGTTTGTGCAAAGACATCGGCTTGTTCATACCTTTTTCGTAAGTCGACACTAACGTTGCAAAGCCAGAAACTTTTTGCAGTGCGGCGTGCTCGTCCAGACGGCTGAGCTCCAAGGTCCTTATAAGGGACTGTAATCTCTCGGCGCAAAACCTGAGGAAGGAGTCAGCGAGGGCACTACCGCAATCCGCTCCACTAAATACCGGCCTCAATGGTCTGCGTTCAATGTAAGTGATATCCTTTAAGTGTTGCAGAAATGACAGCGGCGTTTCAGCTACTACGTGGAGAACCCGCATCCTCGTCTGGATTTTTTGTTCAGTGGTTTGAGATCCGAGAGTCACGGAAGAACAATTTACCTTCAGATACTCTACAAATCTTTTGAGGAAAGCAATGAAATGTTCAGCTTTCCGAATGTTCCCGGGTATAGCCTCATTTAGCAGATCCTCGGGTAGAACTGACACAATTAGATTCAAAGAGAATGGAGATCCGGTAGACTTACCAGGGCTAGTCATAAATCCATCCCTAACTTCATCGTCTTGCGGGTCATCCTGGAGACCTTCAACAAGCTTCGCATATTCATTCTGGAGCTTTGCTGCGTCGGTCGTTTTGATCCTAAACAAAGATTGTTCAGTGATGTTGAATTTGATCGTATCAGCATAAGTACTCTTCTATCTTTTCACCGAGTTTGCCGATGCTGCGGCTTGCAGAGTCCAGCATCGGTCGCGTCAAGTCTATACTAAGAGACTCGATACACACATTGTCTGATTAGGTACTCGTTATCAATCTGGGATGGCTCGAGAGTGCAAATTTACCGATATTATGTGCCTCGTCGAATACGACTATTGCATCCTTGGTCATTTCTTTTGAGACTTGTTCGGCAACCTTGGGATCAAGGAGGTAGTGAAAAGAGTATATGATGACATCTACGAAAGGTAACTTTGTGGAAACATTAGGTCCGTAGATTGGGGTCAGGACTAAAGAATTCACCATTCTTCGAACAGTAAAGTAGGGACATGTTATATTATCGCGCCCATATTGGAGGATATCTGCCAAGGTCGATATTCCGGGAGGAATCAGACTTCCAGGCTCAAGTTTGCCAAGATTCTATGGTCAAATACACCATGAACTTAGAGAATCTGAGGTTAAGGATAGTCTCATACCTCATGCCAATCACATAATTCCACGGAGCCCGGATCCGCTCTCCCTTTTTCGCAGACGGCAGCATTCGTCATGTCTCGACACCGAGCGTCGACTACCTTCCCTTTCTTTTCCTTAGAAACCTACTGCATAGTCATTTTACAGAAAATTCAGGACAGTGACAAGGATACCTCTGGGTGAATGCATAGATTTTTACGACTGGTCAACCCAAGTCCCGTGAAGCTTCTCTCTTTCTGCTTCCCCTCTTCGGTCTCGGCGCACTCTATTCGATATGCAAGCAATCTCTTCAGCTCAGCAAGGGCTTTTTCAATCTCAGGAACAGTTCGAGAACAGTAGATAAGTTTCCGTCGGGCTGGATGAAACTTAATTTCGGTTAGAACAGAAAACACTCTGGTTCTGCGAAAGGTACCTGTTGGTATGAAACGATTAAGGACAGCAACGAGACGGTCTTCCCAGTCCCTGAAGGCATTTCGAGGACGCAGTGGCCCTACCGAAACATGTTTTACTTCACTCCAAAAAAAGAAAAGAGTGGTATAACCTCTGCGTCGAGGGTCCTTTTGAGATCGCACATGTAGGCATATTGTTCTTCGCAAGCACATTGAGACTAAGAACGAGACCAAGGAGGTATTCGTACCAGGATAGATACGGTCGTAAGGAAATATTATCTTCGATGCGCTAGATTGTCAGAGGGCGAAGCAGCAAGAAAAGGCGACTCACTGGTAAATTGTCAATGTAGAACTTCATCAATGCGCGTCACGCGTGACTGAGGGTTGACGGACCCCTAAGCTACCTCGGATACCTCGGGCCGAGAGCGGAAAAATGGATTAATTCAAAAGATTCAAGATAGGCCTAAGATTGGACATCTCTATTCTCAAACTGTAAGTCACACGCTTCTAACTTCTGACCGCGAGCTACCTACAACAATTTCTTCTTCTGCCAAACTTTATACGCCATCCAGGCGGCACAGAAATGACTTGTTCAATGTTTACAATTTGGTTAATAGTACACCCAGGCTTAGTAGTAGCTTCAAGGTTACTATTACGCTACGACAATTTACATTGAAGGCGTGAAGCGGCATTTAATTCATGTTGCAAGGTGAAAGGTGCTAGAAAGAATAACTGAAGGAATCTCATCTCTACGTGATGTACCATAAAACGACATGGAAATAGCGTTATACATCAGAGTCTTTGGTCCATTGAGCATAACATCATTGTACAAGAGGCGTTACTTATTTATATCGTTCACTCATCAGCTGCGATTTGCAGAGAAGCTGAAGAGATAATCGATTCAGTGTCCTCCGTGCTGATAAGACTGTGTCAGCTTCCATTCAAGCTTTTGATCGAAGACGGGACATACTTGGAGTCGATAATACTGTAACCATCATCGGGGGAACTGGACGTTCCAGTTTCATCTGAGCTCGATGAGGTGGAATTCTCGTTCGGAGAGAACGAAGTTCCCGCCGCGGCGGTGACATTCGAGACCCCCCACTGAAAAAAAATGAAAAGAATAAGTATTTGAACGATCCCATCATAGGAACACCCTTACCTGGTATTGCATGATACCAGCCAAACCACTGGTTATACCCGCTACAAGGCGCAGTCAGAGACACGGTCAGAAATCGAAGGATCTCTTACCGTCGAGCCAAGTGGAATACGCCTGGGTACGTTCTGAACTGGTAACACCAAAGGTCGAGTTGCTCGTCTCATTGCTAGTGGTTGTATTGCTGGAATCTGCAGTTCGACCGGGGGGGGGGGGGATATCAGTGCTTACTCTTCTACTTCAGAGATAAGATCATACTCGAAGAGTCAGCAGCAAATGGTGCCACGGTGCTATTAAACGGAACGAAGTCCGGAGCATGCTCTTGCGATACCAAACCGAATGCTGTAAGAGCTATTGGTTTACCAAACCTGCGCACTGCTATTCAGTCCTGAAATACTTCACCAAAAATACCGTACTCACGTGGCACTCAACTCGGCTTGAAGGCTGATCCATTCCAAACCCTCCTGCAATGTTTTTTGAAAACTTGACAAGCCCGAGTCAGCTGCATCCTGCGTGTAAGTGTTCTGGTCAGGGAAGAATTGGAATGAGCTATATCCGATCTCGGGAATGTTCAGAATATCTTCGGTGTCGACGCCTGCAGACCCATCAAAGGCGGTACCAATTTCGTTTTCTTCTTGGCGCCTGGTTCCTATTTATTTTTCCCAAGATCAGCATCAATGCGAAGCAAAAATAGCGGTTAATACATACGACTGGCAACCCATCGCCCTCGGACTCGGACACCTGATGAACCTCCATCCGATAAAGCGCGGTTCTTTCTTCGCCTCTCCTCCCTGCGCATGATAAGTTTACGCTTGGTAAGAGGTTGGGATTTGGTCGCGCGTCGCTGGCCCGGAGCTGCCGATGTCTGCGGTGAAGGTGCTGTGGGCTGCAAAGGGAAGAGCTTGGGACAACCAACACAAAAGAATCCTTGGGTGCTGGAACGAGAGTTAGAACTGAACGGCTGATACAAATGGAAACGAACCCAGAGGCGACTATGTGATTGCTATCAATAGACTTGATATGCTGGGCAATTATTGAATGCCATCCCGTTACGGTCTGAGCGGTACAAGAAGGGCTTGCTGCAACGGAAGAATTGCATCTTGACCGTAATTGAGTGATGCAAGTACGAATTAATTAACGACGTGAGCATACCTCGCATCATTAGCGATCTCCCTGGTTTGATCCGGGCATAAACATAAGGCATTACGTTCACACAGGAAATGGACCCACCAGGAGAACACGGTCGGATTGTTCACATAGCGAGTCACAATTTGGGTAGTGTAGTTCTCGAAAGCCTCGATCAGTGTCTTGTTGGTGTAAAATTCGTCATGCTTGCATCCACCAAACTGCCGTACGTAGGTGTCCATACCACCTGCAAGCAGACAGTTAGATCAAGGTCTTCGATTAGATACTCTGAGGCTTACCATAGTCATTACTAAGGGTGTTTCTCGGCCGCGTATCATCTAACAATGTGAATGAGAGCACAGGAAAGTGATGCCAAGATACTTACTCGTGCTTGAGTTCGCAACTGGATTCCAGTTGTTTGTCAGTGAAATTATGACAAATACATTGCACTCGTGCGCAGCTTTGAGTACAAAGTCGAGTTTCTGGAGCCCATTCGTGCCATTATTAACCGTCAGAGTCCCGTTCTTGTCTATGAGTTGGAACCAGGTTTGATTCTCGTTTTCGGGAATCTCCGTAACGTCTTCATTCCGTGTGAGACGGGGACTCTATGGTGAGACTAGAACACACCATTAAAGCCCCAGGTCCTGACGACTTTGATTCCGACTTGCGACATGTTGCACAAGGTGTTCTTGATATCGTCCTCTGTATTCTCAATTTTAGGCGCCGATGAGCTGTGATTTAAGCAACAGCACTGACTGGTAATGAGAGTCGGGAGCCAAGGGGCGTTCACCCCGACGAACTTGAATTCGCTTGTGGTGGTTGTGAGTTATCGTTGAAGACCTGTGATGACTTGACAAAACCACACCTTCCATTGACTATGAATTGACCATCCCTCGTTGACACGAACTGAGAGAGATTGGTCTGGCCGTTGTTCCTTCTGGCGCTCCTTGGTGCTCCGTGGACGGCCGTGAACAAGGTCCCCAGGAGGACGGGCCACAGAATGGCGAGAAACTGCATGAGGAACAAGGACGGGAACTGGGAAGGCAAGAAGCACTTTCAGCCAGGAACCATGATGTTTTATAGAGACGGGAAGATTTGCCTGCAGGCGTGTCATGCTCACCGCACATTCAATCTAGCCGGCTAGTTGGTGCATTTAGATGGGCGTTAACTGGGATCACTGATCGATAAAACTTGCATATGTGCAGGACGCTGAATCAAAAATGCAAGACCCTAATTGGTTCGGGACAACATGATAGACCGAGCTTTGCTTCTTCTGGAGAACTTTTAAACCAGAAAAGTGGAATAGATCATGGCAAGAAGGGGGAGAAGCTCTTTCAGACGCGCACAGGAGTCAGACACAGAACTAAGAGAGATCATGGAGTAGACAAATTCGGCGGGTGCGACAGTCAAATTTGGAGAAATATCGAGCAGTGTACAGGGCGACACCACTGACATGCAAATCAGTAATTGTCGGGTCCGAGAAAACCAAAGCTGGCGATTAGATGTAACAGCTGGTTACACTGGAAGAGAACAGGGTAATCCAAGATCGGTTCATGTGCACAGCCACATACTGTTACCCATATGCTCGCACGATATGCACGTTCTGCTCGCTGCACGACGACCGTAGCACGGCCAACTCTCATTTCTGCCAGACTCCAGTCCAACACGTCTCGTAAAGATACACCCCTCGTCGAATCAGAGCATCTTTTCGCGAAGCCGGCTCTCTTCGTGCTTGATGTCGCAAAGCGCACCCTGAAATTCACCTTTGGAGGCTTGGTGATTGTAGGAGTTGTCGCACTGGGGACCCATGAAGCCTATCATCAATGGATAGAACGGGTGGAACTGGCACCGAGAGCAGATGATGAAGAGGTCAGAAAATGGGAATGGGATGTAGAGACTCTAAGGTGGTCGGGTCATGCAGGAGGCACGGACCCTGGTCTCGGCATGCGAGGGCGACACCTTGTTCGTGCAGCATGGGCCTCGCAAACTTGGGCGCCAGCAGTGGGTATCACTCCCCCTACGAAAGCCAATCCCTCGAATGGTCTGACAGACCTCTCTGCTATCGTCGACGCCCGCTTGTACTACGGCGAAAAGTACCTACGAGAGGCACTCGCCATTGCAGAAGAGAAGGAAAGCGAACAAAAGCTTCATCCGAGTACATTGCCCACGTTATTGACGCGTCACGCTATAGTTCTCGAAAAGATGGGCCGGGACTCTTGGGCGAAAGCAAAATCTCAGTACGGGCGCGTCTGGGCCAGCGAACCGTCGGCCTCCGTAGCTCTTAAGATTGGTGATCTTTCCAATCGAATGGGCCAAAAGGACGATGCCTTGGCTTGGTGGGCGCGGGCCATTCAGTTGACTCAGAAGGACCCTGTCGACGCTACGAAGCCTGCAGTACCTACTGTCGCTCTATCATCTCCATCAGCCCAACGCATCCTTTCCTCCGTACTCGTCTCCCTTTCTGCCTTCTACGCCACCACCCACAATTTCCAAGAGGCCGAAGAAATCGAATATAATGCATTAAACACTCTTCGATCTATGTCACAGCCAGAATCTCCTTCTGTTTCTCCATCCAAAGCACTCCACACGTCAACTTTACTCCAAAGGTCAGCTGTTCTCTCTGTCCATCGTGCAGAGGTGCTGTACGCACGAGGCAAATCGCCAAAAGAATCCATTAAATGGCTTTCATCAGCGGCAGAGTCATCCGAGAGTGTAGTTCATGCCTTGACGGGCCCTAAAGCTGCTGGTATAGATCAAGTTTCACCGATATACAAGCATACCAAAACTCTGCAAGCTCCAGCAATTGACTTGCTCCGAGACGCTCGTCGAACAGCTTCGGAGGCGTGGAATTTGATGGGCATTTTGAAAGAACAAGTATCTGGTCATGACCAGCAATCCGTTCTTGAATGCTACGACCGCGCCTTGCATTGGGCAGGAAAGTTGGATGACTTTGGCGAGCGGATTCCGGACGTCATACTATCTCGCGAGTGGAAAGTCATTATGGACAACTACACTCGACTAAAGCGTGCCATCCAACCCGAAAGTCATACAACATAGTAAAACTGACACTATCGACCTTGTTTTGCATGTACCATTATGGCTAGAAGTAACAGCGCTCCATCGATCTATTAATATCAAACGTGAGGGAAATGTATGTTTCGCTACAATGTCAACTAAATATACGCTACATATTATTGAATCCAACCAATGGTCCTGAATATCAACTAGCTGTGATAAGATACGAAATCTCTATGATGTTTCGCGAACTAGGGCGACAACAACTGTTACACTAAGAATGGACAGTCAATGCAGCAAGAACAGGACCATGATAACAACTTACTCGTCAAGTTTCTGTATTAGGACATTCCATGGGTAAGTGGGGCCTCCTAGCAGCTGAGAGACACTTACTCCTCCCCGGAAAAACATGCCTTGCCTAGCGGCTTCGCCTACATTGAAATGAGCATAGAGCCATAGATAGCAGTAATAGACACATACTCTCAAAAGGACTACGCCTCCGCTTGTTGAGCATACACAGCCTTGCATAGTTGGCCATTCGGTCGGCCATAGCCTGGACCTGAACATCTTCGGGTAGACCTGCACGACCTACCAAAGAGGTAATTGTTACTATTTCATCTGGAAAGACGTTGTCGCCGAGCCCATCTGTCTGCATTCCAATGAACAAACGAGACAGAAACAGAAGAAGGATACAAACATAGGCAACAACGATATCCCCATCTCGAAGAGTAGTTTCGTAAGTATCAGCCTCTCCTGGTGAGTCCACGCAGGCACGTTCAAATCGACGGGTGGAGTTAGAAGGTAATTTGGTAAGTTGTCTATCCGATCCGCTCATGAGGGCATGGAGTGTCACGAATAAAAGACGCTAACTTTGGGCAGTTGAAGTAGTGTGTTTGAACGCGTTGTTTATGGATGACGGTCGAAGATCGAACAATCATGAAACCACTGTCACCTAGACTGACGGTACAAGACTGTGTTAGCTAGTAAATATGCAATCTATGAAAAATACCACTTTGCAGCTCGTAAGAGGCCCGATGATGCATTCATATGGATGAGACAGGCCGTGCTAGAACCTAAGTAAGACACGTTAGAAATAGAAAGATTGGTGCAAGACATTCTACTCACCGGCCTGTACATGCTTTTCTCTCAGAACGCCATGGTATGAGAGCGCCATACTCTCGAGTGGTGTTAATTCCCACCCTTCTACCTCTTCGCGTTCAGCATAGTCGAGGGTCGGGTCGATCTCTGGCTCACCGGCCCAGGCGTTCCGCGAATATCGGTGAGCATGATACATAAAGGCCTGCGAGAACAGCGAAGGGTCTACACCACTCTCCACCCACCCGCCAACACCGTCGGCCACGCCAAAGGACATACCCTTGAAGGAATACAAGTCGGCGACACGTAGGTTCATTTCTATAGGCAACTTACAGAGGAATTTTTCATCTGTTTGAGAAGAAATCCCGTCATGTTCTCTTGAGAGTGAAAAATAGCCACGACACACCTCTGTTACGTAGAAAAAGTCCTCTCCTGCATCTGGCGCCCATTTCGTCGCCTCATTCGGTATGGCATCAGGAACGGTACGCGCGAGCATTTGGTCTCGCCACATTCCTATAGGACTGTCTTCGGGAAAAGGTATTTTCTTCATTTCGTTCCCTGACGTTGGTTTTCCTGCCCAGCTGGTGCCAATATGAAAGGTATATGGCCTGCGAGGGAATGTTGCCATGGAACGATATGCATTTTTGTTGGAGCGGCGCAGGAGAGCGCGCCCTAACGCGCTCGACCGCCTGTACGAATGTTGTAGATGAGCGGACATGGCAGAGCGCCAATTGAGCTGCCGCTGTGGAAATCGAATCCGTGATCAGAAAGATTGGATTACGCAATCATCCCCGCCTTCCGGCCATCCCTTCACCCCGGGACCCGTTTTGTTGCCCGTCTCCCCTCTACTCAACTCACAGTTCACTCAAAGCCGAGTTCTTTCCCCCCAAACCCAAGAAATCAAAAGGATTTCTTGCTCCATACTTAGTCTAGTCTACAAAGACCTATCTTTAGCCCTCCCCGTCTCCTTTCCGCACCTTCACTTGGCATACATAACAGGGTAAGTAATAGTACTAGCGTATGTACAACATTGGTTATTTCTTCCCTAGCCATTTTTGCATGTCAAACTTTGCTTTTTTCCGGGGCTTGATAAGGGTCGCCTCTTTCACGCCACTGTTTGAGACCATGTTTACAAGTGACCCATTAGTACGCATCGTCTTCGCGTCTTTCCCGCCCATGCTGCCGGAAATCTTACCAAGCCCTGAAGGGAGTGAACGCCCTCCCTCTGTTCGGACATCAGCGAGTAGCTGTTCCTTTGCGTCATTCGGCAATTTCGGAACGTCGTAGCTTGATATCGGTCTGATAAGTTTCTCAGGTCGTTCGCAGGGCCATTCCACAGCCTGCGCAGCCTCTGACAACGAAGATTTCTTTCGGCGAAATGGGTTAACCGACGCTGGTTTGTCGGTGGATTGGAACTGCGAGACACTGTCCAGTGTCGAAGAGTTTTTTCTCCTTTTGTTTCCATCAAGTCCCTTCTCTAAGGTTAGCGACGTCCGCCATTCGGCCATCAGGCGAGCTTTGGCGGTATCCATCTTGAACGCTGCCTTCTCCGTGCCGGATCTATTCGCAGACGGAGAATCTTCTTTTTTTGAGTTTGATGTGTTCTCCAAAACATTCCAGTCAGGAGGGGTGCGATAGAACATTGAACCGTTGTTCAATCCTGTTAATCGAAACTTCCTTTCTTGCGTTGGATAAATCTCCTCTGCCCGATGCCCTGCAGGCTCCTGTGGAGAAGGACTACGACGTCGAGCACCAAGATAAAACGCCAAAGCAGTATGGTGTGAATTCTGTTCTTCCATCTCAGCAAATGTGACATTGATCATCCAGTCCGGCATTTGTGAAAGCCCCGACGACGATGTGGCAGCGGGCGATTGATTTACACTTATTGGAAACAGTTGCGAAGCTGCTTGTTGTGGTATCGTCTTTTGCAATCAAGGCTATGAGGAAGCGAGCGCGCAACAACTTGATGATACTTACTGAACTTGAAGAATAAAAATGACGGAGATCTGAGTCTGCAAGGTGTGTTGAAATGTAAACGTCGTGATGACTTTCTTGATTATCAGTCTCGAAATCATTTTCCGAATAGGATAATCCATCAGAGCCCTCGGCACCTTCATCAAAAGGACTGAAGACATCAGAATCATAGAGATACGAGACGTCCTCATTACTTGCTGTTTCACATCAATTTGGGGCATTTTCCATGCTGATATGAGGCACATACCTGTCGGTACTCCTCTTAGATGTCTTCTCCGAGAGCGTCGAGAAGGCAACTGTTCGGGAGCCACTTGGGCGAGGAGCACGTTGTCTTTGCTATCCTTCTTGCGGGGCAGTAACGTGATTGCCGTGTTCTCTGGGCCAACATCGGTCTCTCGACTTCTTCCTTCACCAGTCAAGGCACTTGAATGACTCTCACCCTTAGATTTAGACCTTTTAGGATGAGAATATTCCACAGTGTCGATGTAGAGACTGAAGACTGAAGACGACGGAAAAAATTTGCACGAAGGAAGCCCGAGGGACGACAGAAGCTCAAGTGAAGTTCGAAGAGGAGTCGGGTGATATAGGCCTGGATCGCTAGATACAGACCACGGATGGATGAAAGAAGAGGTGGAGCATTCGGTGCCGCGCAGATCTTTTGACAGACACAACAGATCAGCGTTAGCTCCATAATTCCAGATTACAAATGACATACCCAAGACAGCGAGAAGTGGAAAGCTCTTGATGTGATGGAATACTTTGTGTGTGATGCCTCGGCAACTTCTAAGGCGAAGGATTCTCAATGACCAAGGACCTCGACGTCTGTCACCATCGTACCATCCCACCGTTTTGCTGAGGGCACTGACTCCGTAGTCAGTCAATGTCGTCCCGCTCGCTTCCAAGGCACAGAGACTACTCAAGTGTCTGAGTTCAGAGATGCTAGAATCTGTGAGTTCTTCGCAATCAGGAAGTTCAAGAATGGTAATCAGTGTGAAGTCAGGCGTCGATGGAATTTGTTGCAAGAGAGGAAGATATATATCGGAGAGCGGGATGGGGTAGCTTTCAAAGGACTTTGGCAAAGAGGTTGAATACAGTTGAATGAGTGTAGCCCAGAGCCGAGGATCGACGCGTGAAATGGTAAATCTAGGATCTTTGTACGTAGGAATCAGGGCTTTGATAATGTCAAAATCTGAGTCCGAGGAAGGGGGGTCATATCTGAGTGTATATGGACTTAGATGATGCACTTGCTCCGGGGAGAGTACGAGAGCCCGAATACAGAAGTAAACGGGAGGTGGTACATAATTGAATCTTTCCGGAAAGCCCCATTCGACATAAGGGCCGACGGTGCGCTGCGCTGCAAGAACAAATTTTGACACCGTGGTATCATTAGAAGATTCCGTTCTGCGGCGCGCCAGGATGATTGGTTTAGACATGTCCGTCGTCTAGAAAAAATGAGTAAAATCCGAGAAAAAAGCATAAAGAGCTTGGAATAACTACATGTATAGCGTCGGAAGAAGTCCTTTTGAGAGGCCCTACCTTGAATGCTGCTGCAAGAAATTGGAGCGCGTTGCACCGTGCGACATGTCAATGAGCAATTGCAAGTGACCAGTATAATTAGGTGTCTGAAAGTGGGTGACGTTCCCACGGTAACGCGGCTTCTTGTTTCCACGCTGGACCGCAGTCAGCCACCTCTCTCTTACAGTCTCACTCTCTTGATACCATCATTTGTTCCCTAGTACCGCCTCCCTTGTCCCCTTGCTATCGACGCTCTGCCGTTCTTTAACTATCTTTTTTCCGTTATCTTACTTTCCAGACTGGTTCGCAAGTCTTCACGTTGTCATGTCATCCAGAGGCTATGGCGGCCCTCAAGATCCCCGTTCTAATCCCTTCGCAAACCCCCAGCGACAGCCTGGACCTCAATACCCACAGCCAGGACCTCAGCTCCCTCAGGCAAGGAGCGGCTACGACACTGACTCAGACATGGGCGACAACTACGGCTCCTACAATTCCAGCACGACTCGTCTAGCTGCTGCTCCTGGCTATTTCGACCAAAACAGTGCGTCTCCTCTTTGATGAACGCAGGAACATTGTCGTTGGGTTCTTTCCCATCCGACAAGTCCCGTTTCTCCTGTCACCATTCGCTCAACCTTTTTTTTCCAACTCCAGGTGGCTCTGAACAAGACGTGTATGGTCGCCGTTATGTCCCATCCCTCGAATCTCATGCAAGCATACCTAGTATATCCCCGTTTGCTGACCCTGGTCTCGGCACCAGTGAACCATACCCTGCCTGGTCTGCAGATAAACAGATACCCATGTCGAAGGAAGAAATAGAGGACATCTTTCTCGACCTTACCCAGAAGTTTGGCTTTCAAAGGGACTCGATGCGTAATATGGTGCGCACATTCTTCAGTTAACTCGCTAGTTGTGTTCAATTGCTCCCAGTTTGACTTTACCATGCACCTGTTAGATTCCAGGGCATCTCGTATGTCGCCGAGTCAAGCTCTCCTTACTCTTCATGCGGATTACATTGGTGGACAACATGCCAACTACCGCAAGTGGTATTTCGCTGCACAGCTTAATCTGGACGATGCAGTCGGTCAAGCCCAAAACCCGGGCCTACAGCGGCTCAAATCAGTGAAGGGCAAGAAACCCACCAAGTCCCTTGACTCTGCCCTTAACCGCTGGCGTAATGCCATGAATAATATGTCCCATTATGATCGTCTTCGCCAGATCGCCCTTTACCTCTTGTGTTGGGGGGAGGCTGCCAACGTTCGCTTTGTGCCCGAGTGCCTCTGTTTCATTTTCAAGTGCGCCGACGACTATTACAGAAGCCCAGAATGTCAGAACAGGATTGACCCCGTTCCCGAGGGTTTGTATCTCAGCACGGTAATCAAGCCCTTGTATCGCTTTATGAGGGATCAGGGCTACGAAGTTGTTGACGGAAAGTTCGTTCGGAGGGAGAAAGACCACCACGAAATTGTTGGTTACGACGACATCAATCAACTCTTCTGGTATCCTGAAGGCCTAGCCAAGATAGTCCTTAATGATAACGTACGTTTAACAGGAATTTCATTTTCCCATCCTAACGACCACACTCCACAGACTCGTCTCGTAGATGTTCCTCCAGCTCAAAGATTTATGAAGTTTAGCCGCATTGAGTGGAATCGCGTTTTCTTCAAGACCTATTTTGAAAGGCGCTCCCTTTTACACTTACTCGTAAACTTCAATCGTATATGGATCCTGCACGTCTCCGTCTACTACTTCTATACCTCGTTCAACTCTCCCAAAGTGTATGCGCCTAAGAATGAGTCATCGCCGTCTGCGCAGATGACTTGGTCTGCGGTTGCCCTCGGTGGGGCAGTCTCGACAGGTATCATGATCATTGCCACGCTTGCAGAGTTTTCCTACATCCCGACCACTTGGAACAATGCGTCTCATCTCACAACGCGGCTCATCTTCCTCATCATCATATTGGCTTTGACATGTGGCCCCACCTTTTACATTGCCATGGTGGACGGCCGTTCCAATCTCAGTCAGCTCCCGCTTATCTTAGGCATCGTTCAATTTTTCATTGCCGTTGTCGCTACGCTCGTGTTTGGCTTAATACCTTCTGGCCGTATGTTCGGTGACCGGGTAGCAGGGAAGTCACGGAAGTATATGGCATCTCAGACTTTCACTGCATCCTATCCAAGTCTGGCCCGTGGTGCACGCGCCGCATCCATTTCCATGTGGGTGCTTATTTTCGGTTGCAAGTTTGCCGAATCCTATTTCTTCTTGGCGTCGTCGTTCTCGTCCCCCGTTGCCGTAATGGCAAGGACCAAAGTGCAGGGCTGCAGCGACAAGCTGTTCGGGAATTCTCTTTGTACTAACCAAGTTCCATTCACACTCGCTATTATGTACGTTATGGACCTGGTATTGTTCTTCCTGGACACATACTTGTGGTACATCATTTGGATTGTCATTTTCAGTATCGGGAGGAGCTTCAGTTTGGGCTTGAGCATCTGGACGCCATGGAAGGATATCTTTACGCGGTTACCCAAGCGGATATATGCCAAACTATTGGCCACAGGCGAGATGGAAGTGAAATATAAGCCTAAGGTGAGTACCTGCTGTAATGCTCGAACTGCACTTACCTGTCACCACAGGTTTTGGTGTCTCAAATCTGGAATGCGATCATCATATCCATGTATCGCGAGCACCTCCTTTCCATCGATCATGTCCAACGTCTGCTTTACCACCAGGTCGATGATGCTAGCGGTAGGCGTACGCTTCGTGCACCACCGTTCTTTACCAACCAAGAAGGCTTCAAAGGCAATTTCTTCCCTGCCGGCGGAGAAGCTGAACGTCGGATTTCATTCTTCGCTTCTTCGCTGACCACTGCCCTCCCGGAGCCCCTACCGGTCGATGCCATGCCTACATTCACTGTCTTGGTCCCTCATTATTCCGAAAAGATCTTGTTGAGTTTGCGAGAGATCATTCGAGAGGAGGACAAGAACACCAGAGTTACAATCTTGGAGTACACGAAACAGCTTCATCCTGTCGAATGGGACAACTTCGTAAAGGACACTAAGATTCTTGCGGAAGAGATGGACGGTGACTCCAGTGTCCACAACGAGAAGAAAACCGACGATCTGCCATTCTATTGCATTGGATTCAAGACATCATCACCCGAGTACACTCTCAGGACACGGATATGGGCATCGTTACGTGCTCAGACGTTGTACCGTACCGTGTCTGGCATGATGAATTATTCCAAAGCCATCAAGCTCCTTTATCGAGTCGAGAATCCTGATATCGTGCATGCGTTCGGTGGAAACACGGAACGGTTGGAGAAAGAGCTTGAGCGTATGGCTAGACGGAAGTTTAAGTTTACCATTTCCATGCAACGGTACGCCAAGTTCAACAAGGAGGAGCAAGAGAACGCAGAGTTCCTTCTCCGCGCGTATCCTGACCTGCAGATTGCCTATCTCGATGAAGAGCCTGGCCCCAAAGGTGGTGACCCTCGCCTTTTCTCCACCCTCATCGATGGACATTCCGAACTTGACGAGGAGACTGGCCGGCGAAGACCGAAGTTCCGTGTAGAACTTCCTGGAAATCCAATTTTGGGTGATGGTAAATCCGACAATCAAAACCATGCTATTATATTCTATCGAGGCGAATACTTGCAGCTCATTGACGCCAACCAGGACAACTATTTGGAGGAATGTCTGAAGATCCGGAACATTCTTGGAGAATTTGAAGAATACTCGGTCTCCAGCCAGAGTCCGTACGCGCAGTGGGGGCATAAAGAGTTCAGCAAGTCGCCCGTGGCCATCGTCGGTACCCGAGAGTACATTTTCTCCGAGAACATTGGTGTACTCGGTGATATCGCCGCCGGTAAGGAACAGACTTTCGGTACCATGACGGCTCGTGCATTGGCGTGGATTGGTGGCAAGTTGCACTATGGTCACCCTGACTTCTTGAACGCAACCTTCATGAACACTCGAGGAGGAGTATCCAAGGCGCAGAAGGGTCTCCACCTCAATGAGGACATCTTCGCCGGAATGAATGCATTTGGTCGCGGTGGTCGTATCAAGCACTCGGAGTACTACCAGTGTGGTAAAGGGCGTGATCTTGGTTTTGGCACCATTTTGAACTTCCAGACCAAGATCGGAACTGGTATGGGTGAACAGATGCTCAGTCGAGAATATTATTATCTGGGAACACAGCTACCCATCGATCGATTCCTCACGTTTTATTACGGTCATCCGGGTTTCCATATTAACAACATCCTCGTCATCTATTCCATCAAGATTTTCATGGTCACGCGTACGCTACTCTCTCTTTCCGTTTTTGATTCTTACACTTACCCACATATAGTCCTGTATCTTGGAACTCTCAACAAGCAACTTTTGATTTGCAAGGTTGACTCTCAAGGAAATGTTTTGGGTGGTCAACCAGGATGTTATAACCTCATCCCTGTGTTTGATTGGATTCGCCGTTGCATTATCTCCATTTTCTTGGTTTTCTTCATCGCCTTCTTGCCGTTGTTTTTGCAAGGTACGTTAATTGCTACTCCTGTGTAATTGATTCCAACTTTCTTCGCAGAACTGGTCGAAAGGGGCACAGGCAAAGCTTTGCTTCGCTTGGGAAAGCATTTCCTTTCCCTTTCCCCCATTTTCGAAGTATTCTCTACGCAGATCTACTGCCAGTCTATCCTCAGCAATCTGACTTTCGGAGGCGCCCGGTATATCGCTACAGGTCGAGGCTTTGCTACCAGTCGAATCAACTTCAGTATCTTGTACTCACGTTTCGCTGGACCCAGCATCTATATGGGTATGCGAAACCTGCTGCTGCTGTTATATGCTACCATGGCTATCTGGATCCCCCATTTAATTTACTTTTGGGCGTCGGTGTTATCCCTTTGCATCGCTCCGTTCCTCTTCAACCCGCATCAATTCTCATTTGCCGATTTCATTATCGATTACAGGGAATTCTTGCGATGGATGTCTCGGGGCAACTCTCGTACAAAAACCAGCAGCTGGTATGGATACTGCAGATTGTCACGTACGATGATTACCGGCTACAAGAAGAAGAAGCTTGGACATCCTTCTGATAAGCTCGCTGGTGATGTGCCCCGCGCTGGATGGAGGACCGTCATATTCTCTGAAATTATATGGCCCATTTGCACGGCGATCATATTCGTGAACGCGTATATGTTTGTAAAGTCATTCCCAGATTCAGATGGCAACCAGAACCCCAGCCCACTGATCAGGATATGCCTTATCGCAGTTGGCCCCGTCGTCTGGAATGCCGCCGTGCTTATCATACTCTTTTTCATCTCGCTGTCGTTGGGTCCCATGATGGAATCTTGGGCCAAGTTTGGTTCGGTAATGGCTGCATTGGCACATGGATCTGCTCTCTTCGGTATCATCGCGTTTTTCGAGTTCTTCGTAAGTCTTGCCTTACGACTCTCCGAGGTGGATGTCTCATCAGAATTGGTAGTGGTTCTTGGAACTTTGGGACGCGTCTCATGCTGTTTTGGGCGTCTTGTCAATCGTTGCCATCCAACGGGCAATTCAAAGAATTCTTATCGCCGTTTTCTTGACCCGGGAGTTCAAACACGATGAGACCAATAGGGCATGGTGGACTGGCAAATGGTATGGAAGAGGTCTAGGAACATCAGCAATGTCACAACCTGCTCGAGAGTACATTGTCAAGATTGTCGAGATGTCCTTGTGGAGCTCGGATTTCTTAATGGCTCACATCTTGATGATAATTCTGACGCCTCCACTTCTCATACCGTTTGTTAACCAACTACACTCTACGATGTTGTGTACGTGATGCGTTCGTTTGCTAGGAGCTGTTACCTAATTTTTTTCTTTAGTCTGGTTGCGACCTTCGAAACAAATACGAGCTCCACTGTTCTCGACAAAGCAGAAGAGGCAGCGGAGATGGATTGTATGCCTGTCTGTATCCTCCCGCTTAGCTTGTAACTAAGGCGTATGCGTCTAGGTCATCAAGTATACCTTGCTCTATGTTATCGTGATTAGCTTTTTGATATCTTTGATTGTTTTGCGTATGTTCCCTTCGTATCGACTCGTTGAAATTCTAATTAACTTGTCACAAACAGCCGCTATCTTCCGCAATTCCATTACGTTTGACTGCACAATCTGCAAGAGTATTTAACGATCTAACACCATTTCAACTGACACGATACCTGTCTGGCTTGGCTGATACTTAGTGCATATATTCACACCGTATCGCAGTTTTTCTTTACCCTGTACACCGTCGTGGTAGTAGCACGACCATAATTTTTGGACGGAACCGCCAAGTTTTTGGTAAATATATGTCTTTTCCTGATGCATACACCTGCCCCGAGATACACATTTTGGTGAATCATAAAGGAGGTAAGGGGGGGTTGGCCCTCAACACGTAGTCAGTTAGCAACTTCAAACCGATCGCGATCGGACCCACCTCTTGTATTTTTACATTCTTGCCGCAATAGAGTCGTTTTCTATTCTATTGCGCGCGTTCAGTGTTCCCCGACCACGGTCAGGGATCCACATCCTTTGGAAAGGATATCAGGAATGACTGGATGTGTTGCAACTTATGATAAAAGTATATACATATCCCATGGCAGTCCGAGGCAAGCATTGTTACTAGTTAGTCCTCAGTGCAATGCATCACGTTTCTATCAGTGGCTGTGCCATCCTCATGTGCCGCAATCCAAGTTGTCACACGTTTTGTGACGCGAATGATTCAGTCCTCGGAGTAGGAGATGGACTACTTCTCCAAATTTCTTCGTACTGGCACGCAGTCGACACCCAAGCTACCTACAGATCACGCGCAGGAGTTCCACAAGTCCTGGAATTTTATTAATGTCCGCTCGTCTTGATTTTCTTTTCGAGGCCTTCTCATCTTTTACCAGAATACCCTGCTGTATCCTGACGAACGGCAATTGAGCCGAGGAATAAAATCCACAGATGTTCCAGCTCACCTTCAATCACTTGTTGATACTCTTGTGCTTGAGTCGATGCGAACGGAAGAAGGGTGCGTGTCATACGTTATACCAAATGAACGCAATTCAACCATACATACTTTCAGTACGACGGGGGCTTGTCTGGAGTACCTTCTCAAGAATGGTAAATATTCCATGGAAAACCAGTGATCAACTATCTCACGGCTTCTAGATGTACTTGGTACGCTCGTTCGATTGAGCGAAACGGATCGACCGTTTGGCATTCAAGCTGAAGTTCTCCGGGCCGTACAGAACATGGTCGTATTGTTAGACGAGCAATTCCTTGTCCACTCTGCGGTCCACAGAGCTGTTCTAAGACTATTGCGAAATTGTGTTGGAGATGACATCCAGGAGCAACTGGACGGCCGCAACAAAGTCATGGGCGCCGCGGGTAATGCTGTGAGGAGTCAACCATCCGAATATGAAGAAGACTGTATGTCATCCGATTTCAATGCTCCTATTGGCTTCTAACCTCTTTTCGGGTAGTGGTCAATCTTCTTTGTATTCTTTGCAGTCGTATCCGGACCTACCGCGAGCTATTGATGATATTCTTCCACGACAAACATTGGTATCGGTCGGAGCCATTGTTTTCCGTTGAAGAGGAGAATGAGGATGATGAAGATGAGGACGAGAACTTCAGAAAATCACCACCAAGATCTCCATCTCCATCCCCCTCCCAAGCAACCGTGACATCGGCACCAGCATCGTCATTGACGAAGAAACCTGAGTACGAGTTTCTTTTGTTCAACTATCTACTGCGTTTTGTACATCGTGAAGGTCAAATAGGCGATTTCGCACGTGCAGGTTTACTATTTCTCATGGATGTTGCCATGTCCCCGGGAGAGCCCGTGCATCGTCTAACCGGTGACGATTCCTCATCTTCTAAGTCGGCATCATCTCCGACGGACCCAATCACGGATGCCGCTCTGGCATTGGCGGAGTACATTCTCGACGGTGATTTTTCAGAGGTCCTCGGTGCTGGTCTCGGAGCAGTCTATTCCCTCCTTCCAACGAAACTTGAGTACCCTCCTCCTAAAAGCACTCTGGAGAATGCCATGGTCATTGGCAGTACAGGTCTCGAAGACGAAGATGAGAAGGAAATGATGGAAGTTGCCAGAGCCAAATCATTCGCCATGGGAGTAGAAGATGCTACGAATCCAGACTTCCGATCTCGTTTGGACCATTTCTTGAAACTCCTGGAATTCTTGCAGGATGTTCTTCGGCGAAATGTTGTTCATGACTTTATGGATGCCTCGTCTCTTGTTGGCACAGCCATTGTTCACTCCATCCTTGATGCGGTCCGCAGAATATTCCTCGAAAATGTTTTGTATCCGTCAGTGTTAGAGTGCTCCGACATTGATGGTAGTGCCGTTGCGGTCATGTCTTATATCGAGATCATGATTCGAACCCTGCAAGATGGTCAGCTTGCTGATGCTCTTGTTGACTTTCTCATTAGTGAGGACAATGACGAGGTGCGGCTGAAACCGCGTCCGAATTCGGTGTTGAACTTGAGCACCAGTTCTGTGCCGCCGCAAGCCAGCTCGACGGTCAAGCAGCAGAAGCTGAGGCGGCGCAAGAGCAGTGCTATGGCCCTACTGGAGATGGAAGCACCCGATACGCAGAAGCAGTCAGAATACTTTACCTCGATGGGCCGGTTTACTCTTAAGGACCTCCTGCTGACGAACCTCCGGTCAAAATCACAGTCAACAGCCACATCTGCTCTTCAACTATTTCAGACACTACTGCTGCAACGTCCACAGTTGTGTATAGACAAGATCATGATAGTCATTTTTGATCCCAAAGCAACTAGTTTTCCCCACCCTGCTTTGATATCAAGCCCCGTTGATTCAACACCGTGGGCGGAAAATGACGAAGACGACGAGATATTCATTTACCCTAGCTCGGAGGAGCCTAGCGTCCCTCTAGAAACCCCTAGTCCTCTATTCTACCAACCAGAAACAACATATTCCACCCACGAGCGTGAGATGGGCCTTTACCTCACGTTGGTATCCCGAGTTGATCCCTCGCACAATGCTGACCCTTTTAGTACGGGTTACGACCATTACCTTGGTGATGCCCTAATCTCTATACAAAGCCAGCGCGCATTTCGTGCTGGCCAGCTACCCGATCCGGAAGCAGGACAGAGCAGCAAGCATCGACTAAATGTCCACGACCCCATTCTTGACCTCATCCTTGAGTCTCTTAGGATATTTTTCTCAAATACGCCTGAATTTAACATTGCTTTGACGGGTGTTCTGGCGACGCTTGCAATGCATCCAGATAGATCGCTGGCTGGATGGTTGACGTTTGCTGTCAATGATTCGCTTCCTGCAGAAGGAAAGGATTGGTTAGGGACATACGATGACGGGGACGACCGCTCAGTGGACTTCCAAATAGAAGAACGACTCGAGGCAGAAGCCCAAGGTCTACCAGCTTCCAGCATGGATGAGAACTCAAGACCTATCGTGCACACAATCTTCCATGGACTCGTATCCCAGTTAGAGAAGTACCGCCAGGTTGTTGATGACTTTGACAAATTTCTGCTTGACCGTCGGCAAGGACTGCTGTTTTCTGAGAATCTCAATGATGCCTTGTCGTTGGCTATCGAGATGTCCGAAGAGCAGGGGCGACCTGTACAGCCGGTTGATCCCATCCCGCAACCGCCGCCCTCAAAACCCAAGTCCAAGCCTTCAGCTTCCGCTTCCGCTTCTGCCCTTGTATCTTTTTTAACACCCAAAAAGAGCAAGGCTAAACTGGTATCGTCCGAAATATCTACACCTCCCAAGGCTTCGGAGAACAAGAGTCTCTTGTCGAGCCCTTTTGGAGCTCATTATCAAAAAACGGGTTCCATCACCGTGGAACCTCTTACAGCGCCTGCGCCCTCCTCGGGTCCATGGACACCCACGAAGAGAACCTGGAATGCCGAAGAGGATGAGGTGTTTAGTTCAGGCTTCGCGGATAACCAGGAGCCCAATCCGTTTGTTGAAGAGGACGAAGTTGAGGTGAAGGAAAGTATGCCCACAGTGACATTATCTCGATTGCTGGACAATGTCGTGATTTTAGAGGAGAGTATGAAAGAACTAGTTGCTATCATCCATGCTCGACGAAGCTTGGGGATTGATTCCGTTCGATATTTATAACCTGCTCTGATGGATTGTAATATTTGTATCAGCTATGTATTGGATTTGCGCATGCTCCGAAAATGTATCATAACAGTACTTACATATGTTGTCAATTCTAGAAAGAGAGCTGTCTGGATCGCTGTTCTCGAACGGTGCGGCACTACTCGGTGGGATATTGACTAATACTGATCTCTAGCAATGCTTTACACCTGTTGCGTCTGCAGGGTCATCGTTTATGGTTTAGCAAGCATGGAGATTCCTCCCTCCCCTCCGCGGACATATTTCTGACCTACCGCGCTCACGTGAGTAAAGTGGGTGAATGGCGATGAGGGCAAGCTATGTCCCGTCTTTGTCGTGGGCAATTTAGAACACGGATATAGGAAGAGCGGAGGCAATATAATTTTGGCAGATCCGAACTGTGTACTTGAACTACGGAAATCGCCCCGCAAATCGAACGGTAAACTAAGTGTAGGTAAATGTCCCGAAGAAATAGCCTTTGATTGCCGGTTAGACATTTAAGAATTTAGACGCGAATAATCGAAAATCGAAAAAAAAAAAGGTATCATCGACGCGAGAAAAAGCCCAAAAGTGATGGTATAATAGTAAACAGAATGTAAATAGTCCAGATAAATTTAATCCGAGTGCTAAGAACGTAGGGTAACAGTGCAGCTTGCCGGTAAGATCTTTAAGAAGTGAAGCGCCTGCCTGCAGCAGGCCTGCGCAAAGTTGCCTCCCAGTCCCTGAGGGCCTGGACGAAGCCAGAGTTTGGAGCAATGCATGCCCGCTCACGCTTCACGTAGGCAAAGGCGGTATCGTAGGACATACCGCGATTGCGGATAAGATAGGCAATGACAATCGAAGCGCTCCTGGACACGCCCTGCAAAATGATCAGATTGGATCAGACGAGCACAACACGTCATACCTGCTGACAGTGCACCAGTACGCTCTTCCCCCCTCGAAGACTCTGATCAATGTAATTGCATGCCGCCTCCAAATGGCTCTTGATGTCGGCTGATGAGGTGTCGAGGATGGGGATCCGGTAGCAGTTGAACCCGTCTTTTTCAGAGAGCGGGAGCCACGGCGCATCCAGCACCTGCACGAGGTGGGTGATGTTTTTTTCGACGAGCGCCTCTTTTTCATGGATGGCGGCCAAGGAGCCCAGGTACAAGGCTCCCGTCGACTGGGAGGCAGGTAGGATTTGGTGCATGGGAGTGCACATTGCTTGTTGAACGGCCAGGGAGAGAGAGTCGAATCGAATCATGGTAAGAGTTGTAGGTGGGTATTGCTGCTGGATTCTGAAGCTGCTGCTCAACTCCAGCTAATGGATCCTGCTTTATATTCTTCCCCCCCCCCCCCCCCAATGAATATAACCCGTTCCAACTTGTAATCAAGTTCCAAGTTGGTTCTCAGCCTCCAAATCACCGTAATACAAGATGCTTACTGCCTGTGGAATGCGGCACATGGGTGTAGGGGGAGAACATTTTGTTGGCATTGTTGACGCTGACCTCGATTGACGTACCGAACTGGCCTGGTGGGCCTGCCTATCACCCCGCAAGGGACCAGATGTCTAGACTCGTGCCTAGCGGATCACTTTTCCCTTAATTTTCTTCAATGAACGCGCACAGCAGGCCAGCGACGTGTCCTGTTCGGAAGGGCGGTATGGTACTCTGTCTGTACTGGTTATCTATCAAAGGCACCACTCCCTGACCGTTCCTGCGGTGTTGGAATTGTGTTGGAACCTGAATGCGACGCCCCGACTCGGATCCGGGTCGTAAATACGATCCTCGTATTACTTACCGTTGTGTCTGTCAGGTACCTCCTCGACGCGATATTAGTCGTTCCTTGATCATGATGATTTATTTCACTGTTATCATCCCCCCTCATTTTTTTTTCAACGCGCTCTTCGCTTTCGAGTTCGCTCACACGGAATGCACTGCATGGACAGCATTCCTGTCTTTGTTCTCCAACGGATCCCCGGCTTTCTCGGTAGCTGCTATCGGAGGGTGATAGGAAGGCTGTGCAGGACGGCGGCCTTGACAAACGCCCTCGCCTTGTTTTTCGAGTAGCTTTGGCCTTATCGTTTTTCACTCACAGCTGAAAACAGACCTCGAGAAGCAAGCGGGAATTCGACGAAGCAGCCTTCCTTGTTCTCGCATTTGATCACATCCACCGGTAAGCATGATGCTGTTCAGATCCTTCAATCAGACTCTAGTTGGCCTCCGGGTGAAAAAGAGTCGGCGACAAGATTAATGATCAGTCAAGATAATAATAACATTCACTTAGATTTCGTTTTCTTCCCTTTGCTCTTTTTAACCTCTTCCCCTGAACTCCCACCGGTGGCCTTGTCCCCAAACAGCTGCTGTTGCAGTTTTTCAAACTCTGCACCGTCGATATCTGGTGGCGGTGGCGGAGCAGCGCGTTTAGATTTCTTCTTCGGCGCGTCGTCGCCATCGTCATCGCCAGCCCTACCACGCTTCTTCCCCTTGCCCTTAGATTTGGGTTCTGGCTCTGCGTATTTCGCGGCCAAGCCGTCGAAGAATACATCCATGCTTTTCTGACGCTTCTTGAGAATCAGTGCCTGAAGTGCAGAGGTATCTTCTTCTTGCTCGTCTTTCTCCTTTGCTTTGCCCTTGCCCTTTCCACCCTTGCCTTTTCGCTCGCCCACTTTGCCACTGCCGTAAAACTCGCCCCACACTCCGAGCTCCTTCGCCAACTTTTCAGCCTCCTTAGCCTCTTTTTCTCCTTGCTTCTTCCTGAGGAGTTGAGCTTTTTCGTCCTTGATGCTGGACTCCCAAGTGCGCATGGAGGGTAGCTCCTTCTTACTGATAAGGTCAGAAATGATGACAATGAAGCGAGATTCATCTTCGTGTGTGGAATGAGGAATAAAGGTCATTATTTCCCCAAGAGACCCCTTCGTGTCAAGATAAGCCGACTTGAGGTCTGCTACCTCTTCGGCAGAGCCTAGACATTTGATTAAGAAACTAACTGTAAATTAACGGCTAAAAGCGCACCTTGATACACTTTCTTCATGTCGTCAAGCTTTCCTCTGGTAACGCGATCGAAAAGGTCCTCAAAGTAGGCCTCCCAACCGTCTTCGCCTGGACTCAACCCGGGGCCTTCATCTGTCTTGCCTGTCTTGTCATACCGCTGCCTGCGTCTCTCGTCGCTCAGGACTGCATATGCAAAGCCCACCTGCTGGAACTTTGTGGAAGCCACTGCTCTGGCAGATTCGGTAGCAGTCGCGTGCTTATCAGGGTGATAAATTAGGGCGAGTCGGCGGTAAGATTTCTTTATAGCGCCGATAGTAGCATCATCAGAAAGGCTAAGAACGGCGTACAGGTCGACGTCTTCTTGTCCGGGAAAGAATTGGGATATGGGATCCTGGTCGTCCATTGCGTTGTAGTCGTGGTCGTTGATTGTCAAAGTAGCAGACACGTGACGTCACAAACGCGTATCATCACATATTCTATAATAGGATTGTCCCTGTCCTAACTTAAATAATTGTAAATAACTTATTATTACTGCAGAATATATGGAAACGTCTGGGTTGCCCAATTACCACATTCATTCAGGCCACCCACCCACATGAGATACCATGTATATGAAAACATCACTCCGTATGAGCAGCCAGCGACCACCTGTGGCCACGTATGATGGCCCAGCCAAATTCGTGACATGACAATCATGGCGGCCCAAGGAAGGATGATGATGGGAGGAAGTATCCGCGCCATCCACGTAGAAGGAAGACTCGGATGGATGGGGAGATAGGCACAGGCCAGACTTATATACTCTGCAAAGAAAGTAATCGTCGCGGAATGGGTACTTGGCATCCTGATTGCTTTATCAGAGCACAAGATGGGACAACGGTAGTGGAGCTCACCCGTAGGTAACCTTTTTCTTCGCAGCTGTCATCGGTGGTGGCCGAGGCTGTCGGATAGCCTTTTTGATGAGCTTGACAGTCAGAGAACAGGAGACGGCTCCGCTGGCAAAATATATGACACCAGAGGACCGTGTATAGAGGATGAAGCAGGCTGTAAGGGTTGTGACGATACCGTTTGTCTGCATAGCGTTAGTTGGCTATATAAAAGAAAGAGAACTGTGAGAGAAAATACTCGTACATTGTCAAGGAATTTGAGCCATCGTGGCAATACACGTCCATCTTCAGCCATCCTTAAGTAACAGGTTTCTGTTGGGTGTTCCTATTATCATATTAAACGAATTATTATAATTATCCCCGTTTGGTCATCTTGGCTAGTCACGTGTTGGGAATCAACGGAACGCGTTGGCGTACGCCTTTCTTGACTCCCGCCACTACATGCCACCCATCCATATCTCCGTTTCGCTTCTGTCATCCTTCTGTCGCCGTCCTGTGTATGCTTGAATAATGGGTGGTCAGAGTCCACAACTAAGTCCTCCTTCACCGTCGACGGCAATGCCCTGCCCAATTATGCAAATTTCTCCTGCCAATCTATCTCAAAATAACGCTCCTGGCCAAGAATCACCGAAACTGCCGTCAGTTTCGGCTCCCCTGCGTCGCTCTCCACGTCTTTCTAGTCCTATTCCTGTGACTCCGGACGTTTCACGAAAAGAAGAGCGTCTCATCACTGTCGTTGAAGAGGTTATGCAGGAATCACGTCCGGATACGCCAGAAAACGAGCAGATGTCTAACGATGGTGAGCGCGGTCTACTTCTCTTTCATACTCATCTTCAGCTTTATGCAGAACCATCATCCGTCCTCGCCTCAAGAATAATGCGTGCTCATGATAATCCGTCTCCGCCACCTCAGGACATCGACGGGGATTCATCACTGGGAAAACGGATTGCCATCTTCCCATCCGTCGATGTATTCGAATCGCCATTGCGACTTTCGAGAAGTCTTTTTCGCCGTCCCGAATCTCCAAGCCAGGTGCCATTACCACCATCATCGCCTATTCTTACCCATCTTCCGAGTCCAATACCGATAACTCCCTGTGAAACAGACATCTCGCAACCGGATTTGATATCATTCGACTTGTTCTCTGATATGCCATCTGGTCCGTCCGTACCAGCACGCTCCACCTCTTTACTGGATAGTTCACCCGCCAGTTCATTGTCCTCCAAAGGGGAAGGAGCTGCAATCGCTTCGTCTCCCCTCTATAACGTGGAGTCTACCAACTCCGATATAGAGCGAGAATCGTTCAGCAATACTAGCGAAGAACAGGACGCAATGGATGCATTGATTCCTGCTGATGAGAATCCCACTCTACCGATTGCGTCCACCAGCACTACGGTCCAGAAGCTTGCAGATGATTCCCAAACCCCTGTTCGATGGTCTAGTCGGCCTCGCCGAAGCCTGCTACCTACTGCACTTTCTCCGATCAGGGAAAAGCTATCTGTGGCTCGCTTGCCTAGTTCCAGTGAAGCTTTGGCGAAAACCGAAGGCAAAGGGAAGGGAAAAGAAAGATCATTTCCTAGGGAGGGCGAGTTTCTTGAGAAGAGCGAAGAAAGCGCGGTATCGATGACGCCACGCACCAGACCAGCCAGGCGACGGGACGGGTCTCCAATGCGCAGGAGGGCGTATGATGCCCCTGGTATTTCCAGGCGACAGCTAGCATCATTGTCACCGGGTTCTGCTAATCTTCTTGGACAATTACCATCTGTTCTTCGCCCATCGCCAGGTGACGCGAATGTTACCCCTTCCGCACCTCAGCCGTTTGGTTTGCCCCTGTCCACGACCTTACCTGTTGACTCTTATGGTCCCATTCGTTTTCCAAGTCCAAAGCGGCAAGCTCAGATTCTATCCCCCGAAAGGCCACAATTTCGTCTTCCCTTAGGGGATCCGAATAGAACACCCGCTCGGCGGATACCTTTAGAGCAAGCGGTCGCGCAAGGACAGTTGTCACCCCAGAGAGCTGCTATTCTCTCTAATCCTCGAACAGATAAATCCGGGTCCCTCTTTAATATACCACCATCAGACAGTCCTCCACGGAGAGTTCCTCTAACGGGCCCCGAGTCCCCGATAAGGGCAAGTAGGTGGGGTGGGGTCAGGTTTGGGGGGAAGTCGCCTGAGCGAAGTAGGTCAGTGGAACCACAAGCAGTTACACGACCAACCGCTACTTTTCAGAAGGGGAAGCAGCGAAGTGGGTCTGCTGAGCCTCCGGGTTGGTCTGCGTCTATGAAACTTGGACCACCACGACAGTTGCCGTTCCCAATATCGGCAAGTCATCCACAGCTGCCGTCTTCCATTCCCGAAGAAACCGCCCCTGGGGATCCACCGCCAACTGCGCCTATAGCTACAACAATCGAAGGCGATTCTGTTAATGAACCCGCTGTGTCGAGGTCACGAGTAACACCCCAGTCGCAGTCCTCCAAGTCTAACTTGAGGCAACCCAGCGTCAGTACAAGTAAAATTCCGAGAAAGAAACCGTATGCAAGGCCAACTTCGGCTGGCACAGTCGCGGAAACTCAGACTGTGAAATCTTCTAGAACAACTGGCTTGCGAAGAGCCGATCCTTTCGTTGTAAGTCTGGAGATCGAGGTTGAGGCATCTTCGTACTTAGTTTGCATCTTTCTAGCCTGCTTCAAAGGCTTCAACTCTAGGACTAAGGCATTCTATGCCAACAACGACTAATCTGAAGCGTAAACGCGGAACCGATCCTCTGCCCTCTCCTTCTGGGCCTGCTTCCACAGCTGTACGACAGGTTTCTTCTCTTATAAAACCCTCTAGTCCAACCAGGAAACCTTCTCAAAGGACCTTGAAGCTACGTTTGGTGGCAGAGAACGACAGTCGCTTGGTGATGAGCAAGTTGCCCCCAATGGAACTAGCATCGGCATCCCCGCCATCTCCACGGAACATTGAAAGTGTACAGCAGCTGAGTGCTCCTGCTGAAGACACTCCGCCCCCTGAGAACTTAGTACCCACTGATACACTGGCATCTCCCAAAGCAGAGTCCTCGTCAGAAAGTGGTAAACTCATCGATACTTCACCTGTGGCTCCTCCGGATCCAGAACCGCCTCTGCCGGGCGTTCGTCGGACCACCAGAGTGCGAAAGTCTATTCACCCTGGCACTGACTTATTCAGTCGTCCCTCCGATGCACCTCCACCGCGTGCGCGCAAACCTAAAGTTGAGGATCCTATGTTTGCGGGTATGACGTCGATAGCTCTGCGTCAGTTGACGTCGTCGAATACAGTGAAAAACCAGGTATACCTCGCTGCCACGCTGGAGACTGAGATTATACGGAAGGAAGGGGCGCGTCCGGAGAGTCCTATCATGAAGGCACGGACGGTGTTGCAGAAAGAGGCGGATGAAAAGGGAACGCTGAGGAAGGAACGCGCTGAGAGACGGGCTAGGAGGTTGAATGAAGAGAACAAGGAGGATGAAGAGGAGAATCTGAGTGCAGTGGAAGAAGACGACGATTGGGATCAGCTCGATAGCAGCCCGGTGCGGGTTGGGATGCATCGACGAGGGCCAGGGGAGGAAGAAGACTATGTGACTCCTGTTCGACGTCCACCGACGAAGGCGAGCTTTGCTGACGAACCAAATGTGAGAGAAAAAAGGCACGTCAAGTGGGACCGAGGGCTGTCTACCGCAATCTTTGTAGATGAGCTCAAGCTGAAAGATATCAATCCACCAAAAGAAAATGACATTAAAAAGAGTTGCTTGGCTCCTACGGCGAAGGTGAATGTCGTCCTAATGTTATGTGTATTACTGAATCTGTTGACCTCGGTCCAAACAGGCAATACCTTTGGATATGTTGGGTAATTTGTCTAATGCTTCATCAGCATTGGAAGACATCATTCCAGAGAGTATTGTTGTTCAGAAGTTCGTTTACGATAGCGATCTCCTACAGGAGCCGGAGCCGATGGTTGTCAAAACTACCCGCTCGAGATCCAAGAGGAGTAAATCATGACTGGAAGATATGTAATCTGTGCATGGAATGTCTTGGTTAACCGGGATCTGTCGGTGCTTATATATCTTATTGTTTCGTTGTCACCCTTCGTCATGAAAATATACGACGATAGTTACATATTTGAACTTCTATCCTCACTTTACGCTTTCGACCTGGACTTCATTTAGGTCCCCGGTAGTTGATTGTAGCACTTGCCTGGTTGACAGGAAACACAAGCATTTCAGCAATGTTGACGTGAGGGGGTCGAGCAGCTGCCCAAACAATTTCTTCCGCGATGTCGGCAGCAGTCACTGGGTATGTGAGAACACAAAGAGACACGACAGGATTATGAACTTACAAGGTTCCAGGCCTTCATACACTTTTCCGGCTGCGTTTATGTCACCTCGGTACCGTGTGATGGAGAATTCAGTCTCCACCATTCCTACAACACGGTTACTTGGTGAAAAATGAGTAAAAAAGAACATATGTATACCTGGCTGAATTTCAGTTACTCGAATAGGAGTATTGACCAGCTCCCTCCTCATCGATCCAGTAAAGGCACGGACAGCGTGTTTTGTAGCAGTGTAGATACTTCCTCCTGCGTATGGCTCAAGTCCTGCAATGGATCCCAGGTTGATGACATGCCCTGCTTTCTTGGCTTTGAAATCTGGGTTTCATTAGTCAAGACCATTACTTTGAAGTATATGATAGTAACACCTTTGATGAGCAATTGAGTCATGGATATGAGCCCAAAGACGTTAGTAGAAAACATGCTCTCCACGTCCTCAGGTTTGATGTCTCCAACATGCTCGACACCCAAGACGAAACCTGCATTGTTCACTATCGTCCTCTATGAGCGTGCGAAGGGACAGAAATTGGATGTTGCAACGTTACCTAGGATATCAACATTTCGGAGATCCTGAGGTACCTTATCCCAGAGTGTCGCAACCTGCGCCTTATCTGAGACGTCCAGCTGAACAGCGGCGAATTTTCCTCCTTGCCGGAGACCGGATTCTTTGTGAGCAGCAGCACATGCGTCCGACACTTTCTTGAGCGCGTCTGCACGACGGGCAATCAAGATGACATTCGAGCCTCCCTGAGCAGCGGAATCAGCACTGATTTAAAATTCTCGATTTTACATACCTTGGCAAACAGCACCGCGGTGGCCTAGAGAGAAGGACAATTGAGTCTAATAACGTCAGGTTTGATAAGGGACCCTACCGCTCCAATCCCGGAACTGGCACCAGTAACGATAACGGTCTTTCCAAGCAGACGAGAGGCGTTGAAGACAGACATGATGGAGTTGTAGGGAACGTTGGCCGGGGTGAAGGTAAGGTAAGCAGAACTTATGCTTCAGAATGACGGAACCGGCCGCAGGAATGAGTCGGATTTTTCGGAGGCAAGTCCGGTCCGTATATCCGCCATGCTGCCGCCGGCACTTTCCTTTTTCCCTTCATCGATGGACTTGGAATGGAACCGACTGCTGCAATGGCTAAGCGAAAAAGGGATGGATGTATCCAAGGATAGACTACCAGTAGAAAGGAGGAAGAGTACCGGTGGTTTGTCTTTTTCTTTTTCCCCAAAAAGTGGCCGTTCAGATATACTAGCATCAGGATGCGGCCTGTTCGTCTTGCGGCCTTTCTTTCCGTCTGAAGTACTCTTTCGAGTTCCTGCCGCTGCGATGATGAACATAAGAACACTTTCTCCTTTGTATCCATCCAGAAAACTGGATGCCGTCCAGATGGTATCGCTGCATTTGGCCGTGCACCGAGGAAATCCCTCCACGGACCCACACTTCGGGCCCTACATTTCTGTCTTACCTCGGGACTTTGCCTTCCATCCTTTGACATGGATGGCCGAAGAAAATATTCAAATTCTATCATTTGTCCCCCCAAGTGCAATGAGAGCTTTGGCCAAGATGCTACAACGATTCTGCTCAGACTTTCGCAAGGTCTCTCAACAAACGGTTTGCACAAAATAGATATATCTCGCATTTCCTGACGACTTCTAGGAAGGCATCAATCGCACAGATTACTTGTGGGCGTGGCTGAATGGTGCGGTCTACCCTGTACCGTGCTCTATCGTTGTACTTATTTTAACAAGTAAAGTCAATACAAGATGCATCTACCAACGTCTGAAAGCAAAGCAGTCCGATCCCGACAATTTTACTATGTGCCCCATTTTGGACTTTGCCAACCATAGCGCTCATCTCTCTCACATGTCACCGTGTCCTTCCAATGCCGACAGATGGAACGTATCGCCGCGTCAACGGTTCGGTGAGGACATGGTGTTTATATCCCCTGCTGACAAGCGCTTGGGTATCGACGAAGAAATCTTCCTAAAGTATGGCGCACATTCTAATCAAACGCTCTTTGTTGAATATGGTTTTGTCCTTCCTATATCTTCCGATGCATTGTCTTGCGGAGAAGTTGATGGAGAAGTTGACGTCTTTGACTTCGTGGAGCCTCTCTTCACGAACAAAGCAAATCATCTTCAGGAACTCCTAGAACGAGAAAATTACTGGGAGTGGGTTTATCTCTCACTCCTCAGAGACGCCAACTGACTGACCGCATGCGTATGCAGAAATTGGACTTTGCACCTATCGGCAGGATCTGCATACCCTTCTTTTCGTCTGCTCGCTGCATTGCGGTTACATCATTTAGAGTGGGACGGCATTTCTGAAGAGCTACTGAAGCCTTGGAAAGACACTCTACTAGGACACCGAAACACCATCTCGACGGAGAATGAGGAGACTGTACGGCAAACGATCGTCGAAATATGCCGCCGAGTGGTGCAAAGAGGCAAGACATATATAGCTGCTATCAAAGAGGCAAGGCAATCTGCTTCTGGATGGGCAGTCGATGCGTTTACGAACATTGAGACCCTCTGGACAGAAGAGACTCTTGTTAGCCGAGAGATGTCAGAGAGTATCTTGAGTGGGATACCATTTTGAAACTTTGCCACACGTAAGTAATGTCAGCTTCGCTCTTCAGCTTGTTATAGTATTAAAGAAGCGATTTACTTTAGGAACAAAGAATGTATTGAATAGTACTGCGCCTGGAACAGGACACTGTTCGAAGATGCAACATTCCTATGGTCAGTATCAATGAGTATCTCACGCCGAGGTCATGTCAACAAGCACTGGGACTAAGTGGGCATCATTGGAGTGTCAATCTCGTTCGCTAAGCTTAATTGTCGCCGCCCTTCCCATTGCAGCAAACAATTTTCCTGTGTCACCGTTCGCATTCCGGCATTCAAGGAACGTACGGAGTGTAGCGGTAACCATGGTCGCCCTCTCAGGATTCATAATCTCGTAACCTTCTATGCCTGAGATTCTAGTGCATTTACCTCCATGGTCTCGCTTGCGGCCGAGGCGCAGAGTCACCTAAACTACTCCGTGTCGGTATGTCTGGTATCGTCAGAAATGAAAGCAGTCCCCAGAACCTGGCTCTTCAGTGACAGCTAATACCCGCTCTCAGCCGCGCTCGCCGCTCTTCCGGGGCCACTTTAACCTCGTAGACGCGTCTGGGTACCTGAAACGCGGCTACGAACAAAGACAGTTAAGTACCAGATTTCTTGCTTTGTTTGGAACAGAAAGATCAACCTAGAACGCCTGACTTTCAGGCAGCAACGGTCTGTCATTTGGCAAAAAGGAGAAACAATCGTTAGTAGGCCACAAGTCCTATCTGCCAGAGTGAGTGAAGCGTCTCCTAAGCATCTTCGGCATTGTCTGTCCTATAATGTAAGTGGCACCAGAGAGGATGATTCAAAAAATCGACCGGAAATGAACCGGTCGAAGAGAGAAGACGATAATACTGATTTGAGAGACAAGCCTTGCATCTGGCAGTTGCTTTGCTGGAGGTATTCTATCGATACATATTGGGCCGGGATATAACACTGAGATATATGAATTGAATATACCTAAACCTTCATCCTCGACGACTTCTTGCTTGGCCCCGGAGGCAGCTTTATTTCTTCGAAACCCCACTCGCTAGAATTCAGAGGTGGTAGTCCTGAGGAGAACTTTTTGAACACTTTCTTGGGCTGAACACTCTGCGGAGGCGGGCTTGAAGGATTGGGAATACTAGGTACGGATGGCTCCTCCACCACTTCTGGCTGGTCTTTGATATCCTCTTCCGAAAAGTCTTGGGCGTCGTCATTTTCTTGGAGAGACATAGATCCCAATGATTGTGAAAGAGCACTGGTGCATGAGTCAGTGACATTCCGCATGAGCATCCCACATTAGTTACTTACTGAATCTCTTGCTGTCGATGATTACACCAAATCTTGCACGAGTCCTTAAACTGAAGAAGCAACCCAGACAAGTCGTTGTAGAACTTCATATGATGTCACAATCGCATCCTCATTACAGCATATGCAAGATGGCTTACTTTGATACCCTCCTGCAAGTTGTTTGTGATCTCCCGATATTTGTGATATGACAGATCCAAAGACTGAAGGGCATGTTCACGCTCCTTCACTGATGGATCGTCCTTACGGGATTTTAGGAATTTCTCGTTGTCCGCCTGGAATATTCTTGTGCAACATGTGATGAAGGCAACGGTGTTCCGTACCTCTATAGATGAAAGAATATCCTCTTGTTTTTGCTCGCTTTCCTTGATGTATTCGCAGAATTTATCATACTTTGCCAGCTCTTCGTCCAGGACATCCTCAAACGTCGCCGGTTCAACCTTGGTCAGACGTTCGATTCCAGAAGCGACTTTCAGTATCCTCGGATATATGTCGTCGGCTTCAGAGAGGGCTTCAGCGCGTCGAACGTACTGTTCTCGGTCGGCATGGAGCGTATCGAGCGACTCAAGCAATACTCGAAGATGTCGAGCGTATCTTGAAGTGATGGCTGCCTCTGGGGTTTTCCTACTAGACGCTGTGGAAGAAGGTACCATAGCTTCTAGCTCCGACTGCCACACAAGACATTTCAGAACGTTTTATAGTTCGAACAAACTAGGTCCGACGCACCTCCTTAAACGTCAAATCTGTGATGTTGCTTTCCCAGTCATCCCATTTGCGCCTGACAGTATCGTCGCTAGCCTTGGCCTGATCAAGTATAGCACGATACCGCTTCTCCTTCTCTATGAGCTCAATATTGGCTTCATGTGAAGGTGGCCGATTCAGAGGGAGCTCTTTACGAGCAACTTCGTCTTCGGAAGCTTCCGTGTCTAGGATATCCATGGCCTAGTTAAGTGTTAGGACTTCTTCGGAGATAAATATCAGGAATGTCACCTCCTCCAGGATGTTAAAGTCATGTCGAGCTTGTCTCTGCAAGTCTTCAAACCACGATTCAATCTTCATCGGGCCATTTTCGAGGCGGACCTCTTCGGCTTTCTTTAAGAGACTTGGAGGCAGTCCAACAGGACGTTCAAGCGCCTCTATGGAAGCAGGCAAATTGTGGGATGTCAACATCCTGAAAACAACATCAGAAAGCGAACAGACATGAGATCTGCTGACTCACTCGTCCGCTTTGTTTTTCAGCTCTCGTGCAGGTACCACAATTTGGTCCTCCACGAGATTCTTTTTCCTGTCATTGTAAATGTCTACAAATCTTCAGCCGAGAAGAACGTCCATTCATACGCCACAATCTTACTGATGGCCTCCTGAGCGCCCCAACCGAGCAGTTCTCCGAAGATCATATGGGTTCCTTTCGCTGGATTTGACAGCCCTTTGGGTATAGTTACCAGCGCAATTTCTGCGTGGGGTATAGGAGAAAGCGCAGACGCTGCTGGTATATCTTGGTGATATATGAGATCGTTGTCGCGCTCAGCGCGTGCGAGGGCGGTTTTCACAGCATCAACAAGGGACTAAAAGAAGTGTCAAGAAGACACTATCAAGGCACAAAAAAACCTCCTTACCTGTATATCCTGCACCACAGCCTGCGAAACTCTCCTGCGCCGAGCTATATCGGAGGCCCTCTTTGCCTCATTTTGAGCTTCTTGTAGACGAGATATTTCGACGCCGTAACTGAGATGCTGTGACCAAAGTTCCGCAGTTCATCGGGACAGAATTGCATACCTACTATTCTCCAGCTCTTCCACGCTCTTCCTGAATTGTGCAACTGCCTCGAAATGATGTTGTTTGGCTTCGATGTGGGCCAACCAGTCCTGTAAATTGTTAACACTGCACTTTCTATGTTGAAAGAGAGAGGTGTACCGTAGGAAATACAGATTTTACTAGAGGAGAGGCATCTCGAATAGCGGAGATGGATAGTTTATAAAGGGCAGAGGTCTAGAGAAAGAAAGTGAGCAAGCAACACTGAGCTGACCAGAAATCCATGTACATTAGCCGCCAGCTTAGCAATCAAAGCATTCTTGAATCCATCTTACGGCGAAAGACTAGATTATTGCACATCGAACAACTCATAATCATTACTGCTCACCGATTTTGGCCTTTTGCCAGAAACATTCCTGCGCTTGGGCACGCATGAGCCATTCCAAGCTGTGAATGCATGATTTGTCGAGATCTAAGGGGATCATCTCTTCGTCTTGCGGGGAAACGCTGAGTTCTTTGAGGGCTGATGATCTCAAGTAGGATAGCGTTCCTGCTGCATTCTTTTGCACCTAGGTCAATCATATCCTACACCAACAACATAGCTCTACTGACTTGGTAGCAAGAGATGGCAAGCTTAATTCCTTCCATGTGCGAGCGATCCTCATCGCCGGCAAGTTGTGAATACAGAGCAGCTAGGTTGAACAGTACAGCAGCGCGTTCAAAGGCGAGGCTGCGTAGAGTGACCGGGATTGCGTTCGGGGAGAAAACGGGAGCGTAGGATATATCCAATCCAATCTGTGAAAGATAAACTGTCAGTCGGCCTCGGGGCTTGAATGATCGCACCGACATCGGAGGGTAATTTGGCCAGTATCGACAAGAGCTGAGCATGATAGCTGTTCGTGGCGGTGAATACAGGGTACAAAAATGCGGCAAATGGCGCACTTGTTCATCTTTTCCGTGCCATCCTTGTGCACTGTTCCTCCGACACCATCTCTTCGAAGCTCTTGCCAACGATCGATGTCGACTTTGAAGGAATCCGGGTGGGCTGAGGTATGATCCTGTAGATAACGACGCGCAGGCTCCTTGAGATCAAGAGCGTATGATTTCTTGAAAGGAATGGCGAGTAAATTGGACATGTCTGCATGAAGGGAAGAAGCAAAAGGCGGCAGTGGCGTGGTGGCGCCCAAGCGACTCACGACCTTTCCTGTGAATGTTCTCTCCAAGTTCTTTGCCTTAGAATCTCAATACTGGTCACTTGCGCACACTTTTTCTTCAAGCTCAAGCTCATTAATGACCTATATATTTTCCTTCATTCACAGACAGACTACTTTTGTCTCAGTGTTGACAGCATTTGCGTAAGATGTTATTAGGCATAAAACATCCTGAAAATCAGACAATATTATCCAGCACTGTAATGTTTTCTGCGATACTGTTTCTGTTATAAGATATTCAAGAGGAAAGCTTGGCAAGATTTGCATCAAATGATAAATAAAGCTGTGCAGAAACGGTAACCGCTTTTGCACAGCCGCCTGGCGCGATTTCACAGTGCATCGTCCTCTCCTTCCACCATGGCCATTGAGCCACTTCTCGCTTCGCGCGCTCAGAAGGCTTTCATTGTTACTAGTGAGCCTTTCTCTTGTCATGGCCTACCCATTTTCTCATCCCTGTTGAACAGTTTCATTCCGTATGTACACTGTTTTAACAGTATGGGTCTCGCTGATCTTCCTCTCCAGAAGCCGTGGTAGTTCTTGTTATGATTGCGATTGTGTTTAGATTAGTGAGTATATCAGTACTAGCCGAGGGAATAATTGGAGATCTAGCGATAATTTAGGTGGAGGACGAAGTCACGTTTACGGGCGGCTACAAGGTGCTATGGATCGCAGTCTAAGCATATCGAATGACCTTCATGTTCTTCCTCAGACGTTGCCGTGTTATCTTGCGCTATTTGCACTAGCAGAGTTTGTACCCATTCTTCCACCACTGTGGCCTTCATCTCAGTGACAGACTAGGATTTTCGAGCTATTCATGGCTTTCGACGCTCTACGGATGAGAAATGTTATACAGCTTATAGGAATTCTGCGTCCGTCATTACCCCCCCCTTCGCGCTTCTGGTTATTGACAATACGGTAGTATTCCACCTCGCCCTTATCGTGTTCTCAGCACTGCAAGTGCACCAGACCAAGACTGCACTGGTAACACTTTCTGACGCCGAATGCGCTGTATCGTTTGATGAAGTGGTCAGTCCCCCCTTACTCTCTCGACGTCCTTCAGCCTCATAGGCGCCGTAGAACTGTAACGGACCTGGTTCCCTATGGAAAAGAGTAGAACCGTATCTCATCGTCACGCCTTGTGTCATTGCGGCATCATGGTTCTCCATACTGTTCTGGACGAAACAGCTTTATGAAGAGTTTGGGTTCGGCTGAATATTTCATCCGGCCGTCTGACCACTAACACCCTCCCGAAGCTGGGCGATCTTCCACGTTGTCGGCGCCAATCCAAAAATGAAGAGTGCGTCGGATGTCCTTTTTCGGGCGATGAAGCTGACTGCGTTCAGCTATGTATCAGTGGTACCAGATCATGATCTGCTTTCTGAAGTTTGATTTCTTCTTCTTCACCGGCGTCACCATGCAGGTTCGCTCGTCTGCCCATAAACATAATGTACAACACTGAATCGTCCCTTAGCTTCTTATTGTCGTCCTGTCTCGAAATTCTGCCGAGTTTGCGGTTACCATCACCGCCATACCCATAGTCCTGATCCTTCTTGGTCTATGTGGCGTTGCAGTTCAGCGTGAGATAAAATGGTACAGATAGTTCTGATCTTTTGATCTCAAGCTGACTTGTATGGACAGGATCATGACGATATCTCTGGTGATGATGTTGGCGGCAGAGAGTTACTGTAAGATCTTTTATTTCTAAGATCCACGACGTTACTGACTGCATGTTTTCTTCAGTCAGTAAGCCCGTCTCAAACACTTGCAGCTGAAGACACACCCAACCAACTTTGTCAGTTTACAAGTTAGTACGATTTTATGAGCCTGCCTCGCGAGCTCAGTATGCGACTACAAGGGCGACTTTGACCATCTTCAGTAAGTAGTATCAGTTGTCAAATGTATCAGTCCGTCTGAAACAAGGCTCAGCTATTGTCGCGTTTCTTCTGCTATTCGCGACATTCGCTGTTGGACTCCGGTGTTTTGCTGATTTTGAGAAGGGTCTGATGGAGTCCAAGGTTCACGGTCAGTCTTACACGCCCGTTAAAAACAATGTTAAGATGCAAGTTCTCAACGGTGATTCTATTCCAGCTCTTTCTGACAAGCCTAACTACTCACCGGGTGGCGATTCCGCAGGTATGGGTGGCCCATATGTCGGTGGATCCGCGCTGGGCCCGAGGATTTCCATCGAATAAGTTTTTTTTTGTTCCCTAATCATTACATTCGCTACGCAGCACCTACGACTTATCTATACTTGGCACTATAACACATACCCTGGTTGAGCGCGCAATCTAGTTATGACACGGATCATGTATACTTTTCCTTTTCCGCAGCTCGCTGGGGACCTTTGAAATGGATATGTTCTTGAAATTCGGAAGGGGATTCTTATTGTGTGTTGACTATTGACATCTGGAATAGGTAATGCTTGTACTGTTTTTGGCGACTTGCTTCATGGTTGCCAACGCGAGCAGAACAAGGTCACTGTGAAACACGGAAAAGAACAAAGACCACGATGCCTTATTTCAACAAACACGGCTGCCCTCTCCTTGTCCCTTTCGTCCTTCCAATGCCTCAGCCTGAAAGTCTCTTTATTCACTATCTTCTCTCCTGGGCATTCACCCGTCGCTCTCCCTGTTTCTTCTACAGGCTTCCCTTGGACGTCTTGCTTTATACTTTATTTCCTTATCTCTCTGTAGGAGACGTCGTTGCTCTCCGCAAGGTGCGTAGTTGCTCCTCTCAGTTCAATCAGCAATGACCGACACAGATTCAGGCTAGCAAGCCCTTGTTCCTGCTCTCCCAAGAACCGTCAATATGGAGGCGTTTCCTCAGTCGACTAGATATCCCGACACCACCACTGCCCTATTTCACCCCCTACACAGTCCAGTCCACTGACCTCAAAATCGAACAAATGGTCGCCACAGCCATTTCCGTCAATCGCAACTGGGAAAAGCCAGATCCTGAACTAGTCAGCTATTTTCGTGTCAGATCCGGCTGCAAAATTTTGGACATGTACGTTCTCCCTGGGGGCCAATATGTCGCCTCCTCGTCGTTTGACTATCGTGCCGGGTATCGCGTTATGGTTTCCAATGTGGAGCTTCCCAGTAACGAAGGGTTGTTCGCTCTGGCCAGCATTTCTACCCTGGCCCGGCCAGAGTATCTTCAGGCGCGGTACATGGTGCACAACAATAAACCGGGTATCATGGTCTGGTTTGTCGTGAAATCTAAAGTCGGAAAGAGTCTTGACGGGTAGGTCTCCATCGCCTCGTGCTCCTCCAAAGCTCACCGTAATGTTAAGGTCCGATATGCTTGACCCATCGACTCGACGCGTCGGATACACGTGTCATTTTGCCCACATCAGTCTCGAGTCTCTCTCGAATCTTGTAATGACCGAGCTACCACGTCCGATGCCACTGGAAGTCAGCCTCGACTATCGGAATAGAGCAATTGATCCATCCCACTCCCAACCAGGTAGTCCGGGCGCCCCAGCGCCAAGTGATAACATCACAACATCCGCGCCGTTCACGCTGCTGCGACCATACACCTTCCGCGACCCTATTCATGATCCCGTCCTATTCACGTCGAACGGTTCGCTGTATCTGACTTTGGCCATCCTTCCCGATGAGGTTGTCATAATCAATCTAGACACCCAGGAAGCTCGTTCTTTCATATGTAACAACGATACGCCTTATTCTGGTTTTGTGAGTTACATTCTCAATGCTTTCTAGACCGCAGACCGAGATATTATGCAGGATCATCAGATACGCGCTGTCCGAGTGCTCCCAGAGCAGGGTGACGTTCTGGTAATCCGCACAGTGATCAATGGGCTAAACGACGTTCATGTGATGGAAATATACTCCTTACCGCCATCGACCGGAAGATTTCGCGGTTCTGCCAAGCACCGCGTTGTCGTGGAACACAAACAAGTTGACAGTTTTCAACTTTCCGACCCATATAACCAGGAATATCCTAGTTCCAGTGCACCACCGCCAATCTCCGTATATCTTGAAACTACCAACCCCCATGGAGTAATTCATTATACGATATCCCCCTCTTTGTATTCTGCAGCTGGGACATCTCATCAATGGTGGTGTTACGATCTCAATAACGTAGTACCTCAAACGACTTTTAACGCCGAACAAGTCGTTCGGGTTCTTCCTGGCGTGAATCGTGCAATTATATGCACGCTACATCCCGACGAGAACCATCAAGCTACCAACTACCTTACCGCCATTCGACGATATTTCAATCCCGAAAAGCGGTTCGACGATCTCCTGTCCTCTGTTGGCAAAGATCTTATCCCTTCGAAGCAGTCTTGTCGGTGGAGGCCGAAACATGTATACCGTACTTTCAACATCTCACCCCATATCATGGAAAACCTCAATCGGCAAGATATCACTGCGTTTGCGTGGGACGAGACCACGGGCCGGATGTGTTTTGCGACGCGGAACGACATGCATATGCATGTTTTTGACTTCGGTTCCACTGCTCTGCCGCGAGACCACATCGGCCGATGGAATTCTCTCAAGCGTATCCTTCGCATTGATCAGCCCAGTCACGGAGCTCCGGAATCACCTCACTCGGATGCTGAGATGGCAGCAGTGGAAGAATTGTTGGAACCAGACAACCTGTGCATCTAATTCACATCTTTCTTGGTATGCTGTGCCTTATATATATATTTTTTTGCTTTGCAGGCCGTCCATACGGGATTCATTCTTCTTTTTTTTGCCTTACTGTATGCTGGGGCTCTATTCCATCCTATGTATGTCCACATTATCTTTTTGTGGATCAATGAGAGCCCTGACTTTAATTTATCTAGCTCTTTATTCGTCACTGCGTATTCGTGATACATTTTTCCCCTGAAAACCCGGGGTGGTTCGATGCATGTGCTCAATATGTCTCGGGCACTGACCGCTCGAGCGTCGAAGCCCACCGAGGCGACCGAGCCCCACCATCAATTCATGACCTCTTTGGAGTTGCACTTTGCGGAGGAAACTCGGATTTTCCGTCGGCAACTCGCGTATTGCCATTGGGATTTTTAAAGTCAGAGTTCTGGTCGATCAGGTCGACATTTGAAGTAGAACACCGGGAGCAATCATTTCGTTACACCTCGGGCGCAGCCTACTTGCACATGGTCGACTGGTACTGAGTTACCACTTCAAGCTTCAAGCTTCAAAGTGCAAAGGAGAGTTTGCGAGTGTATTTAAGATTATTTATTTTACCAATCTTACAATTATTGTCAAGTACGAAATGTGTGCCACGAGAATAATCTGATTGATACAGATTCTGCATTAGGCACATTGGAGAAAGAAATAACTGGTCGGCCGACAACTGAGAATATATGGTGTACACTGTATGTATGGGCGTTGAAGAGCAAAAAACGTCGCAGAGTTGGACGAATATATAGGCTGTCAAGCCTTTCTTCTATGCCGGTGACTGCTATATCCCGAGTCCTGGCGACCGGGACCACTCTTGCCCTCATAGCGATGTCGATCTCTACGGTCATCGAAGGAGGACCGAGAGGATTCACCTCGGCGAATAGATGACGGCTTAGAAGGTGTAAATCCCTTCAAACTTCCATCGCCTCGCAAGTCAAATGCCTTGGGACGGTCGCTGATAGCTGCATTGGATGAAAATGAAGGATCAGCCACCGCCGCAGAGGAAGAACGTGACAGTAGGCTCGGGTTCGGGTTTCGGGAATTGTTCTGAAGCATGCTTTTCAGCTATCCACATGAACTTGTTAATACCGCAGAAATCAAGTTTCAAGTGGTGGTGGTGATGCACGTACTTCGTTGTTTTCTCTAGCAAGATGATGAAGCGACGATGACTGCTCATTTAATTTCAATTTCATTTGATGTATGACGTCCCCAACGCTGATAGTCGAGCGGGAGAGAGGCTCAGCGGAACCGGCAGGACTCCATTCCATGAGCTTGAGACGCTTGACGGTCTGCAAGCGCGCATCCAGCTCATCTGTTAATCTTCCCCTTGATGAAACGAGCGGGACCTCCGGAGTCGACATTGCGTCCACAAGTATCGTATCTTCATCTGGCCCTGGATGGACGTCCCTTCCGTTCATCGTGCGTTCCATACTACGAGTTTTCAGTGCATCAACCGCCTCCTCAACGGATGCATTAATGATTTCGTTAACCTCGGAAATGACAACGCCAAAAATTTCCAGCCAAATGTTCCCGATCGCCGCAAAGCCCTCGTCGACGTGATTCTGAGTTTGAGCATGGTCAAGAAGGATTTCTGCAAGATTAGGCGCAACTGAAGCTGCTGCTGAATTGGACACTTTGGAAAGTGTCGCGGAAATCTCCGTGTATGATTTTAATTTCTTTTCCTGTCTTTCAAATTCGGCGGTTGATTGCACGACATCATTGGAAAACCTAAGAATAAATGTCGGGATTAACATGGATAATGAAAGCGATATTCTCACTTGGCGAGATCGCGAAATAAATCCACTATTCGCTGGGATGCAGGACCTGTCCGGACCCTGCCGGTGGTTGGTTGGCCTGCGAATTTCTCTGCAGATCTGACGGAAACGCTTGAACTGGCGCCAATGCCTGGGTTCTAACATGACAAACGAGCACTTTCAGGATAATCCTAGCGAATAGAGGCAATCAGGAAGACTTACTGCAGTGGAATTGTCGAGATCTGATTGGGGTTTGCCGGCTGGCAGCTTCTCCTTGACTCGAGACCGCAATGGGCTCGCAGATCTATTCCGAGGATAATGTCTCTCTCTGCTTCTACCAGCTGTGCGTTCCCGCAAGCTTTCGCGGTCAAAATCATTACGCCTAGAATCATGGTTCCAAACTTTGCTTGGGAATTGGGTGCGACGCAGAAGAGATTCTGTATCGTCACTATCTGATTCCAGTTTCAACTGACGAAAGAGATCTGTCTGAGAGACTAGAGGCGGCCCAAAACGAGATATAGCTGGACTATGAGAGGTCGCCCTTGGTGCTGCAGACTTGGCTTCCGTAGAGGTTCGTTGTCCCACGCTGTTCGTTTTGACTGACATGACTGGGATGTTGCATGGGCGACCCGGCCAATTGGGATCGTTTGGATGGACAAATCTGAGACAATGAGACGGATAGCCGACAGATGCAGAACCGGTGCTCACCGACAATTATCACCCTGCCTACAAGGTGGATATAAGGGCTGGCCAGTACTGCTAAAGTACTGAAAGAACGGCGTCAATGGAGAGAAACGGCATACAAGAGGAGACTGACGCGACACTGGTATTTCTTGTATGCGTTACTTTTGTTCACGGACATGGAGACAGACGGACGACGAAAAGGACGAGGGAGCAGCGAGCCACGGGTGGTGCTTCGAGGAAGGCCGAGCGCAAGGCTTGTTGCGTGACTTGATCGTGACGATCTCGAGGGCCTTGACGCATACTCGACAGCCGATACGCGATAATAGAACCTCGCCTGCATAGGGAAAATTCAGTTATTCTCTGTCGCAGTAAAATAGATGATATTCTGCAGAAACAGTGCGAAAATCATCCAGACCAAGTCAAGCGTAACTTGCACCAAAGAGCACCTCGCGAGCAAAATTTCAAGAAAAAGACTCATCGTGACCTTGTTGGCAGATTTCGTTGAGGTCGGGTCATATTGGACCGCTCCGGGTGCTCTACACTGTGTCGTCAGATATCAGCAAATGCTCCGTGTCGGACGCTAAAACAACTCACATGAACCCCTCTACTGGGACAGCTTCCCTGTTTTCTGTCTCCAACATATGTACTTTCTTGGCTGCAGCCATAGTAAAAGGTCATCCAAGTATTGAAATACTGAAACCCCGTTCAGATGAAATTATCTTCAATAACGAATGTCATTGTTAGATCTAAGACCTTGTGTCGGGATTGGTCTTGTGCTACATAGCGATGTGACGCCTTCGGACCTTTCGTAGACTACAATCACGGTCACGTTGACCGACTTGGTGCTAGACGCGTATCTTCCAACACAAAAGGCACTGTCTCTGCAAATGAGAATTCAGCATCTTGGATAAAGAAATTCACATTAGCCCCACGTACCATACCTAGTTGGCAGAGACCACTACGGCAAATACCGGTGAACAGAACAGATCCGGGCCGGTCAGGAAGACTCCGAACAGCCAGCTACACCTAGGAATTCTTTTAGAGCCTTCTTATTACGGTTACTATCTAGACGATGCATTTCGTGACACAGTCCTGGCCATCAATTGATACCCACCGAGCCATCATTTTTTTTTTGCAAATTCTACTCTACTCCGAGTTGCCTTTTCCTTCAACGTGTCGCTTCGACGTACCTCACTTGCTAGCTATGCAGCTCGAGTACCTATACAGTCTCTTTACTCTTCCACTTCTAGTCGGATTGGCCGCTTTTTTCATTGCTGCTATTCAGCTTTTCGCCCCAAAGGCTCGGACGCCTGTCGTTGTTTTCCCGTATCAGCCAAGCCATGTTGCAGTTAGGAAGCGTGCTTCGTCACCGGATATCGACAACCAATCTTTGAAATCACTAGTTCTCTCAAGATGCACAAGCCTCTTCTCTGAATACAGATCGTCATGGTGGCTCCCAAAGTAAGAATTTTTCTTTACTTAGTCCGTGTCTAGATTTAACAAGCTGAAACCAAGTGGGCATCTTCAAACTGCGTATAGCGTTATGGCAGACTTCACGAAGACAGACAAAATGTACTACAATAGGTATGAATTCTTTTTTTGACCCGTCGTTCCCCGTTTGATTTCCTTCCGTGCTCAAGGCAGTATATTCGCTTACTTGATGGAGGAACCCTGTAAGTTTTATCGTTGTCCTTCCTTTCTATTAATGGCCTCTGATTCTAGTCTACAGTGGCCTCGATTTCGCTCCCGTGGACTCCTCCAAACTCAAGTCGGACTCACCGATAATAGTTGTACAGCATGGTTTAACCGGTGGTCAGTCCTCTCAGCTCTCTCCTTGGCCCGTTATCACCGGAAATTTCCTTCAGGTTCGTATGAAGCCTATGTCAGGGCAGTCCTATACCCCGCTTGTGCCCCACTCGAACAAGGAGGCTTGGGTTATCGTGCCGTTGTCATCAACTTCCGCGGATGTGCGTCACACATCTCTCTTCCTCTTCCTCTTCCTCTTCCTCCCATTTCCACGCTCATCGTGCGGTCTAGGCGCTGGGGTGCCCATTACTAGCTCGATGTTATACTCAGCGGGTCACACTGATGACTTACGCCAGGCTTTGTTCTACATATCACACACATACCCCGAGGCTCCCTTGCTCGGACTTGGTTTCTCTTTGGGCGCCAATATCATCACTAGATATGTTTCGGAAGAAGGTCCACGATGCAGGTTGTCCTCTGCTTGTGCTCTAGCTTGCGTAAGAACTTGTCTGACTCTGATTGATTCTGCTTTGTTAAATGATTTCATTTCGCAGCCATGGGATCTAGCCCAGAACAATGAACAGTACGGAATTCTCCCTGTGTTCTAGCGGGGCTGGACTTTGGCTTTCTGAGCACGCTTTTCATTTCTTTAGGCTCCTAAGCAGTTTCATCGGCAGACACGTTTACGCGAAAGCGTTAGGCACCAACCTACTCAATCTTGTTAAGCGGCATGAAAACGCTTTACTGACAAATCCTAGCGATCGGATTCTCGAAGCCGTGGCCGCAGCACGAACATTGAAGAATCCCACTTTGAGAGACTTTGACCATGCTTTTTCGCGTATTGCTTCAGGCCCTCCACCTTCCTTCCCGTACGTATCAGCAGAAGCTTATTATGATGGACAGTCCAGTCATCACGCGGTGAAAGGTGTACAGGTCCCGTTTTTATCCATCAACTCTGCAGATGATCCTATTGTACAATCGGTTCCAATGGATGGCAGGGGTAATGGCTTTGTGGTGATGGCCTTGACACCCGGAGGTGGTCATTTGGGATGGTTCCAGTCTGGTGCGTCGTGGCGAGAGGTGGACAGGTGGACGACGCAGCCCGTGCTTGAGTGGATGCGAATGACTGGTGAAATGTTAGTCGGAGATACATACAAATGCCGGCATTTGCAGGTTGATGCGGAGGGATGGATAAAAGAACAAGGCATAGATCATCTTGGCTGCAAGCCTGCGGAAGGCGGAGGTATCATTGATAGTAATGCTGTTGACGACAGGACCATGCAAGGTCTGTAGGCACGCGTTGAGGCTAACGTATATCGGTACATATGTCATGTTTTACTGCTACAAAATTATTCAACGTCCCGCCAGGGCTAATCGCTGTCGCTAAATGTAACATGCCCATCCTCGTCTTGATCATCATCGCCGTGCGACCTCTCATACTGGCTGACATCCACAGACATAGTGCCTTCCTCGAGAAGAGCGTCTTCTTCGAGATTGCGGTTTTTCTCAAAGAGCTGTCTCCCTGCAGTGGTATCAACAAGTAATCGGGAATTATAGAATTCAATGGGAAAGCTGTCGCACCACTCAATCGTGAGTACATTCTTTTCCACTCCTCACGCTCCTTCGGTGTCAACCCCTTCATACGCTCGTCTTCTTCTTGCCGCTTCTTCCTGGCCTGTTGTGCGTCGAATTTGTCTTTCCAGGCCTTGAAGGATGCAACAGTTACGGGTGTTCCACGAGTCCGTGCCTCTTCTTCCTGACAGATATAGCATCCGAAGTGAAACGATGCGGTGGTGATGAAGGAGATAAGGTACCTCAAGAGCCAGTCGCTCCTTTTCGAGCTCTTCCTTCCTCCGTTTGTCGGCTCGTGATCGGACGAGTGTGGACAGCTGCTCGCGGAGATGTGATACGAGAGTGAACGTCATCGCCATTCCCAGGTTTTCCTCACCCTGCAGTGTTCGGGGTAAGTAGTGTCGAGTGAGAGTAAATACCAATTAACTTACGATGGCATTGAGTTCAGAGATGAGCTTTGCGACTTCGTCATCTTCAAGTTCTCCTTCCACGGCTTCTAGAGAGAGGTCTGGAAGGACCTCTGGATAGGACGCGCCATAATGTACCCGAAGAGATAACTTTACTACAGGAAGACGATTATTTTGAGCAAGTCAAGGTGAATTGATGCCACATACAAGACTCTGCCCCCTCAGCTATATCATCAGGCTCAGCATCGATTTGGATATCCTTTTCGGAAAGTTCTTGTATGAGCCTTAGATGGATTTGGGTGGGCAAGTCAGATAGATAAATGCTACGAACTGGTCAGTTCTGTAGGATATATGGATTCCAGGACCTGCAACAAAGATCAGAAAGGACTTAGCAGAAGCATGAAAAAAAGGCAGAATACCTCAAATTCCTCAAGCAGGACATCGGAGGACATGAGAGCACAGTTGAACTGATCAGACAAACAAACAAGCATCAATTTCGTTTTCTCCATCTCTTCCATGGCCTTGTCGCGGTCCCTTCAACCTGGCCTGCAGTGCCTACGACAGGCCACTTTTTTGCGTCAATTTTCTTCATCGCTGCCTCTTCTGCAGTATGGCAACAGCAATAGCGACGGCTTCAGATCTCATTACTATCAGCCCATGGCAGAATTCCAGAGCGGCTTGGTACCAACACCGACGGCCATAGAACAAATGCCAGTCCGCGACAATGCTGGTCCTACTCCCGAGCATGTCTGGAAGACTCATGTAAAGACTGTGTATGACGCTACCAAAGATATGTCTCCTCCAACGGCTTACTCTGGTCGGGAACTTGTCATCTGCTCATTGATGCCCTCTCACCCTTTTCTTCTCCTTAGGTCGCACGGTCAGGGTTCGCACCAACATCATGGACTCTTACGCCATGCTCTCCAACCTCCTCCAGCGAAACAATGTGCGAAGAGAATTGGGCAAGGCTTCGCGACACGAGAAGAAGGGCGTCAAGCGGCGGAGACTGGCCAGTGAAACCTGGCGGAGAGTATTTGCACACGAGGCACGTATCTCGCACCATCATCCAACTATTAGTGGTTAAACTCTTTGGCGCAATCTGCAGGTCCGGAATTCTGTCCAACTTGTAGCCAAAATTCGCAGTCGCGGAGCTTGACATGTGTACCGAATTAATGTAAACGTTTCGATATTCTACCTGTGTGATTTGCCATTCTATGCGTTAAGTATGTGCGTCTTTTGGGCCCTTTTAATTCATGCATTTCCTCCATCATGTGTCGTTACCGATCCTAATTTACGGTCACAAGACGCTCGTCCTTGCTCGTCCCTACCGCACGAGGCCTTGAACGTTGTTGCATGAAAGGTTTCCTACTCTTTACCTTCATTCCCAGATGATGCTACGTTAATGCTGGGGACCCCGAGAGCTACAGGGCGCCTCGCTAGGATCTATATCCTCGGCTTATCAGATGGATGTAAGTCTAACCCATAGTTAAATTGCGACCTTCTACCTCGTGGTATGCATGCACGTCTAATATCATTTGGTGAGCCATAATTAAATCAGGGTTCAAGTTACACTGATAGTCGACCGTCCTTGTGTTTGACTTGGGCGGATGCAACAAACTACGTTATGTTTCGGAACCGACATGGCCACTCCACGGTAGCCCCTCATTCAACACAACGGATTTGAGGCGTGCCACGATCCCAAGCCTTTTCAATAGGAAGTATACTTCTAAGTTAAGAAGAGGTTGGACCTGTCGACGGCAGATTCCGGGCGGCCTCGCTTGATAGTGTCGTGATGAATGAGGCTGGCATGCCCCATCTTCTGCAGGATATAATGGGGCTTTTCAAGATCACAACCTTCATTCTTAGAACGGCCCCCCTTTTCAGACCACCATAATATGTGCCATAACGTACGTCCTCTCTTTCAATGGCCGGCATCAAGGGTTTATTTTCTATGTAGATTATTGACGGACGATACCATACCGAGTGTGGGCACTTTTATGCTATGGCGACGCGTCAGCAAGACTGTCTGCGTCCAAACTGTCTGTTCAGCGGCCGGCATGCTCATCCTATTGGTACGCGGTATTGACCTCCTTGCCCTGGACGTAAATCTGATATATGACATAACTTACAGGCTGTCGATCCCCCAACTGCATACGCATGATGTCACTCCCTGTGAGAAACCCTATTAGAGTCAGCCCTACAAAGTGCTCGGACTGCAGAAATGTCTTTGGGCGACTTGGGCAATGATCCATGCTTACTTATACGTTCCTTGATCTCATGTTTATTATTTAACCTACGAGCAATTCAGCAAGTTGAGGCGCTCCAATGACGCCACTTGCTGAATTATTTGTAAAGGTCATCACTAAGTGCTGCAACACGAGGCTTCTTGTAGTGTGTAACTTTTATTTTATTTCTGACATCAAGTGTCACCTGTGAAAGATTCGCCGTAGATGCCCTGTACACGTTCTGGGCTGACACTGTTGAGCCAGCATTTGTATATTCGCAACCGGTGGCGTCGTGTGCTGCAAATGGTAATTGCTTCTCCATTTATGGGTAACGTTGTTGGTACCAAGTTGATACCTTGTACTCAGAGCGCCTTGTTCTACTCGTACATCGTTTGTCCCCGAAGATGGCCGGTATCCTTGCCACCAATGCATTGTTTTTCCTGAGGCGTTATAAAATCCCTAACTCTTGTTGACCCCAATAACGAACTTCCATCATGCTTTTCTTCGGCCCTACTGTCCTGCGCGGTACAGACGACATTCGGCAGTATACTGCAAAATGTTATCTCCCGGAAATGCCTTGTGTTGCAGACGCTCCCCAGATACCTCTTCCTGGCCACAAGACTCACATGAATCGCCTTCACATTCGTCCTGAACCGTACAGACGGTTATCGATGATTGATTGTGAGACGTTTATGAATATAGGGCCTCTGATAAAGCAATGTGGGTATTTCTACCCACAGGACATGAAGAGGTTCTGATTTCATTTTGTCCAGGGGCGCAACGCGTCTTTCCAGACAGGCCTCTCAAGATGAATGACTTGGATGAGGAGACCGGCGAGAACCTGACCTTGCCGTGCCCATCAGCATACAATTTTGCCATTGCAGATGTATGGCATACTGCAGCTGTCGATATCCACAGGTGAGCACTTTATGTATAATGTGCTCATCTCTCGAAGCTTATTTCCAATAGGTTTGCTGGTTGGCTAGGTCCGTCAACCTGCGGAGAATGCCTATCCATATGATTCTCACCTACCCCATAGATACCTTTCCTTTGACGACCACTCAACGCCTACTCCATCTCGCCTTCCCAAATGAAACCAAAGCATGGCATTTTAAACTTAAGCAGGATCGTGATAAAGAACTCTTCCAGTACTTTCTATGGACCTCACCCCAGCTCGAGGCCTCGAAGACGAGACCTCCGCTTGATCCAGATGCCCTCGAAATGATGACCAGGAAGTCAGTAGTGATCGCCTTTCAACCACCCTGGATAATGTCTCCTGCCGATTTGAAGGAGTTCGTTGAATGTCGGGCGGTATGTGGGTTTTCGAAGACTTTCTATTGATGTCCTCCTGACGTGAAGTAAAGTTCCCTCCTTATCGGGGTGGTATGACGGACTATTTGGAGAGTAAGCATCGTGTATGGGGAAAGGTGTGTATTCCTACCTTGATTTCGATAAAGCGGACGTCCCTGATCCAATGCCTAGCTGTGGGATGTGTGTGTGACAAACGAATCTCAGTTCTTCGTCTTGACTACATACGATCAATGGGTATTTGGGACATTTTCTCAGAGTAAGTTACTCATTTTCGGTCGTCATGTGCCGCATGCGACGTTATTTCAGGATGGACGGGAGTCTTTTTCAGCCCAATATATGACTTCGACTCGAGTGACCCAAGTGTTGCAGAGTGCCTAACATTCTGGATTGCTTCTGCTATGAGAATATCAAGGACGTTTGTCCTTCCCAAAGTGTGTAACGTTCCAGAAGCCATCTTTCATCCTCGTGAACTCAAATGTTCCATAGCTTCCAGAACCTGTCGGCTTACCTCCAATTATTGTTGAGCCGAGTGATGACCCTATAGAATATCATCAGTCCGAATCCAATTGGACCGGTAAAAGTTCAGGTCTGTAATTTCCTCGTATTTGTCCCCAAAGTGACGTCTGACATGAAAATCATAGATTACGCTGCATCAGCAGGTGTTGTGCTCGACAACGTATCGCTCGTGTCTGATGCAGGTGTATTTGACATGGAGGCCCCGATCAACAAACCTGAACCGACCGCAATCAGTAGCAACATCCACAACTGGATGGCTAAGCTGCCTGAAGTCATGAGCGAAGTACCGAATTACCTAACGCAGCAGCAGACAGAAACTATTTCGTTCCACAACGGGTCCAGTGATCCTCAGCCTGGAATATTCTACTATTAAACACGCCCTGTACCTTTAGTGTAATATATCTGTCCATAACGCGTCGACTGCCAAGTCTTCCGCATTTTGCTTCCGTTTGATAATTAAGATTTACGATCTCGATCGTTCGCCAAAAGTGGTTCAGGGAGTGTCGCTTATCTTGAAATGTGGCGTCCGCAGTCAAGTGAAATTATTACAAGAACTAGAGCGTCTTCGTGGTCCAATTCAGTTTTTCAGGCAACAAACTCGCAGCACATGAAGTCAAATGAAAGCTACTAGGCAAGGTCCAGAAAATACACCCCCCCCCCCCCCCCCCCCCCCCCCCCCCCCGAGGACAAGATTTAAGGTTGGCATAACAAATTGACAGTCTGTAGGTCCCCCACGGTCCATCATGGGTGCCTAGCGTGGTCCCATTTTACGAGCTAGAATCCAGTGGGTTGCCATTCGGCGTCTGAGAATTATCATTGACTTCCGGGGTCTGTCCTCCGTGAGATGAATTTGGGGTTCGTCCAAGACCAGTGTCCGGGCGGGAAGAATCCGCGGGAGTGACCCCGGACAATCGTGAAAAGGAAGCGTACAAATTGGCCTGCGGCGGGGTGATAGTTGGGGCAGGAATCTTGGAAAGAGAGTCAGAATGAGCAACCTAAGACAATATTGTGCTCACGGTGGCAATAGTTGAGAGGTGCGGATGCATGGTGTTGTCTTGAACAGAGTAGAATTCAATCAGGATGCGTAGGGTATCTAACAAGTATCTCAGATGGTAAGCAATGTTCGGCAACGAAGCTCGAACCAGCAAGAGAAGTAAGTTCCTCTTCATTGAAAGCAAAATACTCCAAGGCAAATCTGGATCGGTCTGGTGATGGCGGCTTATTAGAGGGCGGTGTGGGAAGAGACGCAGATGGAGGGGTAGAGGATATGCGTGAATCAAGGGAAGAAGAATTTGGGCCGTCCACCACACGCTGAGCAAGAACAAAACACGCGGCAGCAATAATGCGGGGAGAATATAATAGACAGAGTGGAGTTCGGTACCTAATAAATGTCAAGTAAATGGAGTCGGAAAAGGGACGGAAATAATACATACGAGTCGTGGGCAATAGTCCACGCATATTCTTGCGCTAAGATATCCGGATCGTGTGAGTTGAATAAGTCTACTAATTCCGCATGGGGACTTTCAACCACAAAATCGAAACAAAGAGCTTCCAGCAACACCTCCTCTGTCAGTAGGATTGCCGTCTGGCAGTTCTCGACTTCCTGTAAACACGGTCAATGCTAAGTGGGAAACCACGAAGACGCCACCAACCTTGCTAGTGTCGGGAATTTCAGCCACGTCCTTCCCACTTACTTTGGACTGACAAACGCGGGCAACATCACGAAGCTTTCGACCGCATTCCTCTGTCTTGGTGGCCAAAAATATACAAGAAGCGGCAACGTCCTAGATCCCGGTCCATATCAAGCAACACAAGTAATCAAGCAAGTGTACTTGTCGATGATAATCATCCATGGAATAACGCATGTAGAACCTGTGGAACCATGTTGCGGCGGTAAACATTGCCGGTGCTGGCCTGTGACCTGATCAGAACGGTACCGAAGTTTAGAAATAGAGCTAACAATTGCAGTGAAGACCCGAGACGGTAAAGGAACTCGACCCCCCTAGCCCGGTCGTAGAGCTGCTTTTCTAGGGAGCCAGCTGATGGAGTTGACCGCAGAGCATCAAGGGGGAAGAGCCACTGGGACTTGGGAGCATTTGGACGGGCAACCTGGGATGCTTGGCCTGCCTGGATGTCCTTTGGCATTACTGGGCCTCGGAGAGGAGCGTATATCAAATACCGTGACAGAATGTGACATTTCCACTTGCAGCTTGGCGCGGGGGGACTCGCTCATCGTGTCGTTTCTTCCTTCTCAGCTATTACTACGTTATCTACCCTCTTGCCAAACGACGGAATGCTCTGTCCAAATATACACCGATTTCCTTTCCATCTTGATATTAGAAGCGTGTCAACTTGTCTCTTACCAAGTGGGGAGCTAACCGGAAGATAGGTAACCTTTTACCCTTCAAACTTCAAGCTTCGCACAAACTTTTTTCCAAATTAAGTGCCCAAATCAGGTTGTTCCGCTCCATCACCTGCGTTTCATCTCGGTCGCAATACAGAATATGTCATTGTATTTTGTAAGTAACCCTTGTGAGTCGTAACTGGTTCGTCGGTGTTAACATTATATACCCCACTCTAAATAACAGAGTACCACGCGTCAATTGGGCATCTCTTTCACCGTACAGCGTGCTAGGCATCCGCCAATTATTACCTCGTTCCTCGTCCGTATTGAATTCAGTATCGTCTGCCACTGCCACTAGCGCCGGCCTTGCAACTCGGGCAACTGCTGTTAATTAAAGGATCTACCATACATGTCAACCTTCGGCCGAGGCAAGCCTTTTGAAATGCAACTCACTGTACTGTTCAGGAAACTGTCGTCTGAAATAACCGCGCCTCAACGTGGCGTAGAACGTCCAGGAAATATAAAAACTTACCGTTGCCAACAGGTCTTTGAACAGTTGGGTCCGCAATTCGAAGGATGAGCGGCAGAGAACTTGCAAAATCGGTCGTCGCAATAAATCTAAATATAAAAAATTTTCAAGCAACGATATCGCTGCTTTCTATGATGGGACGGACCATTTCGTCGGGCTATATCAAAGTACATGAGAAAAATCACAGGTATTGCTGGCGCTGAGACCTACTAAGCGTACAACGTGGCCGCATTGGCTGTACGTATTTTGCACTCTGTAACAAGGCGTGAAGGCAAACAACCAGCGAAGCAAACATCCAGACTGACTGCCTCCATCTACACATGTTCGTTGGAATGTAGTTCGTTATAAAAGACTTGTAGAGATGAAGGCGAGGCGTTGATCCAAAGTAAAGGCCTGGACGGTAGAACTTATATAGCCCTCAAACGCACCGATATATCATCTGAAAGTAAAATAATGGGTACTGATTGGTCTCTGATCAGGCTCGGCCCGCTCGAAATCAAGAACTCTTGAGAGCTCACTAAAAAGAACCGCACCTAGACAGTCGAGATCCGTCCTACCATCGGGTACGTGCTTCATAACTAACCCTTCGTCTTCGATTGCTAGTGGTGACATCAGTTTCACCCTGCTAAAAAGTTAATACATGATGACGGTCCACGCTTTCACAGTTCTTGTGGATTCCGCGTGTCGGAACAGAACGAAACAGGTACCCGACGTCGACTTGGTTATCCAACAATCCGATACTGTAATTCTTTACCCCGAGTGTTTGTTTTTCGTCAATCGCCGATTTCGTCTGATCGACGACTAATGCCCAAGGGGCCAAGGGACCACCCCCAATGCTAGTTGCATCACTTCGAATTTGCTCTTGTGATCTTTCCCGAAGGAAAGTACGGCACCTACTGTAGACAGTGTCCCACATTCAGAACGCAGGCGTCCGTTCACTCAGAGAGTCCAGAACGGCGGAGGCTTTGGAATGCAGCAAAAGAAATTGGAATATACTCGATTACCCTGCGAACATTCCGACAAGGTACTGACTTACTCCCTCCGGAGTCAAGCTGCCTACATCCGAGAACACCAGCGAGATGAGATCGGGTCTAAGCGAGAGCTTCTGTTAACAAAGGGAAAATCGGAAGACAAGGCGACGGACCTGGTATAATCTACACTTGGATTATTTCGGGCGATTTGTTCTTGACTGATCTTGATCTTTGCGGCAGAATCCGAGGTGTTCACATCTTCGAGGGCTGATGACTCCAAAGTTGATCCGCCGGAGACAAATAACGGTTTCGGAGACGGATTAACGGACGAGTTGCGAAGGTGCCGACCCTTGGGTAGAGAGAAGGAAAGTAGGTCCGGAGTATGACTTGGCAGATCATATTGCGACAATGGGAACAGCCGGTGGAACTTGTAGCTGTGTAAAGGACGTCAGAAGCATAGCAAAAAAAAAAAAAAGGTTTGTCGATCGTCACATGGCACCTTTCTGCGAGAGCGTAAAAGGGTTTATTCGCGGCTTTTGCAATGATTGCTATCTGGTTGCTGCCGACAGCATTAATGAGTCCGCCACTCTCGACCACAGCTTCGGATCCAACGAGAACAAAATCGACCATGTCCATGCAATACGCAACTGCAGAATCAAGAATCACGGTAGTAGGAATTCCGGCAGCCATTAAATTTTCTGCGGTCTTAATGCTGAGGAATATTAATGAGAAGACGTTAGCAAAAGGCCGGAGGAAGAATCGACGTACCCTAGGCCACGGGGTCTTGCCTCTGTAACGAAGACTATGCTAAATATGAGCTGATGATGGACCGTATTATTGATGGGCCATTCTACCTGATATTCGCTTCCGTTTATGAGCCCATAACAGCGTTTGCATCACGACTCTCGAATACGAATGTGTAAGTATCTTGTCAAGCCAAATGTCACCACAAAAGAATGTTCCTGATAGGAAAAGGACTGACCACCGAATCATCCTTTATAAAGTCGAATGCAAGCTCTGCAATCTTTGCGCGATAACTAAGCGCCTGAGTGACGTACTGATGCCCTTGCCGTATCAGTTCGGTCTTGAGCTCTGAGAAACTCTTGATGAACGCTCGGGTAAGAAGGGAACAAAAAGAATCGAAATGAGAACACTTACGGACGCGTCATGGGGGAACAAAGTGACAAACTCGATGAACAGCTCGCAGCCCGCATTCAAGCTGATGTAATTTGACGATTGTTTCTTGAGATTCTCGGCACCGGCTTTGAGTTCTTTCACCAATTCAAACATAGTCCCCGCTGAGACATCGAAATTGAGAAGCGTTAGACCTTAAGGGCCCCTTGGGTACGCACCAGAAGAATGTTCCATTAATTCCGCGAGAGCAAGGATCGCAGCAAGGGGGGTTGACACCTTGACATGGTAGCGTAAGTGAGCCTCGGGCTTCGACTAGAGAAGGGAAGAAGACCCACTTGCTCGTCCTGCAAGAGACGATTGAAGGCACTACATATGTCAAAAGGTTGGCCTACAGGCCAGAAATGAGAAGGCATCGAGTCCGACGTGCCAGTGAGGGGTGTCTGAAGGAATGTTTCCAGTCACACGTGTCACGTGATACGCCACCAGTATTTCCGCGACCCTCGCCTCACGCTCAGGCTCTAGCCTAGGACTGTCCCGGCGTGCTGCTCATCTGGAAGGGCAAATCTGGACATTTGAGAGGCCGGCAACGGTATATTGTGGCGATGCAAGGAATGAATATATTCTTCCTCGGCGCCCGATATCCCATTTATATATCCATCCCTTCAGTAGAAATGCCGCAACGTTAGGGCGGTCAAGTGCATAAAAAATAAGATACAGCGCTTCCTGAGCGGCCTGACCCTTGTGCCTCAGAACGACATTATTCCCCGCTCAATAAGTTTCAAACTGCAATGAGGTTGGCAAGGTAACGAACGGTACGCGAAATCGGGCCAGATCTGCCTCCGAGCAAATTAGTTGCTTGGGGAAAAAGTATTGTATTATTTATTGACCATTGCGCCCAGCTACGGCCATAGTATAAAGGCCAGTCAAACGGAAATGGCCAATCCGAGAGACAAGGGCCATGTCAGCGAATTATGATAGGTTCAATGGCAGGCATCAATGCGGGCAGAATTAGCGAATGCGCTTCCGAGCGCCAATTACGGAACTGGATTTGGATACAATCAAGAAGAATGGGGCCTAATTTGCCGTCACTTGGGTCAGGAACTATCCTAGAAAGGGAATGCCGATGTGAGAAAAACTTAATGGCAACCCGATCGTCCAGAAAAGGGAAGACGACATCGGCGCAAAATACACGTGTAACGGTGAAGAAAATGCTAGTGGATAAATATTGTTTTTTTTCCCTTCCCGCTTTGCTGCGCCCTATATAACCCCCCCCCCTCCGGGAAATTATGCCGTCCTCCTGTTTCCATTCCTCACATTGACAGCGTCGGCCTCTCTTCGTCGTCGTCGTCGTCGTTCTTCACATAATTGTCATTTCTTCGTCTTGCTTGCTTTGCTGGCACCTATTTTGTCGCCTGCTGCCTGTGCATCGCCAGGCTTTTTATTTTTTCTACCTCGTGCGTGAACATTGGAACGCTTGGACCTGCGGCGGCATCGCTGACATGCTTTGCAGAACGCGTTATAATCTTCACCGCTGCCTTGCAAAGCAGTGATTTTGTTCCAGCCTTCCAGTCCGTCGCGCACCGTACTGAATATGTCGCCGAAGCCAGCCGAAGTCGTTTTCTCACCTGATGTCAAGAACATGGATGAATGGGCGAGGCGGACTCGGATGTCGCTGACGACGGCAGACGCTTTGGGAGCGACCTATGCGCGTGCACAGCCGTGGTTCGAGCATCTGAAGCAGCAGCTGGTGGTCGAGCACAAGTGGCGAGAGGTTCAACGAGACAGTCGTATGCTCTTTACCCTCGAGAACGGCTCTATCTGGAGCTCAACTACCGGCCACCCTGCTGGCCCACCGCTCAAGCTCCAGCTCCCTGTCCATGCGAGCTCCTTCTTCTCGCCCGACCGACGCGTCCAATGGCAGATGGTCTTTCACAGTGATATCTTCGAGTCGGTCCGCAAGATCTGTCCTCCCATTGCCGATATCCTCTACCTTCTGCAGTGTCTCCTTCCAGGAATGGTCACGCTTGTCTTTGAGGAACACATGCCAGGTCAGGGCATCTACAGGACAACCCGTGGGTTGCCGCCTGACTCGTGGGTCAACAAGAACGAGCGCCAGCTTGTCAGAGTCGTGGGTATCGACCGCTTCAGGGACCTGCGTCGTGCATGCAGCGACACCGCACTCTCGTATTCGCTCCAGGTCATCCGGCAGTGAAACTGTTACCATTTACCTTGACGCCGTAATCGACAACTGCTCCCATAATACCACCAATATCACCCGTACACTAATCGTATGCTCCACCGCGCTTAATTCTCTCTTGCATCGTTGCTGTCACATATTGCTTTCCAATCTTGCATCACCACTTGCTACTTACTTAGATCCGTTATATTTACTGACTGACTTCACTTGACGCACGTAAATTAAAATTTCACTGCACTTTGATCTATTCCAGCATCTAATTCGATTCACAGTATGTATTATCCAGTTTTGTTTTCCGTAGCTTTCAGATACGGTACTCGTCGAGTAATATGGTAGCCTCTGGTTATTTACAATAAATTACAAGTTTAGGCAGAACCCAGCTTGATGAAATTATAGATGGAAACTAGATCCGTTTGGACGTGTGATAATTTTTTTGTCTCCTGCCCTTTCGGTCCAGACAAGGCTCGTTGCTCTTGCGGCCATGTCCCAGCCAGCAATCCTCTGCCAGAGCACCACATGTCCCAACGGTAATCCGCCTTCAAAGCTGGAATGTCCGACCTGCAACAAGTAAGCGATCCATGCGGCGAGGTGCCAGAGTCTCACATCGCCCAGGCTAGGCATTCGCGGCTCCTACTTTTGCGGTCAGGAATGCTTCAAGACTGGATGTGAGTGTTGTCCGTAATTTATCCTGGCAACCGTCCTTATGTTATCCCAGGGGCAAGTCCTCGCTCCATGCACCGTCTGGACCCATCAATTGACGACTCGTCTGCCTAGAAAACACACAAAATCATTCATACCCTTGCTGCCGCAAAGGACGCGGCTGGCGATGCCGTAGAAGGTCCGTCGTTGTGTTTCGTCGTCCGTGTTTTATCCATCCATCTTGTCGCCAGATGGTTCGTACAACCCGTTCCCAAACTATGAATACACCGGCTCCATGCGTCCCATGTATCCCCTCTCTGCAAAAAGAAAAGTCCCGGATCACATCCCCCGACCAGAGTACGCTGACGACGGTAGGGTCATGACTTTTGTTCGTCAAATAAGGACGACTATGTAAGCTTAACTGTCCCTTCTGCCGCACAGGAAAGCCCATGGCCGAAGTTAGGGCTGCCGGCCAACCTCCGAAAATACTCTCCAAGGAGGAACAAGATAAGATGAGAACGGTTTGCAGGGTATGTGTTCGTCCTTTCCTGGCCAACCTCCGAAACAAACCCAAGTCAGCTGGCTCGAGAGGTACTGGATCTCGCTGCTTCGCACGTCAAACCCGGTGTTACGACAGACGAGCTAGATGAAATCGTCCACAACGCATGCATCGAGCGCAACGCGTATCCATCACCTCTGAATTACCGTAACTTTCCAAAGTCCGTCTGCACGTAAGTTACTGCATCGGTCATCAGTAATTGCTGCTATAGCCTGTCGGGTGTAATAGATCTATTAACGAAGTCATCTGTCATGGGATTCCCGACAGACGGAAACTCAAGAATGGCGATATCATAAATATTGGTATGTTCATTCATTTCATCGATTTGGCGACACTTGCCCACGGGAATTTGCAGATGTCACTCTGTACTATAATGGTGCGTAAAACTTTATCTTCCCTCTCCTCAGTGCATTCATCCCCGGTTCCAGGCTATCACGGAGATCTGAATGAAACATACGCAGTAGGTGAAATAGATGAGGATGCCAAAAAGCTCATCCGCACCACTCGCGAATGCTTAGATGAGGCCATCAAGCTCTGCAAGCCAGGTGCTTTGTTCCGTGACTTGGGAAAAATCATGTAAGCGCCTCCATGGTCTGTAAAAACTTCTTTTTGTTCACGCCTCGTTCTCAGAGAACCCATTGCGCGTTCCAACGGTTGCGCGGTGGTGCGATCCTACACGGGTCACGGAATCAATGACTTTTTCCACTGTTCTCCAAATATACCACATTATGCCAAGAACAAAGCCGTCGGAACTATGAAGGCAGGCATGGTATGTATTTCAATTCTTTCCTGGGTACGGAACGCCAGTAAACGGGTTGCATAGGTTTTTACAATAGAACCCGTCAGTTCAGCCTGTCTTCAAATCGATGGAGTCTTATCTTCTTTCTAGATGATCAACTCGGGTCACAACTGGGGCGACGTTCATTGGCCTGACAACTGGACCGCTACGACCGTGGATGGGAAGAAGAGCGCGCAGTTTGAGGATACCCTCTTGTATGTTCTAGATCGCGTTGTTCACACCCATGAACTAAAATTTTCGCCATAGAATCACAGAGACCGGTGTAGAAGTCTTGACGGCGGGAAAGAAACGGGATCTATAACAGCCTCTAGAACACTTTGGTTTGTCTCTATCGTCTGCCGACTGAACAGAACCACATGGCTGGTACCTTTTTTGAGTCTGAGTCTAATGACTCCCCAGTTGTGAACATACTAATTCATGTGCGCGTATCTAGATCTGCGCCTTCTTCGGAGATGCCAGTCAAGAGATTCGGACTACCAATGTAGTTTTTCTTTGTTCCATTACTAAGAAGAGGGCTCATCTCTCCTGTAAGTCATGAATTTAATGCGAGGATCGGTGAGGCTAGTGTTTTTGGATCGAACCGTGTACGAGGGACGGAGATTGTGTACCTCAAAACAAGTTGATTGGGCAAAATTTCCGAAGTAAGGATAATCTCTGACGAGGCTGACCCTATGGGGAAATCAATGGAGCTTTGAAAGCTTGTCCGCTAGGGCTACACGGTGCTCTAGAATCCGAACGATGCGAACCTGGACCAAAATGACATCAAACAAACCCCTCAAGCTTCATCCATTCGCTACAGTCAGAGTGCCGTGCCCTTTACGCCCTCAAACTTTCCCTCCCTATCCAGATTCTTGCTGCACCCGGTGAAGATTACTTTGCGAAACTGGTTCCATCCCTGAGTTCTTATCTCAATCTGTTGGCTTTCATCTCCGGAATCGCCAGGCGCGGTGAGAAATGAATGGCTCCATAGCATCGCGTCCGAATGAAACGTGTCAGTTAAATATTAAGCACCGAAATATCGATGGAATCCACCGAATCCACCGAGAACCCTGTATACTTTTCCATCGGACGTTGCGATCTCCCATACACCAGCCTGACCCTCTCTTCAGGTCGCTCATTCAACTCGTTTCCGCGAACATTCCTTTGTTTTCTGTGCCAAGTCTAGGATAACGTGAGGTCAAGATAGATTCATATGTGCAAGACTGCCTCGGAAGATAACGATGCCTAGAGACTACGGCTAAGAACACGGGACAGTGACGGTTCATTCTCATATTCAGATTTAAGAAATGTGATAGCATATTAGTGAATACCAAAACACTTTTCCCATAATATTGAGTCAGCACCGGACTACCAGCGGCAGTGTCTACGCCAAACGGTAAACCAGTAGTACGACAAAATGACACTAGCTAATAATGCGACCTTCTCAACTAGCACGAGGATGATGTTACGAGCGAAGGTGACTCTACAGCGTAGTATCATGATTTCTACTGGAGCGCTCGGACTGCAAGGATTCCGAACAATGGCAGGAGCATCAAACTGTTCTGGGATAAATCAATCGGCAGATGTCCCCTCGAGTGCGTGATCTGAGCATCCAATCGTATCCTCTGCAAGTTCGAATTCCTAGAAACATACAAGTTGAAAGGCATTCTTGAGATTGAGAGAATGAGGTTCTATGAGCCAACTGATCAAGAAACTGTACAGTGCAAGATGAAATCCGTTAAAAAAAGACATGAATATACTAATTGAAGTATTTACACGGCTAGACCCCAAGGCGACAAGACAAGTCACCCGTGGTGTTCTGACCCACCCTCCTTTCTCAGCCGTATCTCATCATTCAGATGACTTGTTGCAGCGTTGAAGCTTTCCCCACGGTCGACAGAAGCAATGCGTTCCACTGGAACGCCATCTGATAGACTGGACTTACGATTCCTACGGCCTCTACGGAAATGTATCCCATCTAATTCTGTCGTCGAAGACGTGGGACTTGTCGTCTCGTTTTGATAGAATTTCGGGGGGGCTGCCATAGGTTGCAGAGGGGAGAGTCGCATTCGTTGTAGATCAGCGTACGAGTTTGCCCGACTTCGTGCTTTGTAGCTTGCGCTAGACTGGCCATCTTGTCCCGGTAAATAGCCAAGGACATTATCGTAGTCACCGGCATCCTCTTCGTCCGAGTCTTCGGGGGTGCCAACTCTACTAGTTTCATCGCCTCCACTCCAAGCACTAGTTCCACGACGGGCACTCCGACTCCATCCAAAAAGACGTTCATCGATCCATGTCATGGGATGAATGAGACCCAGACCTTGAGCATCGACAGCCCCCGTACTACTCGTTCTTCTCCACAGGCCAGACTTTCCACTGGAAGAAGGTACACTGGAGGTAGGCAACATTCGTGTCTGTATCCGAACTTGCTATCAGGAGATGGATCATGATATCAGGACTGCACTGACCTCATTAAAATCTTCGTACAGTTTGGGTCCAAAATCGTTGATGACATCCACGACCTCATTGGATAATTGAGTACGCATAGCTTTCAATTTGTCAAGGGATCGCTGTTGGCCTGGGACGAGTGCCACGATCAGTGGTCTCAAAGATCTGGGCAATACTTAGTGAGAGGTAGATACAGGAAGATGGAACATACTTCAAAACGTCCATCCCAGCCTCGCCGAATTTCAGAGCTGCAAAATTCATAAAGGGCAAGGACAAAATCACCATGAAAGGTGTGGCTATTCTCCATTTGAGGGGGGAATTCACGCGAATGGACCAAAGCGTGGCAACAAACGCATAGAAACCATACAGTAAGGGAGCAACACCTAGAGATATTAAAACTTTCCAGGTCGCTAACACGTCACGAGCCGCAATTTTGACGACGGATTCAGCTAGAGCCTCTGCAGTGCACATGAGCAACACAGATGGTAGATGCAGCGAAAACACTTCGTACCTTTGGCTTTCTTTCGAGAAAGGACAGACGCAATGATGAACATTGGGCCGTTCAGTATTGTCCCTGGTAGGGCCAAAATACTCCAAACTAATAGCAGAGCAATCCGGTATCCCAGAAGACCTAAGGTCGCCCAGCTAGCCTTAACCGCTCGGGGGACCTACATACGGGCCTCAGAATCGGTGTGAAGCGACTTCGGTTTGAAACTGACCTGGTGGTCTCGGAGACCAAGATCTCGAAGAAGGCGGTTGTACTTCAGTACGTTTTTCCGAAGTTTCACTACTCGAGGTTCATCCTTAAAATGTGTGTATCCTTCCAATAACCGCCTGTTCAACTCAACAACCTGACCTAACGTCAGGTGCTGACCTGGTGTTTTGTACAGTCTCCTCGCCGCTTGAATCAACTGATGAGGCAATTTTTCAACTATGGTATTCACAATCGATGCAGGCCTGGCTTACCATGAGGGTGTCATAATCGGGAGCCCGAACTGTGACAGTTTTGAGCGCGTCATAAACGAGGTCCAAAAATTTCGCAACGGCTTCGCGCTTCTGAGTGCCTCCTTGTTTGAACATTTCCACTAATTCCTCAGGAACATCTAGAGCGCCGCCAAATTCCACAACTGCGCGGGAGCGGAAGCGGTGAGCATGGAAGTAGGACAATCCTACAGGAACAATTTTCACTCGAACGTCGGGGTTGTTCGCCATGGCACCCAAAGCCATTATAGAGACACCGGCCTTCAAAGGGAGTAAATCAGTTCGATCGTGACTACCACCTGAATCAAGTTGTTAGGAGGGTACTACCGTAAACGCTGGAAAGGACGCACCTTCAGGGAAAATGCCAATGCTCCCGTTGTTTTGTAAGCACTCATAAACGTATCGGTACATTTCTTGCTGGTCCACAAAAGGGAGCTTTTTGAATGGAAGACCTCCTTTCTCTCCTGCAGCCTCCAGTTCGGTAATCTTGTCTCGGACCTTTGCTGTCCCTTTCTCACCACCAAATTCGCGTTTCACTTTCAACTCGGTATCGGATACAACTTCCACAACTTCGGCGACCAACGAGTTGACAGATTTGGGAAGCATGATTTGCATCCTTGGCGACAATTCGGATAGGAACCGAGTTCCGTCGCCCAATACAATGCATGGATCATCAGGAGAGATTCGCAATCTTCCAGTACCGGGACTGGCAGAATCAGCAGCACGAGCCACCGGGACTAAGACAAAACTGAGAAAGCAAAAATCGGTACTGTGAACTTATCATACGTACTACTTTCCATCATCCGACTGAAGAACCCAACCGCCTTCCTTTGCATACTCTTCGCTGCCGTAAGAAATTGGACATGGCGATGTGTCTCCTTGTAGACTTCGAGACTCAGCAGAAGGGGATCGAGAAACTGGAGATACGAAAAGATCAACAGACCTGAAAAACATACAAAAACCAACCAAGAATTACCTGGTTACTGTGAGGTGCCCCAACGAATATTACGGGCCCTGAACGTGGTATATTGAATGCACCTCTGGGTCGGACCTCGCGAAAGAATATCTGGGTAACAATGCGCCAGAAGAGCATGGCAGCATCGTAAGAGAGGCGGGGGTGCTTGGTTACTACCTTGGCCATGGTGGTAATGAAGAGAGACTTTGGGGCAAAAATAAGGATGGGGGCGAAGCTCAATCTACCCTATGTCATATTTCCACTTTCAGGCTTCAAGATCCCCGTGCTCAACACACCCAAATATGATATCGTAATATGTATTACAGTCATGCAAATTGATTCAGTGTACAGAATGCAAATGTCAGATAGAGAGCAGGAAGTGGAAGACTAGAGGCTATCTACTATCTACGCCAAAGTCTAGTTCAGTGAGTTTTTCGTCTCCGAAGGCGCACTATATCCTTGTGACGACCCATTGCTCAGCGTACTAGATCGATAGTGAAATAGGTCGTGAAGTCTCGACAGCCTATCTTGATTGACCGGAAGTTCTGTACTCTTCTGCTGTGGTGATGTCGGAGACATTGGAGATGTTTCAACGATACGAGATGAGCCCGACGTTCCTGGGCGATTACTTTGCAACTCTGTTGAGAATTAATGGGTCACACTCCTCACGGACATCGGGGAGAGCAACGTACTGTCAAAAGCATCTGAAACTGCAACATCACGCTCTTGGTCCTCAGCTGCCCTACTCGCAAGCGCACGATTGATATACTTCCGAAACGCGGCGCCGGTAGATTCGAGCATTTTTTCCACCCTGGGTCTTTTGTGTGGGTATGCTTTCAGAAAATGATGGAGCTCCGTGATCCCCTCTTTGTGCAATGCCCCCGTAGTCTCACTTGAAATATGGCCAATGATGGTCAGTAGTTGGACGTCCGGGTCGGGCTCCTCTGTCGGTGGAGGTAGAATACCATTTCCGTTCATAGAGGAAGCGCTAGGACTTGATCTATGACTAGGTGACGGATGAGATGTTGCCTCTGACACAGCTTCTTGAGGGGACATAGGCCGACTGGATGTCATCGAGACCGGGCGAGGTGCACCAGATTCTTCACCGTTCTGGCGAGGAGCCTCGGGGTTCGCCCGGTTACTTGAGTTCAAGATTCGGTATACGTATGGATATACAATGGTCGCTGAAGGATCGTCAAATGACGCGGAGAGCAGATCGTACACGTCGTCTCCATAGTGTGCTGAAGCATATTGTTAATATGTTGCTAGCGTCCTAAATACGGGACGGAACGCACCGACAACGTGTTGGATTATAACTTTTACAGTCCTCAAAGGCATATCCCCGCAAGGAACCTTATTGGTGGAGCGAGCACGCCACTCGTTGGGCGGTACGGACTGCAAGAAATGCTCGATAGCAGGGAAAAGTTCCACCGGGTCCAATTTATGTTCAGAAAGATCCTGAGGGATGTTACGGGCCAATTTCCAAATACATTTGAGAACCAGCTCAGCGACTTTGGCTTCCCTTGAGTCGGGCGTCGTGCCATTACTTGGGAAAGGCTTTACCACTTGGAGGAGAAGGTTGAAAAGAGCCCTAAAATGAAAGTAGTTAGCGGAATAAATACAAGCCAAGACAAGCATTCCGATTTGTTTTACCTAAAGATGGACATCCTCCGTCCAGTGGCGAATAGTCGCAATATAATCATGTTGATAAAACGCGAGAGGTCTTTAATCTTCTTGATATAGCTGTCGTCAGTCTCCAAGAGGCGGAGCGTGAGCTCTTCCAGCAAAGAGGTAAGTATGTCGACGGTCAATGATTCAGCAAGGAATGAGTGATCACAAAAATTGTTCAACGTCTGAATGAGATGCTTAGCTAGCCTGAAGTTCTCATCCAGAATAAGGTCATCTGGCCGCTCGAATATATGGGCCATCTGTAGGGTGATGGTTTCTATCAGCCCTTCAACATGCTCTGCAAGTTCTCGATACTGAGCAGAAAAGGGGGCAGCATCCGGGCCGGAAGATAAAATTCTTTGGACCTTCTTAAGAGCGTCCACGCTTCTTGACGGATCGCTGCTTAAGATGCTGGATATGGTGACGGTGATATCCGATGATTCTTCTAATGACGATGTTCCTGAGTTGGTAGCGTGGGTGGGTTTGCCAGGGACCTCAAATCCGTTGACATGTTCTTCGGCTTCGTCCTCTGGAGACTCGTCCGCACTGACAGGGAGATTATAGTGAGGACGAGGCCGACCCAAACGTGACGGAAGCAAGCTCTTCGGTCGAGTGAGCCCTGTTGGAGACTGAGGTGCGGCGATTGGCGGACGCGTTAAACGGGACGGAGTACTTGACCCAGGGCCGGAGGTAGATGGGGATGAGGGTCGCTGACGAACAGGAGACACAGGTCTTGCCAGCCTTGAAGCCGGGCTGGCTGGACGAGGAAGACCTCCAATTCTGGAGTTTGTCACAGGAGAGCCAGGGCGGGGAATTCCTGTGTATCTTGAACTGGTCGCGGGAGATGCCGGTCGTGGTATACCCGCGATTCTTGAGTTAGTAGCAGGTGAACCTGGTCTAGGAATACCAGTCAGACGAGCTATTTGAGGTGGCGCCAGCGGTTCGATTTTTTCGTGACTGCTAGGACCGGCGACGCGGCGCAGGCGTTCCTCCAGCTGGGTCTTGTCTTTGGGAGGTAACGGGCCTATGAGAGACCAAACCTTCTCGCCTACGAGCATGTACCCCTCACTATCAGCCAAGTAAGCAAGCTGCACGCGATCAGTAAACCGAACTACTCACCTCAGAGCACCAAGAGCTGATTTCCGGACTTGGGAATCTTTATCAGAGATCATTGCAGCGATCACCGGAAACGTCTTGGATGGTTCACATGCGCCCATTCCCGATTTTCTGAGAATACTACCCATCTCATCCAAGGATCCTTGTCGTGTCTTCGCCACTTTGGACTTTAAACCATAGTCCGATAGAAGCTGAAAGACTCGGCTATAAGCATAGACCTTGGGTAGATCTTGGATTATTTGTTGTACTCTCGCACGCACTTGTTCCCTGGCATCGCCCAGCTGAAAATGGGTCAGCTTGTGTACGACAAGTAAAATGACCGGACTAACCTTGAAAATGATAGTTGGTATGAAACACAGTGCTTCGTTATCGGTGAGTTGTTGATTGACCATACGGAGGAAGGCCAAAACCGTCTCGACAATTTCAAGACATTTGGATATGAGATTGGGCTGGGGTTCATGGGCTTTGATGGATGCATACTTCAGGGGAAGATCAAAATTCGCGAGGCAAATACTTTCTACCAAGTCGTCACCTAATTGTGGGCTGTTGTATAGCTCACACATTATTGTCAGACCGGTTACATGGTCATTGACGGCATTGTGATCATGACTGAACAAGCGTCCAATAAGTTCCTTGGTTGCGTGAGGTTCCATTTGGTTCTGTAAAAGATCCGCTAGGTCTTTACGTGTGGGCCCGCCTTCGTTAACCCACTTGTGGGAGTCCTTCCCGCATCTAGCCTTTCTGCTGTCTGGGTTTGTGCCAAAAAGAGGCGAAGAAGTTGTAAGGGGAGGAATTTGGGCGACTGGAGGCCGGGCTAGAGCAGAAGATGCACCTGGGCGTTTTAGTGCTCCAGATGGAGCTTTCAACGCGCGTGAAACCGCGGGTTCTGGGGGACTCTCGCTTCGAGACTCTGGACGATTCCCTTGAGGCAGCTTGCGCCTCACACCTGAAATCTTGCTCCCCGTTCTGGATGCAGGAGCCGACGGGCCAGGCGAACCAGGAGGAGAGCTGGACGAAGGTAACTCTGGTGCTGCTACCTTTTGGAGAGATTTAGAGGCCTTAGGCGGCTGTGTCAAGGCCGCAGTTATAGGCAGAGTAGGGGAAACCGCTGAACGAGCAGCTTGTATGAGCGGGATTGCACTTCCACGAGAAGCAGGCTTCAAAGAGTTTGTCTGCTGCATCACATAGTCGAATCCAGCGCATACAATTAAAGACGGTAAAAGAGCTTGTGCAGCCTTGCGAACGTCTGCATTCCGATCGTCTAGAGACACAACGATGGGCGGCGCCCAGGTGCTCAAGTCGAGCGAAGACGGCGGCGGGTGCTCTTTGAACCAGTCAGCTATCCAATGCAACAATGTACCTTTTTGCATAGGATTGGATGTTTCAAGGCCAGTATGTATACCTGGAACCATGGATTCGAGACCGTCACACGCGTTGGCAATGGCACTCAACGTCTGCAGAGCGGCTGCCCTGATAGGTGCCTTCTGATCGGACAGAACAGTCGTTACTGGGTGAACGAAAAATCGACATTGCCTCTCAAATGGCTTGCCCATACCCGTAGCAATACGCCCCACAATGTCGAGTGCAAGCATTTGAACAGCTTTGTTAGTGTCTGTGACTCTCGCTTTGAGGACCTGGGATATCTCGCCTGCAATATAGCAAATCAGTTTCATCTGAACTAGAAACCCACGAGTAGCCTACCTATGTTTGGTTTAAGTCGCTTGTTGCTACCTTGGTCCAAAATAGTTTGGAACGTTTCCAGCGCCTCCTTCTTTATTTTCCAGGCATCGCTCTTGGCATCCGCTAGAATTGTTGTTCCTTTGAGGAGTCCGTCCACTTCAACTCGAGGAAAGAGGTCATCTAACGCGTCGACAGGTCCTGATCCCCCACCAGAGGATGCTACGGGCGCATCGGTTGCATCGGTCGACGTCCGGGTAGGATCTGGAAGTGCTTGACCTTCAACCTTGTCAAATTCTGCGGTTATAGTGTTGAATAGCTGAGGATTGAGATCTTCCAGTAAATCCTTGATGCCTGGTATAAGTCAGTTTTGTATTTTGTGTGGCAGCGAAGTACATACTTGATCCAGCGAATAATTTGACCGTTACAAGGGTTTTTGTGGCGCTGGTTCTAACAGTGGCATTGGAGTTTTGTAATGCGCCCTTGAGAAAATCGATGAGATTGCGGAGGGACAGTCCATTGATGCCAAACTCGGTCAACGCAACATTCATCCAGCCGATAGCGTCAGCCAGAACTTTGGGAGCCTTTTGCCTTGACAGGGGTTCATAAGCTAGTCGATTGGTCAGTTTGGTGGCTGCATGATACCGATATAGCGATTACCTTGATTCAAGATGAATTGCAACGATGTACTCTCCGCAAAAGAGATAAGAGCGTCGCCGGCAGGTTTCTTCAGCTTCATATCCCCCAACTTTTCGCTCATATGAGGGACACACAATGCGACGCAAGATCTCCCAAATGAGGGACACCGCGCAGAGAGGGTGGCACATATTCCATATATTTTGGATGATACCTGAGGCCCTTCAGTACAGCGATTGCGTACTGGTTAACGAGAAAACACACCTGAAAATTCTTCTCCGACCAGCCCTTTTTCGCTAGGGCTCGAACTAAAACCTCTGCATCTAAATCGTTAATCACGCCATCGAGCCAAGTCGACATTTCGTCTAGGGCGGCCAATCTGGTTTTCCAATTCGCATCGGACAGATTGCTTAATAGTGAAGAGGGTATTGCATCAGCTGCAAGGGCCTCCGCGTCTTCGGGCGTATGCTTGAATTTGAAAGTATCTAGTGCCCCGGGTGCGCTAGGTGCTTGTGGTTTCGCTGATTTTGCGGTGGCCGGTGGCGGGACTTTCTTGGGAGGAGGCGCTGCAGCGGCAGCGGCAGGAGTGCCTCCGGAACCCTGTGTTCGGGCCTAACGCAAAATTAAATCATAAGCCACCGACGACCGGTTTAATACGTACCAGAAGTCGTGCAGGAGGCTTTGCTGAAGGTTTCTTGAGCGGAAGTGACTCCAAGGTTTCACTTTCTACGACGACAGACTTTGGCGCAGGCAGCTTCTTCTTCGGGGCAGCTGCCGGGGGTGGTACAGCAGGTGGTGCTCTGGGTGGCGCTGCACCACCGGCTTTGCACTTAACCGTAACCCTCTCGTATGCCTCTTTAATCTTGGCTTTCCTGACATCCACAACCGCTTCCACCACAGCATTCAACGGTCTCTCCCCTACCATCTTCATCAGCGTACCTAGGCAATTGGCAGCTTCATTTCTAGCGCCCTCAAAACTGTCTTCTAGGAGTGTAGCGAGAGTTTCCGCTAATGGTTTGACCTGAGGAGGCTGTATTGGAGAAGTGGCAGACGCCAATGATCGGCCAAGAAATTTCAGGGTCCCTTCTTTGACCTGAGGATTCTTGGAAGATAGAGCTGTCCCAAGGTCAGGGATGATATCAGCTAGAGTGGTCTGGAAAAATATCAGCCGTCTTTGCTGTAACTGGAAAAAAATCTTAACTTACTGTAAAAAATATCGCGTCCAGAGCTAAGCCTATCGAATCGGTAACAGTTACCTTGCGTTCCTTCAGCCTCTCTAACATCAGAGGCACAACCGTCTCCCGATATCTGGCAAACGATGACATCATGCCCTTGGCGAGTGACTGCATGCATGCAGCGGCCGTCATAACGCAGTTGATATTTGCGTCCTTCTGAATGCAGGTTGCTAAAGACTTTGCGAGGTCCCCCAATTCTGACGCTTCCTTGATTCGAGGAGTGGTAGAAAGGAGAGCGGAGAGGTCATCAAGAACCTCTTTCCGTTCTTTCCATTTCGACGACGTCAGTCCTGCTTGCAATGCAGGAGGCAACTTAGGTACAATATCCACTGGTTCAGCGAAAGCACGAGGATCCATGGTCGCCGGCTCTACTGCATATTCAAAGTCATGCGTCGTGTTTGGAAGACCAAACTCACCTTCTTCAACAGCGTCGACGGCATCACCGCCACTGGCTACCTCCGCAAGCTCAACATCCCGCGCGGCCGCCCGAGTTAATCGCTCGGGTTTTAAGGTTCCTTTTCCCTTACCATCATTGTCCATTGCGTCGAATGATTCTTTCAACTCCTTGACTTGTACGGGCTTGAGGTCCGTTAACCACGGCTCAATGCCGGGACCTACATATTGGTATAGAGTCTGCGCAAGTGCCGTCCCTTCAGCGCGAACGGTCTTGTCGGAATGAGAAAATATCTTGGGCAAAATCTTGAGAATCGGAGGAGGAGGGGTAGCCTGGATTCCAAACATCCTGTCATATCGTATTAGCTTGAAAGTAAGAGGTGACTGGGACCAATACCTACCGTACGATCTCTTTAAGAGCCAGAACACATCCTGAAACTGTCTTGGGCAGTTTAGCTCCTAGACCCGGTATGATATCTGCCTACAGACAGAATGCTCGATGTCGTAGGGATAAGATGAACTGATGTTGGACGCACCACAACCCCGGCACCGCCATTCTCGACCTCCACGTACTGCAGCGTCAATGCAAGGGCTTGTACTTTCGTGCCAGCACGCGAAGAACCCAAACATTTTTCCACCAGAGCGGGTACAACAACCTCTCTTGTTCTCACTGCAGTTTCGCCAGCGTATTTGACAAATGCCACCAAACACTCCACGCCCTTCTCCTGAGCAACAGCATTAGAGTCAGTTGCTATCTTCCTCAACAGATCTGGATTATTAATATAAGGCTTGAATGCAGGATCACTGTCGGACGCGGTAGTTTGGAAAGTTTTGACTAGGGATTCGTATGCGCTGACACGAGCTTTCCAGTTCTTGTGAGAGAGACGCTCGGATATTGGGAGAGTAGAGAAATCCTCCTCCGGTGGCGGTGGCCCATCCATGACCGAAGGGAGAATGCTGAACCTTTAGAACACAGAAATAACGTTGACTGGCAAGCGTTGAAGGGTCGAGGCTACAGCACGTGATGAGACCTGTTTGGGACAGATTTTTAAATGATCAAATAGTTTGGTCCTTCTGCCATGGGCTTGAAAACGGGGAAGCGGTCGGGACCTTCTTCACAGGTAAATTACCTTATACATATGAGCAATTTGTGTCTTACATTTCTCCCAGAAGCCGTCCAAGCGAAGAAAACTGGCGGATCATGGTGATAAGTCGAAATCCGCAAAACAGAGTGTGAAGATGAAGGGGAAAGAAAAAGCTGCAGACCGTCTTGTCATTCCCATCCCCGAGGGGGATGAAGACTCAAGTATATCCGACCAGGATGCGGATCTGCTGAATGGCTATGGCCGTTCTGTTGCATTTTTAAGTCGTCTTCACCAGGCTGAAATCTCTCGGTAACTTCCACGTCTCTTTGCCAAACATGGGCTCATTTTCTCTCAGAAGTAAAAAGGAAACCATACGGTTGCACCAGATGAATAAACCCCGACGACCGAGGAAGGATAACGATGACCTACCCGCCGTCAACTCTGATGCTGAAGACGACGGCTCTTGGACCTCTGGTATTGACGATAACTTTGACTCTGAAAACGTGGGCGATGACTCCGATGTACACCATTTGTCAGCCCCAGATTCAGACGCAGAGATGTCATACGAAACGGCCCCTCGTATCTCCCAAGTCTTCCAACAGTCAGAACAAAAGAGCATTCAGCGTTTACCGATCAAGCTCACCGATGGTAGAGTGCAGGAACTTGGCAGAAAGTTAACTATTGTTGATAGTGAGGACTCGGAGGATAACGTTCAGGAAGAAGAGGAATCCCTCCCTGTGGCCCAGTCGTCTCGAAGAGTCGATGATGTTTCAACTGGTGCACGGTTTGGCCGTGCCGCCATTATTGATGTTATCACCAGGACGTCCAGAAAGGCGCGAATACAAGAAGCAAAAAACCAAATAGCTCATATATGCCAGGACATCATTTCGGATCCTGAGTCCAGCGTATGTCGCCGTGTAGTTACATGTTATCAGTCTAACTCATCATAGCTAGGTCTCCTGAGACGACTGCACGTCTTTTCTTTGGAGCAGGTTTCCAGTCCTACCCATCCTGATCCCGTTCCCAATGATCCGTTAATTCGCAAACTTGCAATGTTATCCCAGCTCGCCGTCTTTGTTGACATTATTCCTGGATATCACGTACGTTCCCTTACCGACAAGGAAAAGGCCGAGAATGTTAGCCAACTGGTTGCCAAGACTCGGGACTGGGAGCAAGGTCTGGTTGGTGTGTATCAATCATATCTTCGAGTGCTAGAGGCGGAATCAAAAGGTGACTAGCTATGTAATTTCTTATATGATACTCACCTGACCCTTTCTCGTAGCACGCGGTGAACTCGCCGAGGTCGCACTTCAATGCATGTGTACTTTGTTGACCTCAGCGACTCATTTCAATTTCAGGATTAATCTCATGGGATGTATCGTAGGACGACTGAGTAAGAAGTCTTGGGATAATGTTTGTTATTCTAGCCCCTTACTCTTGGTACCACTTATCGAATAGTTTCGACCAGTGCTCTGATCTATGCCTTGACTCAATCATCAAGGTTTTCTGTGCGGACCTGACTGGAGAACCATCATTGGAATTGGTTCGGTTGATAAACCGCATGGTGAAAGAGAAACACTACAACGTCAACCCGAAAGTCCTCTCATGTCTACTCTTCCTTCGCCTGAAGACTGAGCTTGGTGTGCGGGCATCAAACTCAAAAGTTGACAAAAATATGCCTACGAGGGGGAAAGCGAAGCACTCAGGCCCTGGGAAAAGGAAACCGAGTGATGCCCCGCACCTTAGCAAAAAAGTGAAAAAAATCATGAAGGAAAGGAAAGAAATCGAACGAGAATTCCGTGAAGCAGCAGCGGAAGTTGACATCGAGGAACGATCTAACACTGTAAGGCTCATTTCGTGGGAACTTGATGTTCACTGGCTAAAGGACATTTTATAGCAAACTGAGACCCTGAAACTCCTTTTCGTTCTCTATTTCAGCATTCTGAAGTTCCCCACGCCGACTCCACTCCTTCCAGCGGCGTTGGAGGGTGTTTCAAAATACTCCCACCTCGTCAATGTCGACTTCTTCAAGGACCTCTTGCGAGTTTTGAAAGGTCTTATTGAACGGGATACCACGCCAGCAGATGAGGAAGGCGCAGACGAAATTTTCATTCATCATCGTTTACTCTGCATCATTACTGCCTTTGACCTTCTGTCAGGTCAAGGTCAGGACATTCTTTAATGTCCGAGAATTCCATGCTAACTTTTAATTTGATTCAGGAGAAGCTTTGAACATTGATCTAGGCGATTTTATCACGCACCTATACGCCTTACTCCAGCCGCTTAGCCTGATGCCTAATATCGACTCTACACCTCCGGGGAGTCCAGGTCGAACGGAAAAATCTTTAGCTGACAAGTTATTCCGAGCTCTCAACGTCATATTCTCCCCACGAACGATAGGTACTATGGCTCCATCCTGGCGTTCGGCGGCATTTGCAAAGCGTCTGCTTGGCGCTGCCTTTCATTGGCCTCCTGCTGTCACCCTTCGCACGCTAAGCATCGTCGGCGGATTACTTCTGAAAGACGAGAAATTGCAATCATTGCTTTTCACTGAGGAGCGCAGTCTTGACGGTGTTTATCGTCCTGATATTGACGATCCACAATTGTGCAATCCGTTCGGCACGACTTTTTGGGAATTGTACGCGTTACGGGATAATTACTGTGATGCAAGCGTTCGAGCAGAAGCGCAGAAGCTCCTAGCACACGCATGCGGTCAATGATGTACATAATAATCATTTCCATCCAATGCGTTCTTCGATGGAGCAAATGGACTTCCTCACCGTGCTTCTTATTAAACTACCCTAAGGTATTCTATTAGTGTGGTAGTTCCACTGGGGTAAATTATGAGTTGCCAGGCGGCCGTTAGTTCAAAAATAGAAAAGTAAGCTAGTTTTATTAGAGAAAACTAATGCTAAGTACGACGAGAAAATGATATAATACAACACAACCTTTAGTCCGTATGTGATATGTAAAAGAATCCATAAACCAGTTTAGAAAGATGACGAAGTAGATATTACGGGTTTTATAGAGGACGGGGTCAAGGCGCAAGACAGTGATGGCGGGGTCGAACCATTATATGTGGGAAAGAGGGACTGAGAATACGAAAGGCGGGGAGGAGAATAGGTTTGAGATGTATTCGAAGCGTAAGCGCTACCTGAAGGCCGGTACTTCCGGAAACCAATGAGTTCAGCACGGGGCAAACTACCTGGTGGATTCCGATCCAAGTCGTAAACGACTAAAAGGAGAGTAGTATTGTCTACGATAATCTCTTGGGTAAGGGCGGTCTGGACAGCTATTTACAAACATCAGCAGGCACTCCGAAGTTGAAGCGGGGATCACTTACATGCGTCTAACCACCGACACCGCGTCAGGGATGAGTCGGGAAGCACAGCGTTCACAACTCCGACGTCGACACTACTGACTTGGATAGCCTCGAGTTCTTCCGATATACATACACCGCCAGCGTAAACTTTGGTAGCACACTTGCCGTACGTGGTCCAGACATTGGAAAAACATACTGTCGCGGCAAAACCGTGGAGCGTGGGAGGACTCCGAATATCGCTGATAGACGCAAGGCTTAGTTTGACCTTGAGTGAGAGGGTAGGAACTGGACCCGGGGACTGCGCACGGGGAACCAAGGCGTCGACTCTAACACTGAAAGGTGCCATGCCGTCCGCCAACAATTCCAGTCTCGTAACCCGGTTATCAAAACCGCGGGATGACGGTACGTTCATACTAGGCGCGGTCTGCATGTTTTGCCATCCACCCATCTGAGCTGACTTTATAAAAGGGGAAGAATGAAGTCGGGAAGGACCCGCCTGCTCGGATGGCAATGTCGCGTCATATTGCTTGGGGGACGAGAGGATGGGGGAAATGGGTTGCTCGGGGGACGATGTAAGCGAGGCAACTGAGATATCGGGGGAATAAGAATCAAATACGTATAACTGAGAGGCGCCCGAAGGAGACGACGGGAACTCGGAGGTAAAATCTGAGAAGTTCGGTGACGACTGGGACGAGGCCGTATCGGTATCATCAAATTCCAGGGGAATGAGAGTCAATTCGTGCTGGTCTTCCGTCTTAACGGATCCCAATAAACCGGCCTCGAGGAAGAGCTCTTCGCCGCCCGCCACCAAGTGAAACTCTGACGAAAATAGAGTGAGCATATGGTTCGGTGCACAGGATGTCAGGGTGGAAACATACCTTGTTCGCCCTTCCACATATTCCGTAGCACCTGGATGTGACTAGCGACCTGCTTCTTGGTTCTTGTGATGCCGGCTCTTTGCAAATAGTCAACCAAGAACTGATTTCGCCAACGACTTCGGCCGCGAGAGTAGGTGGCCCAAGGTGACTGCCAGTACTGACGGAGACCTATCGATCAAGTTGAGCAAAGACACGTGTGGTGATGAGGGAAAGGCTGTACCCTCGACGAACACCTTCTCTATGCCCTCAGGCCATACCTCTGTACCACTCCCATCCTTCAAAAGTTTGCGGTGCTTGCGCTGGGGGGTAAGAGACTTTGCTGAATGGTCTGTTTTACGCGTCTTAGTAGAGCCCGAGGTGGCCATAGAAGGAAGGGACATGTCATGAATATATGGGGAGGGGGAGGGGAAACAGGCAGAGCAGCGGGCGGGTTGGGGGGGGAGGGAGAGAGAGAGCTAGAGGGGAAGAAAACAAAAGAGGCGTGCCGTTATATAAGAGGAACTGGCGTTCATTCGGGGACTATATTCACGGGTTACGATGGGGCATCATCAGTAAGACGAATACAAGTGTGGTTAGAGTTAAGATCCGATGAAGACCATTTGGGAAGTTAAGAGCCGTCGTTTTGGAGATAGTGTATTTTGGCGTCCCTGCCAGATATGAGATCGGGGGGGATGTTTAAGGAAAACAGCATGTCCGTTCAAAACAATACACATCGGACCGATGATCAAGTCCGTACGCCCAATGAGAAATCTGTCACCCTCCGTCAAGAATAAATAGCCAGAGCAGCCCGCAAGATTCTGACAAAACGAGCGAAGAATATGAGGAAAAACAGCAAGAACAATGACCTAGAAGTGATATATTTTTTTTTCGTGGGATCGACAGGTCTGGAAGTTCGCGGAAGTTTGCGAAATCACCTAGAGCGAAGCTGTGGTGATGGCAAACCCAGCCTTCAGCCTGCCTCTTTTGGCGAGATGACTCACAAGGGACAGTAACGATAGTGTGCTCCGAGGCCCACTGTGCTGGAGACACATACCGCGCTGGCACTGTCCAGGGTAGTATACAACATTCGTCGGACAGAAAATGGATCCGTGGAATAGGAATTTGCGCGAAAAAAAAAAGCTTCCTTTGGTGGCTGCGTAGCGTGCAGATCTTGCAAGTATTTTTGGGCACGGAAGCAGATTCTGCCTCCCCGAGTATGGTAGGTCGGGCCCCAGAATTTGCACCCTCGGACTTGAACCCCGAATTGGCATCGGTGAGCGTTGTCCCCTGGCCCAATTCTTGGTTTCGACGAATCAACAGGGCACGGAATCCAAGTGGAGATAACAATATCCGACAGCGCATGGACGGCGGCGGACATGTTGGAGACAATAGACTTGAAAGTCGGAATGGACTGGGTCCGGTGGCGGACTTTAAAAACATAAATCGGAGATGATCTGAGTTTAAACTACTCTTGCCGGGAAGCGACCGCAAGCCGGGGCGGTATGGAGTTCACCTTAACTCAGAAGTGGCTGCGTCAAAACATACAGCCGTATTCCAGCAGGGAACGCGTATATTCAGACACGGACGTGGCCCTGTCGCGTTATCCTTCCCTGCGGCCCAAGTCGGACGTCTACAGTTCGTGAATATCTGTCTCTTTGTCCTTGACTCAATTCCATCCAGCCTATGACGATGGCCGGACCCAGCTCTTGCTCTGTCTTCATGGCCTCATCCCCATCTCGTACCGCGGCGCTTCCTACAATATTCCTGTTGCGATCTGGATCACCAGGGAGTACCCGGCCCATCCTCCCATAGTCTACGTCGTGCCCACTAGCGACATGCTAGTCAAGGCTGGCAAGTACATCGATGTCAGCGGACGATGTAGCATTGAATACACGCAGAACTGGACTCGTAAGAGCGAGGTAGGAATCCTTTTCGACCCCAATTGATTATCGCCGACTCGGGAATCGTTCCTTTAGGGTTGTAGCTTATCAGGATTGGTCGAAACTTTGCAGGATTACTTCTCTCGTGAACCACCCGTGTATGCCAAACCTAAACAAGCTACTACACCTCCAGGTGGAAATATAGAGTATGTGCAGAAGCAGCCACCGCCTTTACCCACAAGCCCGCGACCAGAGCAGCAGCCATCTGCCCGTCCCCTATTACCTCCAAAGCCGGGCTATGCCTCAAGATTTACCTCGCAGTCGCCTTCACCAAGCCGTTCCTCAACTCTGCTTTCTTCACCTTTCGGAAAGGTAGCCATGAAACATGGATATCAATTGCCTACTGACGTTTCATTAGTCAACGATATTTGAGAGCCGCCCTCCTCCTTCTCTTCCGGCGTCTCATCCAAGAGCCGATTTGGAAGTCCCGAGGAGGAGTCCTGCAGACCGATCATCTTCAGCTTCAATACCTTCGCCCATCCCCTCTATTTCCCCCCCCCAAAGTCAATTCCCCTTCCATGACCCACGATCCTCGGGTCCTCCGTCACGACCTCCGCCGCCCGTCATTGCCCCCCCACCACCAAATTTTTCTATTACTTTACCACCTCATGCCTTAACACAACCTCTGCAGCCCCCAGGTGTGAACGTCCCTCCTCCCGTTCCCAACCTTTTGGATGAAGAGTCTGTAGATATCTCCCCGTCCGGCCCAGTCCATCGCCCATCATCATTTGCTCCTCCGCCTCGACCTCCAAACCCTGAACTGCTGCGGCTTCATGATCAAGTCCACCAGACATTAACTTCTGAACTTGCTTCATTAGCTCAAGCGTTGTCCCTTGATGCTGAGCGCCTTCGTGCGCAACAGTCTGATTTACTCCTCGGCGAACCTGCTATCCGTGATGAAATGGCGAGATTAGAAGCTGTTCGAGACGTTTGTCATAATGTGAGCAGTCGTATGAGAAGCACCGTCGATCAGACGGAACGAAATATATCTGAGCTTCGTCGGAAGGGGGACCCTGAAGTCGATGAGCTTGTTTGTTCGACGACAATAGTCCACAATCAGTGAGTCATAAACTCACATCCTCTCAATGACGCTCATCATCTCTGTAAATTGCCATCGTTTCAGGCTTATTAACTTGGTCGCAGAGGACAATGCCATCGAGGACACCATTTACCATCTCCATAGAGCCTTGAATAGCGGCCGCATAGACTTGGAACGTTTTCTCAGGGTATAGTGATTTCTGTTTCCATATGAGGTTGTCAAAGTTCATTCATCACACCAGACTACCCGTATACTAGCGGAGGAACAATTTATGAAACGGGCGCTGATTGAGAAAATTCAGCCTGGTGTTCCCATGAGTATGTCGATGGGATCTCCGTGGTCATGATGACCCCTTTTGTGGAGTCATCAAATATCTAGGCCCATGGTACCGGCGTTTCGTAGCGTGCCTTGGTTCGGAGAAACAGGAGAAATATATGCGCTTTGATGCAGACCTCGATAAGTTTTTTGCCTTATGCGTCGACTTCTTTGTTGCAGATTGTAAACACAATAACGGATCTTTTTCGGGGATTGACTACGCATGAAAGTCGTCATGTACCTGTCAAATCCTTTACAGGTTGCCCCTTTTGCCACTTTGTGGTCAAGACAACTATACTCAGTTGAGTGAAAACGCCCAGTACACGCCATTCGTGGCGTTTCACGGAAGAATCTCATTCAGTATGGAAGGATAGTTCGATAGGTAATCGATGCACCATTGTACATTGAACAGTAACACTACGTGATATTTTACTTATTATATAGATAAAGGACAAGCGATAGAAAAAGTATACAAGATTGAAAGATACTATCATTAACCGACCGAGCCATCATCCACTGATTGACCCCCAACATCAAATCTGATTGGGGTCTGTACGTTGGCGAATGGATGACTTCCAACCCACCGCCACACCCTCATTTCATCACCACCATACACCTCTTGAATGTTCGCTCGAACGTTCGCATTACTCTCAACGGCTTTCTCCACCCGGTCCCATAGCACCCTTTTCCTCCACTGAGGTTCGAGGTACAGGACTTCATCGCGTAGCCGCACGGATGGTATATACGGGAATGGTACGGTTGTAGGGTCCGTGTGATGACCTAGTTCCGTATATTTGAGCTTTGCGAGCACGTACTCAACAAGGTCTGCTACACGTTTAGTGTCCTCTTCGTCTTTGACTCTTCTGCGTCGGGCTAGGAGTGCGAAAACGCCGCACCCAAGTAGACCTAGCAATAACAAAATGGTTAGTGACGGTGTATACCATGTTGCACCGGTAACGCACCAAACAGCGTCAATCGCCATGCGACCCATATTTCCCGAGACTTTACTCTCATGGTACACATCCAGGTGAGACGAGGACTTTTGTGTGCAATGTAACGGTCACCACTAGATGAATACAAATAAGTAAAACAAATTTATATCGTGATAGATACATGAACGCACCTGGAATCTTCACTTATGATGACACCACCCCATTCTACCAATTGCTGAATAGCTTCGGTAAACAGGTCGTCGAAGTTTTTAATGAGGTAAGCCTACAAGATACTCAGAATCTAGATTGGCAAACAGAATGACAGAGATACCCACCGGTGTCAAACTCAACATGAGATCTCGGAGACCATTAAGAGGCATTCCCCACTTCTTCGCATCCCCACCATCCACATCAGCAACATCAGTCACATTACCCACACAGAGAATCTTGCCTCTTTTCTCGGCAAGGACGTTATCAATGTATTTGCCTAAAGTCCCGATGTTTCTCTGGCGTCTCGGATCTTCCACACAAGAGGGAGGCAGAGTTACGCTTGGCAACCCAGGCAATCCATCGACCAATTCGCGAACCAACCTCCAGAAGATATCATTGGGTGGCGACGAAAGCGACAGACTTTTGTCCTTCCGAGAGGATACGGGCGACAGATAGAAAAACAGCGGATGTGAACGCAACATGTAACCGGTATCGCATGTCACACTATCCCGAGTGCATGTGGCATGCTCCGGACATGGAGTGCATGAATCAGGATAGAACGATGGCAGTATGAAGGGTAACGGACACGGCGTTAGATCTCCTTCGACGTCCTCATGCAGGAGTGTCCTATTTTCGCGGTTGCACGATTCGATAGCCTTCCGGTTGACTCTCGCTTCTTCTAGCAAAGGGTTTGTATCACTTCCGGGGTCACAGTAACCAAATGATACAGATTCCAATTTATAATTCCAGACCACCGCTACGAGCCCCACGAGGAATGTTAAAAGGAGCAATCGCATCGCAGGTGACATCGAAGCGCGTGGAGGCGGCCTCTGGGCTTGAGAAAGAAGACGTTCAACAACCTCTTGTCCCCGAAGAGGCAATACGGCAGATGCTGGTACATCCTCGACAGCGTCCGCTTCTTCGGCGACTTCATGATCAACCCCACGGTCTACAGCGACGGTCCTTTCAGCAATGCCCTCGTCATCATCAGGTATAACTTCCTCAACTGGTTCATCCTTCGTTTCGCTTTCAAGCTCCCCATGCGGAGGACTGGGGGTAGAGAACCTTGGTATCGACAGGCGCGATCCTGCCGATATGATGGATGGTAGTTGGGGTTCAAACCGGGATTGAGGAGGTGATCGGTGCAAGCTGCCTGATCCCACAGCAGGCGGGGTTGGTGATAAAGGGACCATTTGGGGAGGGGCCGAAGAAGATTTTCGTGACTGTCGTAGCGGTCGCCGTGTTCTCGGACGAACAGGCGAAGGACGCATTGGCGATGAAGATTCGGCACCAGATTGAAAGACATTATTGTCTTCCCAGCCACTGTCTTCCTGTTCGACCATGGTCAGTACGTAGCAGGTGAGAAGAGTAGCTACACACCGTATGAGATACTCGACGGCTCGACGCTCCAGCGGTTTCTGACTGCGATAACACAGGTATGTGAGACGATGACCTCGAGATACAGAATACGCCACTCACAGCTTTCTCGCTCCTTCCGACTTTGCGGACCGGTAGCTCTTCCTCAGGTTCACTCTCTTCCATCAGGGTTTGTGCATTGGTAACTGTAGATTTACGTGATGGGCCACCAAGATTCGGCTGGGCCGAGGAACGACGACGCTTGGGCTGTAATATGCTATGTTCTAGACAAGTTAAAAGTAGAGTCGAATATGAACGCACTGGGTCAGGACGAGGCGGAGAGGACTCCACTTCTTGAGTTGGGGCACGAGAAAGACGTCTGGACCTCCTCACTGATGTAGTGGCCTTGATAAGGTCAACAGACTGAATACAATAAAAACGCGACACACTCACCTTTGTTTCACTACCACCTGCCAGCGGTTGCCCCGTTACACCGTCAGTTATGCCATCACTGCTGGCGATGCTGTTCTGCTGCTTCAACCGCTGACGCTTTAGAGGCGACAACTTGGACTTGATTTCTTCATTGAAGATCTGCATGAGCTTCGGTTTGGAGTATGGTGTTGGAAAGTTGACACGGTGATGAACAAGGACACCCATGAGCTGAGAAACTGTGAGGGAAGATGCCTCAAAGTCTGGGTCTAGATAGCGTCCTTGCTCGATGACTTGAGTCGTGGTGAGCCGAGTCGACATTGTTGATTCAGCACTGTCAATGTCAACAAGAGATCCTCGTGGTCTTCGTGAAAGATGCGCAGTCACAGTTGTGACACGACACCGTGAGAAAGTCCAAGATAGTAAGACCCATATTAGTAATATGTATTTACCATGAACCTATAAATAACGACATTGTGTACCCTTGCTACATTTTAAAAGCGGGGCCTGAAGATCCCGTTGGTACCAAACCACTGCCCGCGAACCTAGACGGACAAAGGTATGAAGTAGACATCCATGAAGAAGACAGCCACCTACCATGAAATTCCAATAAGCAGCTGGGAAAATATCCTGTGTAATTCTGAGCATGCTATTCACGGTTCACAGACTATGGCGCACCTTTTTGAGGTGGTAGAACAACCTTAGAATAAAGTTGTGAGTATGGGCTTCAACAGGAAAAAAAAAAAAGTGGAATTACCTCCTGCTCTTTGATTGATCAAGGAAGGAAAATGTCTCTTTCAGTTCAAGACCGTATTTGAACTCGGCGAGCATTAATTCGCCGTAACCGGTCAAAAGCTAGAAATAGGTCAATCCATTAAGTGGCTGCGAGAATAGACGTGACGGACTGGACAGCTAGTGTAGCCATCATATCTTGCGTGGCTAATCTTGCCTGTGTCCATGAAAGAGAAGAGATTCTCAGTAAGTACAGGGGCTTGTGCGGTGACCGCTGCAGCAGTTTTAGAGGTAGGCAAGGATGAGCAGTCTCCAAGAGCAAATATATTGGCATACTCTGGCTTAATGTGTTGCAGAGTACCTTGATCGACGGTGACCCATCCTGCGCTGTCAGCTATGGGTGAGCCCTTGAGAAAATCCAAGGGACCCATCGGAGGTGTGACGTGCAGCAGGGTATAATCCACATCGAGTTTTGACCCGTCGCTCTTGGCGAAAGTGGCTTTATGGTTGGCAGAGTCGATCGCGACAAGGTTATGTTGGAAGTGACCGCCGACACCGCGTTGAACGCGAAGTGCATTTAGAGCATCCGAATATTTCTTGACACTGAACATTGTGGGCATGCCGGTGTAAAAATCAACCTTGATGTTCTCGCCCTTGCCGGTCTTTCTGAATCTATCCCAGGCCATCCACATGATTTTTTGAGGAGCTGAGAATGTCCGTTGAGAATGAGGACTAAGTATTCACTGATGGACGTACCTCCGGCGCACTTGACGAACCCAGCTGGTTGGGTGAATACGGCATTACCAGACCGAAGGGATTCAATGTCTGCCCAGACTTTGTCGCAAGTGTCATATGAATAGATAGATGAGACGCCAGATGTCAAATCAGAGAGTGCCTGGGGAAGGCCTTGAATGGCATTCCAGTTAATCTGGAGGCCTGTCGCGACCACGAGTGTCTCATAGGTGAGATTGCGCCCGGATGCTGTCGTTACTGAAGAGGTTTCGGGGGAAAAAGACTTGACATTCTCATTGACGTGGGTCAAGTGTTTGGGAATTAACGACGCCAAGGGTCGGCGGAATTCAGTCTTTTGTTTGAGACCAGAGCCGACCAAGGTCCTAGTTGAAGTCAGACGGTGGAGGTATCGGAAGGGAGATGACATGCCATCCAGGCTACTACCATTAGACGGTGGGACAAAGCTTTTTGGGGGTTAAATGCTCACTTGATAATAATGAAACTCTGCAGAATCAATAATGGCAACGTCTCCGCTGTTCACAGGTTTTCCAGCAGATTTGAAGCGATTGTACACTTGATTCGCAACAGACAAGCCAGCACTACCTGATTGCTTGTCAGCATGAGAAAGGCAGTGCAATCGATCGTAAAAAGCGTACCAGCGCCAACTACGATGACCTTGTACTTGTCTCCGTGCACAGAGGTGCTGGCGAGACGAGTCCATTTAGCGGAATAGACGATACGTCGGACGGTAAGCATAGCTAGAAGGAGGACGCTGTTTGAATGCGTTGTGCAGGGGAGAAACTTTTTAGGAGTGCTGCTGATACGGGTCGGCCCGTCGGCTCAGGCTATTAGCGGATAGTACTACAA